ACCTCGAAGCGGTCGCCAAAGTCGCGGGCGAGGCGCGCCACGAGCCGCGCGATGCCCGCCTGGCTCATGCTCTGCTCGACGTCCAGGTCCATGCCCTGCAGCCCGTACGCGGCAATGGCGTCGCGCAGCGGGCCGTACGCCGCCTCAAACGTGCCGCTGTCGGCGCTGTCGAGCGTGTCCGCCGCAAACGACCCGGCCGCCGCGCCGCCCACCATGCCCATGACGCGCACGCCGGCCGCCTGCAGCGCCTGCACCTCGCGCCACAGCGTCTGGAAGCGCGCGTCCGACGGCGGGTAGTCGTTGAGGTGCAGCGCCGCGCCGTGGGCGCCGACGTGGAACGAGCAGACAATCAGGTGCGTCAGCGCAATGCCCTTTTCGGTGATGAGCGGCAGCAGCGAAATGGGCCGGCCGGACGCGTCGTGCGTGGTCTGGAAGTAGATGACGAGCCGCGGGAGGGTGTAAGGGCTGTATGCGGTAGCAGCATCTCGGCGGGCCGGATCCTGGGCGACGTCGGACGGGGTGAAGGACGGCACCGGCGACGAGATGCCGCCGCGGACCAGCAGAAGCAGCAAGGCCGTGAGGACGTGGACAAACGACGTCATGGCTGGTGTCAATGCCGTCCAGAGAAGGTGTGCAGACGACCAGAGACCAGGCCGTGGGCGACAAGACTGGCTTTTGAAGCCCCGACAGCCCTGGCCGTTGTCGCCAATTTATCACGACCGCATGCCAGTCCTGGCGATCGACATGACCCCCATACCAACCACCCGCGGTCTAGGCCGCCACCACATTGCCCTGCGAGCTTTTCTTTCCAACGTCTTTATTCGGCAGCCCTGTTGGAAGACGCGATAAACTGCGACGCAAGGGGTCATGCGTCGTCACAAAGGAAAAAAAAGGAAACCAGAAGACGACGTCACGAACGAGGAAGGTTACTGTTTATGCGCATGGGGCGCCCGATGCGACCCTGACGAGCCTCCGATGCACCGTAGCCAAACGGCATGTGCTCATCTGGGTCAGACCAGATGTCATCTCGGCCATTCCATGCTCTTTATCCCCCCTTTATCCCTCCGATTTGATCGTTGCATTGCGTCCGACGACGTGTCTGCAAGGGCCGTTGATGCAGCCAAAACGGGCAGGAGCTTATCTACGGTGCCATCCCTTTGGCCGTGATGATCATCTGCCGCGTCGAAAATAGGGGCATGTCGCCAGACAACAGTCTTGGCGGCCTGACGGACGATCTTCTTCTTTTTCGGTCGACGCGACTGACTCGCCATGTCTCGGTGTCGATTGGTGAAGGATTGTTGCCGTTTGTTGGTCATTCGGGTCATCGTCACAGCAGACATTGCTGGCTATTGGACAGGAACTCCCTCTGACTCTGTGACAGCTTTCAGAAAGGATGTCTCAAATGCTACGGTGCTGAAGAAGTAAATCAAAATTATACAAGTCAAATTTAGATAGGCCTACCTAACGCCTTTTGCACTGCTAGAATTAAACGATCCTCACAGCATTGCGCTGACGCATACCGTTCGCCATTGTTAAGTCGGTCACAGTCCAAGCCACAATAAAACAACTACCAAACGAGGAAATGAACGCCCACAACGCCAGTGAAAGCACAGCTGAAAGAAAATTGAAGTCGAATGGTCCATCATAGGCAACCCATAACATTCAAATTAAACAGGGCCATGCGCGAAACGAGAACTAGAGCCGGACGTGTCATCAGCGCCGTAGCGGACTCACGCTGCCACCGCTGCTGCTGTGCGACGACCGCACTTTGGGCGAATGCTGGCCGCTGTGCGACGCGCGCGACGGATGACGGCTGCCTGGCGCTGCGCCCGTGCCCGCGGTGCTGATGTTGCGGTGCGTCGTCATCTCCGGGCCGAGGCCGAGGCCGGGGCTGCGGCTGCGGCCCATGCGGCTGCTGTGGCCCGGCGCCCGTGCCGCGTAGTAGCCAGGGCCGTCGCCGCGGTACGGCGTGCCGCCCCGTGACGCACCGGCGGCGGGGCCAGCGGCGGCCCTCTTGGACTGCCGTGCGCGGCGGATCTCGCTGATGACGGCCACGACAAACCAGAAGAACCAGACGATGACGGCCACGACAATGTAGGCGACGACCAAGGCGCGGCGCGCGTTGGCCAGCCGCAGGCCCAGCCCGCCGTTGACGATGCCGACGGTGATGCCGATGCGGCCGTTCCAGAGGTGCATGTAGGACCAGAAGGTGCGGCGGCCGAGCTGCTTGAACTTGGCGTGGTGGACGAAGCCGAGGATGGGCTGGAAGAAGAGGGTGACGAGGGTGACGATGCCCATGATGGGATGGATGTTTGTTCTAGGGTTGGAGAGCTGGGAAGCGAACGGTGTCAGCGACGTGCGACCGACAACGAGCGAAGCGATGAAAAAGACGAGCGATGACCATAGATGAGCAAGGACAAAAAGAGCGACACAAAAAGAGCGACACAACTTACGAGGGACGCGCCCGTAAAGGGAATGGTGACCGTCTTGACGAGGTAGATGCCGAGCGCGGCGGCGGCGACGTACAGCAGGAACGCCAGCATCTGGAAGACGCCGTGGGCCCAGATGGCGAAGCGGCCGGGGACGACGCGCATGAGGATGGAGCCCACGGGGAAGAGGACGACAATCGAGAGCGACGCGAGGATGCCGTGGATGGTGCGGTAGTGGATGGCCTCGCGGAGATTGATGCCAAAGAGGCCCGGGAACCCGTTGCCGTTTGCGTTGCCGTTGCCGTTGCCATTGCCGTTGCCGCCAAACGGACCATTGCTACCAAACGGGCCATTTCCACCATTGCCACCAAACGGGCCGTAGTGCTGCTGCAGATCGATGGGACTGTCGGCATCAGCGGCGGCCGTGGCGACAGCGACAGTGGCGGCAGCAAAGACGGAGGCCACGAGGGCCCATCTTGACCGCGTGGCAAGAGACATGATGTGATGTTGAGGCGCCGGTACGTGTTGTCGCGGGTCCGTCAAGGACAGTCGGGAAGAGCAAGGAGAAATAGAGCCACACGACGTGGGAAGAAGCGCAGATAGCAAGACGACAAACCAAGAAGCGTCTCCAAGACAGAGGGAGGTCCGGGACTACTATATAAATCCCCAGTCCACGTAAGGCCCTTTCTATGGAAGGCTGTCAAGGAGGGGCGGGACTGAGAAGATGCGAAAGATATGTATCACCTGAGAAGGGAATGATGATGCGCGATATGGAGTACCGAGAGAGGCTCCGGGGTGTACTATGGGACGTGCAAAGTGGACGTCTCGCCAGTCTGGTCTGGAGAGTACGTAAAAAGAACAGGGCTCCGTGCTATTTGTGAAGATCGTCACAGGGATACCATGTGAGGCATGAATGTATGCAATAACAGACGGATGTTGGTGGAGGGGGCAGCTATGAAGGAGAGAAGCAGCGGTAGCGAAAATGCGATATGAGGAGGGCAAGATGGAAGAGACGCCGACCGTTGAAACAGACGGGGGACATGTGCAGCGGAACGTGCCTCCCCACCTGCGCCATTGATGTGATTTTGATTTGATTTATTATGTGGTTCTCCAGTTTTGTTAATATAAACGGAGGCTGCAAACGCGGCGCAGGGACGGAGAAAACAGAAAATGGGACATGGGTAAAAGCAATATAAAGAGGGTTCGCCTTTTGCTTGGCCCGCGGTTTGTCGAGCGGGACGGGAGAGCAGAAAAGTGACGTGTTTCTGTAGAGCGGCTTTGCAGACGGAGACGATGCGCAGGCCGTAGTATGCCCCATGAGGTAAGACACTGAACGACAGCATGTTGCCTGCGTACGGCCGGAGCTCACATTGGGGAACTCCCAGAACTGGATGCCGCTCAATTGCCAGCGACCCAAGGTGTGGCGACACTTGGGTCGGCCGTTGTCCGCTCTCGACTGGTCCTGGCAAGGTCCTATCACAGGTTATGCGATGAGAAATGCATATATTCTCGGTTGGTTTGCCGAGCACGATAGTGGTTTTATGCCATCCGTGCCTGTCACTCTTTTCCTCGCGACTTTGTTTCTTCACTGCTCAGGAATGCCGACGTCCTTTGCTCTACACCTGGCCTAGGCCACCCAGCCAAGAGCTGCAGTGCTACACATGCACGACTCGAAACGCGTCAGCTTTGAGGGTGCATGTTCTGAGTCTGTTGAGTCATTTGCAAAGATCATCGTGTGACGTATGGGTGGATAAAAAAACCTCCTTTGGCAGACATTCAAAGAGCCGCATGCTGAATGCTGAATATCAAAACTACGTCGACCTTCCGACTTTCCAGGCGTCTGGGAGTGATAAGATGGCAAAGCAATAAAATGCATCAAATAAATGGGCGGAGTCTTCGTCATGAGCAGTTGATTTGTGGAAACAGAGAACATACAGAGAACATGATGCACAGCAGACGCCGCCAGCACGTCGTTCCTCTTTCCCCCATATGCGGCATAAATGCACAAGGCATAAGGTGGTAAATGGGATTGTTTGTCGGAAAGGGAGAAAGACCGGCGGCGGATGGCCATATCTGCGTCTGCTATTAATCTAGTGTCCAACGTGCATTCTGCCGGCAAGTTGGTACCAATCACCGATTTCGCTCTGGGGCCCCTGCATGAGCTTCAGTGCATGTTTCCATGCACATCCAACCACATCGTCCCGTTCGGACACAGAAGGCAATCGATCGGTGCCGGATCTGACGCGTTCGTACCCGGGGCGCCGTCGTACAAGAGAAGAAGCTGACGTAATAATTGCTTTCTGGGGATTTTCAATGAGCCTTCAAGGAGTGTGATTTTTCGGTCTTGTTCTACAAATTGTAATTGGCGTTATTACCTATCTACAGTGGTAAACGGTGTATATGAATAAATGCAAACGAGGCGCTTTCAATGCAAAGACACAAAGATACAAAGACACAAAGACAAAATTAACTCAAAACACCTCCCAATGTGGTATCATAAATGTGTTGCCACGCTTCACGGCGCAACGGACACGTCCAGACGCGTTTCGCAAGCAACGACGCTTTCTTCCATCAATTTGCCACGGGCTGCTGCAGCGTCGGGGCAGGACCATTGGCAGCGGGCGTGCGGCCCTTTTCCGGGTCCGTCTCGCTGTCGCTGCCGCTGCCGCTGCCGTTGTCGACCTCGGCCTCGTCGCCGTCGTCGTCACCGCCGTAGGCGTACTTGGAGCGCTTGCGGATGCGCGCGCCGTAGGTCCAGAACAAAAAGGGAATGGCGCAGCAGGCCAGGCTGAGAAAGGCCAGGAGCGACGAGGCCCACTGGTCGCCGAGGCGGTCGTACATTTGGCTGGTGAAGAGGACGACGCCGGCGCCCCAGAAGGAGCGGATGCACGTCTTGGCCGCCAAGGCCGAGGCGGCCTGGTGCTGGTACGAGTCGACGAGGTAGTTGTTGGCGGCGTTGTAGAGAAAAATAAAGCCAAAGCCGACGGGGAAGCCGCCCAGGGCGGGGCCGGCCCAGGACAGGTCCGCGTAGGACGTCCAGGCGAAGACGAAGAGGCCGGCGGGGATGCACCAGCAGCTCAGCATCATGGGGACCAGGCGGGCCTCGGCGGGCGGGCGGCCGTTGTGCCGGCGGGCGAGCGTCAGGTAGTGCCTGTTGACGAGCGGCGCGCAGGCGGCGCTGAGGAGGACGCCGACGGCGACGGGGATGAACATGAGGCCGGTCGTGCCGGCGCTGTAGCCTTTGCCCTTTTGGTAGACGATGGGGAAGGCGACGAAGAACATGTAGAGCAGGCCGTACAGGACCGACATGTAGAGCGAGATGAGAAAGACAATGAGCTCGCCGAACAGCAGCTGCAGCGGGCGGACCAAGAAGATGCGCAGCCGCGCCGACAGGGGCCGCGTGTCGAGCTCCTGCTCCGTGACGTGGTCGGGCTCGCCCGTGGCCGCGCGCCGCGTCCGGGCGCGCGCCCGGAGGATGGCCGGCGCGTAGGTCTCCGGGACGGTGAAGGTGATGAGGAGCCACACGAAGCCCGCGAGGATCAGCTGGATCCAGTACAGCCAGCGCCAGCCCTTGGCGTCCGACAGATAGCCGCCGACCAGGGGGCCGATGGCCGGGCCGATAAAGGGCGCGGCCGAGAAGGCGGCCATGGGCACGCCGCGCTCCTCGTTGCGCCACAGGTCCGCCAGCGTGCCGCCCACGAGCGTCATGGGCGCCGAGAAGGCAATGCCGTCAATCAGGCGGCACGCCAGCAGGGTGCCCATGTTCGTCGCGACCGCGCAGGGGACGATGAACACGACGGCCACCAGCAGCGTCGTCGCGTAGACGATGCGGCGGCCGTAGACCTCGGACAGCGGCGCGAACACGAGCGGGCCGACGCCGAAGCCGACGACAAACAGCGAGATGGACAGCAGCACGACCTCCTCGCTGGCGCCAAACGACGCCTGGACGCCGGCAATGTCCGCCGTGATGACGCTGGACGCAAAGGCCACCACGAAGCAGGTAAACGCCACGACCATGGTGCAGTACCACTTCATCGCCTTGGACCAGTTCTTGGGGTTGCCCGGATCGTTGGGCTCGAACGTCACCAGGCGGTAGCGGCGCTCGTGCTCGGGCGGCTGCGGCTGGCTGGTGCGCCGGCGGCTGGCGATGGTGGCCACGCGGGCGATCGCGGGCGGCTCAACGGGACCGGGGATCTCGCCGCCGGGCACTTCGGTCTGGTACTCGGCAAAGTTGGCGCCGGCGCTCAGGGTGCGGTACGGCAGCGTGATGTCGAGGGCCGGGTCGCGGCGGCGCTCCTTGTCGGGGTTTTGCACGTCATCGTGGCTTGCCGTCGCCGTCGAGCCGGTGCTGGTGTTGGCGTGGACAGTGTTCTCGAAGCAGACGTCCTCCTCGGAGGGTAATGACGAAGCCATGGTGTTGTCACGGATGCGGTATATGGCTGTCTATTGGTAATGTACCGAGTGAATATGGACGCTCCTGAACGTTCTCTGCATTTTCTTGAATTGGATATGGGCGCTCTGTTCTTATATACATATCGGCATGCCACCGAAACACAAACAACTAGCCATCGAGAATAAACGCAAACACCCAATACCCACGGAAACCGTTGACTTACACCGACTTAGCGCCTTTGCCTCCCACTTCTCGCCAGTCGTGCTGTCGCGTTGAGGCGAAACGCAAATATTGAGTGCGAAAAGTGGGCTTCACTTACATGGACGTGGTGACAGCCAATCAGCCAACTGTCTGAGCGATAGGCCGAATGGATGAAAATTGTACCAGAAAAGAGTGGGGCCTTCCGGAATCGGAATCAGGTTCGATGTACTTCTGCACGCAAAATTGCAGATAAGGTACCTTGCTAGTCTCGCGCGCAGAATTCTCGGTATTAGTGGCATAACCGCTGAAACAGCAGATACCAAGCCTACGGCTTAGCGGTGTTGGTCCCAGTGGAATGCACCCAAAAATGCACCCAAGAAAGGATCGTGGAGCCTCGCCTATTTCGCCTCTTCTTCTTCGCGACAGCGATAGTGCCACCGTGTAGCTCGCCACACAGCAAAAGATCCATCGGGTGAGAGCCAAGGAGTCTGTCCAGCGTCATGATGCTTCATTTACGTCGATGTTTGTTGTTAGTGACAGTGACAATCTGTGGCTTTGCTCATACGATGAGACAGGCTCTGGCTGCGGTAGCAAAGGAAAGCAAAGAAAACAATGCGATTATTTAAATACTATGCAGTTGCATGCTTCTCTTCCCATCACCAACGCTGGCCAAGACTTGTATTACAAACGTAATCTCGTACGACGCTCGTCGTGATCATAACTGCGCCGGATCCCGGGCTTTGTGGCTATCTCCAGAAGAGAAAAAGAAAAGAAAACAACGGGGAGAGATAATACAATAAAACAACCACCGGATCAGCGCCAAGATGAAAGGACGGCGATCTCGCCGGGTGTGCGGGCGTGTACATGAAGTCTCTTTTCATTGCTTCACCAGTGATAATTCCCATGACTTCATTACACACACGGCAACGTGCACGGCTGAACGCTCTTGGCGCCAAAGCCGGCCCGTGTGTGGGTCCCTGCCAGGCGCCAGGCTCTTCGGCCGCTTGCCAACGGACGGCGACCGTGTGTCGTATGTGTTTTTATTTGTATATGTGCCCACAGCCCACACTTTGTCGCGAGGCCGAGCTCAGCAAAGACACCCCGATCCACTTTCCCATACTATTTCCTTTGACGCCCAAGCACGATTTCGTTCTAGAATGTATTTTGGGCCTTCTTTTTGCTTCATTATCCTCGGTTAAGACATTCTGTATCCATGCTGCGACCACCTGAGCGCCTATCTCGGCGAACGTGTCGAGTCTTGCGAGATTTTGCTATTGTTTTCTCGTCCCCAGGCAAGATCACATGTATCCAACACACAACCGTACTCAGGCTATGGCGGAACGATGGTCCTGGCCCGGCCAGGTAGCGATGATGCCGTGATGCCATATTCACGCATGCAAAAATACATACAGCGACTCGAGTTGAAGCAAATCGCTCTTCTCCGCCCAAATACACGACTTCCCTCATCTCTAGTAAATGACAAAGGCCGAGGATGCTTCTATTTGCTCATGGGGCTGCAAGAACAGTCGCCAACGGAACCACCTCACCATTTGCATGAACTTCGGCTCCGCACGATGGCTAGGGCCAACACCTTTGCTGCTTCGGGTTAAGCCCACAAACCAAGAATGTCCCTCGTCGCTTCAACTGTTACGTCTCCTTTGCTCGGCCTTTCGCGTCTCTTGATCGTTTTGGACGTTTGATATGTCGAAGACTTGGTGTTTTGCTGACAAAACGTATCTGTACTTCTCGGCTTTCATGGCGTTGTTATTTTTCCAAATACCGCCCGACCTGACAGTCAAAACATAGTTGAAGTCAAAGACACACGCTTACTGGCCGCCTACAGGTATTGAGGATACATCTTCAACCCTCTTCTATAAACCCCGTATTGACCCTGGTCGATGCCGAATAATCTAGCAAGTCAAAAGCAGAAAGACGACAAGACTGTAATCATCTAGCCGTACCTCCTCCCTCTCGTGCTCGGAATGGCAATTTTGGTCGTCCTTATCAATCAGCCATCCCAACACAGAACAAGCAGGTACTAGGCCGCGCGAGGTCGGCCACGCGATGCAAAGATGTCGTGTTGCAGAGGCGGTTCTTCAGAGTGGCGAAAATGGCCCTCTGAGCAGGCGTGGTGCCGGGGATATGGGCAATGAAACCAAGCCCAACGCATGGCCTAGGCTGTTGAAGGTAGGGAAGACGTCAAGATGTGTCAAACTGACGATGCCTTTTTTCGCGTAGTAGAATCAGATTGCCTTCGCCTTTTACTCCTTTGGAGCCGTGCAGCCTCTTACAGCTGTCTTTGTTATTCACCTTTTCACCTGTCGTAGACGGTGAGTGCCCACTAAATGCACGCTGGTCTTCACCGGCATTGGCGCACAATCACCCCCTGGGAGCGACCTGGGAGCGCTAAACCGGTTTAGGCAACGCAGCTTCAGCTCTCTGGGCGCGCATCCCTTTTTCTTGCAATCTGGCAATCCGATCGTGGCGCGCCACGCGAACAGCTCTGCCCTGACCATCACCACGACACGGCACCACGACTCTACGACACCCAATCTTCCGAGAGACCTCGTCTTGTCCGTTCCTTTGCTCTCCTACTCCTCTCGCCACAACCAACGATCCATCGCCAACCTCCGCCACAATGACCCGCGCAACGCAGACCCTGTCCGTGGCCTTCCTGGCCACATCGGTGCGTCTCTATTCCTCATCGTCTCGTGACTCGGGCCACAGGTCGCCGCGTACATTTGTCTCGCCATCTCTGCTGACCATCTAGCTCTACCTCTCCCTCTACCTGGAGCTCATCCCGCTTCCCGCCATCATCCAGACCGAGATTGTGCCAGTGGTATGTCCATGCTCCCAATTGGCGTCGTCTTATCTTCCCTCCCCCCCCTTCTCGTTCGCTCTAACGTGTCTCCCTCTGTATAGCTCCCCTTCTGGTTCATCGTCGCGCTCGGCGCGTACATCCTCGCTCGCCTCGGCTGGGGCATCCTGACCTTCAACGACTGCCCCGAGGCGCACAAGGAGCTGGTGGAGGAGATTGAGCTGGCGCGCGCGGACCTGCGCCGTCTGGGCGTGAGCGTGGACTAGGTTTTATGTTTGACGGTACATGACGAAGCGGACGGCGAAGACGGACGGCGCGGCATCGCCGAAACAATGAATACGCACAAGGGTGTAAAGGAGTAAAAGAGCGAGGCATTGGCTGAAATACGGCCACGGACGACGGCCGTTGCGTTGCCCCCTGAATAGCGGAGGACTGAAATAATACAAAACATAGAACAAATTACGCAAAACTCACATCAAACAAATTTCTCATGGCAGTGCGTATTTACTGCGTGATGTGTGGATACTTGGTTGTGAGTGCATAAGGCTGTATTATAGGACGATTGATGCCATTCGGTGTGATGTTGCCCTAGAGCTCCAGTTGCTGTCCATGATATCGATACGTAATGAGACCGTAAAATGATAAACGCCAATGCTCCAAATAAACCGAAGAAAATAAACCGAAGAAAACAAATAAATGAACCACGTAACCCTAACATCTCACTCCCTACACATCCCCCGCCAGCAGCGCCACCACGGTCTGCACCGCGTCCATCGGGTCGCCGCTGTCCTGCACCAGCTGATCAAACAGCTTCGGCAGCTGGGCCAGCCGGCCGCGCTTGTCTGCCTTCCGCCCTGGGCGTGTTAGTTGGGAATCACAAAAAAGAAAAAACACACACACAAAAAAAAGCGGGAACAGGCAACGTACACTTGCCGGGAACGCCGACCAAGAGACCAATGTGGCTCGTGGCTTCGCCGGTCCAGTCAAACTGGATGGACCACTCGACGCGGAGGCTGGGGGACGACGACGACGCGGTGGCGCCGTTGTCCTGGACGTCCACGTCCATGTCCATGGCGGTCCGCCCCAGATGCTCGAGCAGCTCGGTCGGCGAGACGGGCGCTGCTCCGTGTCGGTTGGGGCCATCGTCGTCGCCATCGACGTCGCCATCGTCGCTGCCAGCCTTGCGCCGTCGCTTCTTGCGCTGCTGCGCTCGTGTCTGCCGAATGTCCTCGGCCATGCCGGCCATGCCGCCGCCGCCATCGCCCTTCTCGCGCAGCTTGCGTGCGAGCACGGCCCAGAACTTGGCCCGCCGCACCGCCACCCGCACCCACTCGCCCATGGCCCACGTCAGGACCGTCACGTTCCGCGTCAGCGCGGAGCTGCCGTTGGTGCTGGCGCCGCCGTCGTCCTGGCCGGTAGTGATCCGTGCCAGCAGCGGCGCGAGCTCCGCGGCCGCCGCGGGCGGCGCCATGCGCGGCACCTGCAGGTCGGTGATGCGCAGGCTCTTGGCATGGACCGTCATTTCAATGTGTGCCAGAAAGAGCCCCGGCGGCGTGGTCGACGACGCCGTGATGATGTGTTTTTGCAGGGGCGTCGTGTCGTCGGAGCCGGCGTCCGCCGCCGGTACGATGACAATCTCGGACCGGAACGCCAGCGGCGTGAACGCCTGCAAAAACGGCAGCTCTTCCGCGGCCGTCATCTCGATGGGGTGGTGCGACGGAGGCAGCGGTTGCGTCTCGTCGCCGGTGCTGTTGTTGTCGGGTGGCGCCGCAAACGGCACGAGATCCGTCACATCGGCGCGCGGCTTGCCAAAGGGCAAAAACGCAATCGGGTTCGCTGCCGCCTGCAGCCAGTCCATGGTCGTCTGCATCGATGCACGCGCGCTCGCGTCCTTCGTCCCGTCGTTACCAGCCTCGTCATCGGGAAGGACGTGACGCCGCAGCAAACTAATCAGCGCCGCCGCATTGTCGCCGTCCGCACTCTGCCCACCGTTTTCGACTGCGCTCCGCATCCGCTCATTCGCAGCAGCCGCCAGCGCCAGATCCGCTTCCAGTCCGGCAATCTCAGCCTGCAGCGCGTCCCGCTCCCGCTTTTTGTGCTCGTCTGGGTCCGCGGGCTGGACGTTGCGCGCCGGCTCGCTTTTCCGCGGGCGGCCGCGACCGCGCTTGGCTGTTTTTTCCGTTGTCGTGGGATCATTGCCGCTCGCTTCCTGCAGAGCGGCGTCCCCACCATCGGCTTCTGTTTGCGTCGTCGTCCCCGTAGTCGCTGTGTCTGCCGCCTTCACCGGTGGCTGTTTCAGCGGCGAACTGGTCTGGACCGTGCCCGGCTTGGTCTTCTGCACACCGCCGGCACCAGCAGCAGCAGCAGCATTCGCAGCACGCGCTCGAGCCGCCCGTTTCGGCCGTTTGGATGGCGTGCTGCTGTGGTGGATGCCCGGCGGGGACCGTGTGAGGGCCTCCTTGTCGACGTGGTCGGGTGTCGGCGGCAGTTCTGGCTCGGGTGGCACCTCTTCGTAGCTGCGCAATTGGTCGAGGCCGGACCGCTGCTTGTCGCGCGCAATGAGCGGCTCCAGCAAGTCTTCGCCGCGCTGCGGGTCGGGCGGCGGCAGAGGCCGCGGCACGGGCTTCATGGGCGACCGCCGCGGAGGCGCGCCCAGCAGACTGCCCGGCACGCTGCCGACAACACCCCCTGGGAGTCCGTCGGCTGGACGGTGACGGGCAGCAGACACTGCCTCGGGGGACTTTTGCGGTGCCGCTCCAAACAGCGCGCCGCCACTGCCGTTGCCGGCACCGTCCCGAAGGGTAGCATTGTCCGCGCCAAACAGTCGGCGTGTAGGCGAGCGCGACCGGGACCGGGACCGCGAGAGACGTGCAGGGGACCGCAGTGGGGGCTGTGCCAGCGGCCGTGTGGTTGACAACTGGCGGGACGGCGACCGAACCGGCGAACGAACCGGTGGGCGAGCAAGCGGCCGCACGTCGTGTTCCTTTTCCGCGCTGCTCTGGCCCAGCTGCTCGTCAATCATGGCCTCCACAGCCTCCACGCTGGGCTGAGCATTGTCGCCTTCGGTGCTTCCGGTACCATTCCCATGTCCATCTCCATTTTCATTTTCATTTCGTGAAACAGACTGCCGTCTGTGGAGAATCGCGGGATTGTGCCGGGCGAGGCTGGCACGCGTCGGCGAAGCAAACGAGGGCGGCCGTGCTCGTGTCTCGTCTGTTTCTGTGTGCGTGTCCGCCGTCTGCGGAGCGTCTGGTGGTGTTGTCGCCGTTGTCGATGCATCTGGCGCCGGCTCCGTGCTACCGCGATTCGACAAACGCGGCGACGTCCTTCGCCGTTTTGCCGGTGGGGGGTCCGCATCCATTGTAGTGTGCGGGTGGCCGGTACGGTAGAAGAGTACAATTGGCCGTTGTTGTGCACAATCTTCTCAAATTGCGTGCATGGCCGATGTTGACGGTGTCGTGACAACAGAAACAAAAACATAGGTCAGGCTCGTTGCAGAATGCTACAGCACGTTTAACACGGTCTAGGGCCATGCAGTGCCGCCTAAACAAAACAGCTGCCCCAAACGGGAAATCGACCAGCGGCCAGACGCGTGCGGCCAGAGCGCGTGCCTGTGACGGTCACGTGGGCCCCCGACTTTTGTCCGTCAACTGTGGCGAAGCGTCAGTTTTAGTGGCGCCTCGGATTATGACGTATTTACAGAACCCCTTTCGGGCTGGGAAGGCGCAAAGATTTTCTTCGCAGCGCAAATTCCTGCCGGGACCGTCCCACTAGCTCAACCCAAGCACCTAAACATACGCTACCGGCCCGGGCTCGGCCTCGCCTTTCCTCACGAAAACAAAGAAGATAATCGAAACAAATCATGGTCACACAATTACAAAGCTGCGAACCACGAAATCAATGTCTGGTTGAATAGATACAAATCGACAGCAGAGCTGCGTTTTGCCCAGCGCTATAGCGTTCCTTTCTCTTTCCTCCCGTCCATCCACATAGCCCAAAATGAAGCGACTTTTGCCGAGATCACAAGCGACGCTCTGCCAGCGCCCACGACCATTACGAGCGACGACGACGACGTCAGCGGCTTTATCGACAGCCGACGTGCCTACAAATGCGCTGTCCTCCTCCTCACGACGACATGCCCCACCACCGCCGGCCACCGTCGCGCCCACATTCGACCAGGCGCAGCCGCGCGGCGGCTACTATGACGTCCTCCTCACAAGCCCGCCACCATATGCCTCTGCCCGGGCCAACATGCCGCCGGTGACGGCCAATCCTACTCCGTCCCAGGCGCCTGCCTCGACCGCGCCCACGTCTGCACCCGCCGGCCAGTGGAAACAGTCGGAAGCGCCGGCCACCGTCGCCGCGCGCAAGGCCGCCGAGCAAAAGGCAGTCAAGGAGCGCGCCGCCCTCGTCTTTGGCTCGCGCTTGGCCGGGCCCATGGAGCGCGCCAACCGGCTGGCCGAGATCCGCAAGCGCAGCACGAAGATTGCGGGCGTGCTCGTGCCGCCCAAGCCGACCGAGCCGGACAACTGCTGCATGAGCGGGTGTGTCAACTGCGTGTGGGACCGGTTCCGGGACGAGATGGAGGAGTGGGCGGCGGCGAGCACCGAGGCCAGTCGACGGCTGCAGGCACAAGAAGGCGGAGTGGCCAAGGCGGCCGGCGGTCCGCCAACGTCCGCGTCACCCGGCCCCGGGGCAGCCAACTACATCAGCATGGACGACGACGGCGGCGGATCGGACACAAACTGGAGCCTAGAAGATGCGGCCAGATCGGCAAGCGCCGCCAACAAAGCAGGGTGGGACGAGGCGCTGTACAAGAACGTGCCGGTCGGCATCCGGGAGTTTATGAAGCAGGAGAAGCGGCTGAAACTCAAGCACATGAACGAAGGCACGGTGGGTTGAGAGCGCACTCGGGAGCAGGATCTGCGTTGGATATGCCCTCGACGAGACGGGCGGAGCGTTCACTTTGCTTTCTAGAACATTGTCTACATTGCATTGCATAGCATTTTTCTACCATTTACGAGCACGGTTTTCACACCTTAGGTTTAGAGATGGACGTGGAAGAGACCCAGCACCATCTAGGCAAAAGACCCTATATATTGCAAAACATTAAAACCCTGGCTCAAAAGATACGCGCCTATATGTGCTTTGTACACGACCGCCGTCCAGTGCCTCCCGTCTAACGTGTGCGCGACCACCCCAGTGTAGCCTGCCGAGTCCGCATCGTCTCGCGACCTGCCTGCCTACTGCTGGCTGTTGGCCAGCGCCTGCCTCGCCAACTCGTCGTGCTCGTCAATGTCAATCGCCTCCCACGGGTAGCAGATCCACTCGTCGCCCACCGTCCGCGCCGCCATGTACCGGCCCTCGCTCATCATGTCCGCCGGCAGCGTGCCCTTCTTGGTCTTGTTCTTGTTGTGCAGCACAAACACCGAAAAGTGCGTCGGCGCCGCGTCGGCCCCAATCTTTTGGCGCGCCAGCTCCACGTCCTTCTCCAGCTCCTTGACCGCGTACTCGAGCGTCGTGCGCGTGTCGTCGACCTCGTCGACAATCAGAATGTTCTTGCCGACGAGGTTGCTCATCTCGCCGAGGCTCGACAGATCCAGCCACTGCGTGCGGGTCACCTTGGTGCCGGGCTCCTCCTCGACGGCGGTGGCGTCCGTCGACAGCGACTCGTAGAGGGACAGGCCGATGGCCTGGATGGGGATGTTGGGCGAGCCGGGCTTCTTGAGGAACGAGCGCAGGATGCGCGCCGGCACGTAGCCGCCGCCGCCGATGGCGATCATGAGCTGTGGCTGGAACTTGTCGAGGATGGCCGGCGCAGCCTCCTGGCAGAGCTTGTGGACCTGGGGCGGCAGTGTTAGTCGGCTGCTGTACGAGCAGGGACGAGCCACGGAGTGCATGAGTCACAACATGCATGCGCTGCCGCGGAGCGTCGGGCACCAGACGATGCGCCGATGGCGATGCTGCCTGTGTGACACAACGGCAGGCGGCAGAAGCAAGCGGCCAGCACAAAAGACAAACAAACGAGCAGACATATCGTGTCTTGTGCCCGGATCGCTGTGCGCAATCTTTTGGAGACAGGTTAGACGGCGCAGCTATTCTTACCTCATTGTACGTCACGTAGACTTTGTTCACCATCTTGGCGGCTGTTGTGGAGGATGTCAGGATAGGAGACGAGGTCGGGATAGCGAGACGAAGAGTGAGTATACACGGAGTCGGACGAAGAAGAAATTCGAGATGATCTTATCGTCGTCGTCGTCGCCCTTTCGTTTTTTCCCCTCCAGCTAGTTTTGTGACTGCTAAACTTTTTTTTTTTTGGACCGGACCCGCGTGCCTGCCTTCGCGCGCCGAGAAGGAAAAGGCAACCCCACTAAAAGAAGCCTAAAAAGTTTCTGAGGGGCAACAACCCGCGACGAACGTTTAAACGGGAAGGAGCAAACGAGGCGACAAAAGCATGTGGAGGTCGCCTCAGTTCTGTGCACTTTCACCACAAATTCTCTCAAACGTGACTTGTCACGGGACTTCAACACACATGTCTGCAGTAGACTTGTGAGAATTTCATTTTCAAGATCAAACGTGGCTGTCCTGGTCGTGCATCAAATTGAGACTTCTGTAAAGAGTAAACGAAATATGGCAGTTTATTCTGGTATTTTTTGTATTATTTAGAAAAGTTATAAAGACCGTGCTGCAGTGGAGGAAACGCAGCATCGCCCGTTGACAGCATCTACTTTGACAGGATGCAGGAGAGTCTTGCTAGCAGATGCCTTTTGCATTAATGTACTCGTGGCAGTTGAGAAAGTATGGTGGGAACAAAAGGCTACAGAGACTGGAACTGTTGGTGTGAAAAGGGACTGTACAGACGAACGTACTTTATAATGAAATACTTCACAGTGAAAACTTGTACCGACACGCCTTGAAATGCAGTTGAATCTGTCCCGACCATCCTCAGACTAACATGGCTGTAGCAAGCTACCCAATTAGCCGTCGTCTACCACCACAAAGACCAAGTACACTGAAAGTCTTGTCATGGGGTCTCCCGCGGGTAGTGTTAGTTGTTACTCAGATATGTCGCCACGAGTTGGATGTCACAGTTACGGCCTGCATAGTTATGCATATGCCTGCCAACACTACAAGAATACTTTAGCTCCCAAAATACCAATAGGAACTATACCTGTGGACGTGTGTCATCGTCGATTCATTACACATTACCATGTGGGAGGAGTAAAGGACAGAGAGGAGAATAAAAAGGGAAGATATCTGTTTCCTTTTTCGCACCGTAATCGTTTGCCTGCATTCTTCTTTCCGTCTCCTTCGTTCTTCCGTCTTTGCTTCCACTGTTTATTCTCTTTTGCATTGTGTTCTCTTATTTGATTTCTGTTGATATCAGCCGCATTCGTTGAATACTGTCCATTCCTTTCCACAGTCAATCTCGCCACACCACCCGCCAAGATGCTTTATCCAAACACCAGGATGATACGTCAAAAGAAGTCGATTGCCTTCTGGGGCTTCATTGCTGTGTCCTTTCTCATGTTTTTCTATTCTCTTCCCTACATCAACGTCGGAGACAAATCCATTGCGGAGCTGGCCTCGGCAAATATGCCCGTCCAGAACATCCACGCATTTCCTGACGCGGCCGCTTTTCCGGAAGGTCTCCCGCCCTTGATGGATGAAGACACCCCGATGCCAGCCAACATTCCCCCATATATTGAGGAGGATATTGGCACGGAGGCTTTTGGAGCCACTCTAGAGAATGGCAACGTCGATACAACTACTCCCTTCGAGGTCTACCCGGGCACCGACTCGTTCAAGGACCCCACTGCCGACGCCGTCGACAGCACCCGCACCGCCGTCGAGCAGCTCATGGAAGACATGGACCGCAACCACGCCACCCTCGAGCACGAGGTCCTCGGCCTCGGCCACAATGCAGTCCAGTCGGCCAGTGCGGGCGACGGAAGCAGCCGTGGATCGACCACGGACGACGGCGGCCCCCTCACCCACACCGACATTGTCGAGGCCCATGCTTTGTGGAATCAGCTCAACCAGATGTACGAGAACATCAAGGGCGCCGCTACCGATATGAAGGGGTTCCTCTCGCGGATCAGTGGCACGGCGGGCGATGCGGCCTCCAGGAACGCGGCCGAGCTGCTGGCGGCGGCCAAGGCTGCCGACAACGGCGGTGACATCCACAAGATCAACCTGGCCTACACGACGAAGCGCAGCGTGGACGAGGGCAATGCCAAAGTGTCCAAGAAGCTAGAGATGCGCGAGAAGCTGCGCCGGTACAACGATGTGCCGTACTGGAAGCTGGAAAATGCCAAGCACCGCGGCGACCCTGTGCCGTACATGAAGGATACGACCACCTTCGGCAACAACGTATACAAAAAGGCCAGCGACATGTGGCGCGGTCTTTATATATACTTTTAAAGAACGACGGGGCATTTATTAACGGGGAGGCATGTGAATTGGCGTTACGAATGGTTTAAGGAGTACTAGTTAGACAACTGGTAGATTTAACTGGAAGTCTTGACGTCCCTTATTTCACAATAGGCTGCGATGGATCTTATGAGCCTTTTTTTTGGTCAATGGTAATTTACATCCCTTTCTTGTGACCGGCTTCCATTTCCTTCCATGTCCTCTTCTGGTTGACATCTCTCGTGGTTGTTTTCACCCAGTCTTTTTCCGCTACACTGTCACTTTCCTCCTTGGTAAACAATTTTCCGTGACTCTTTTTTTATGTCTAGGATCCTTTTGGCGTTGTAGGGCATTTGGTTTTAACACGGACGTGTTTTGAACATTCTGTTTATTATTTCTTCCTGTCTTTAAATAATATTCAATATTTTAATCAATATTTTGTCACAAAATATGAGATAATACATTAGTATGAAGTACGACATAAGTTGAATTATTTCCTATCCGAGGATAGTATGGAGTATTTTCTTCCATTAATCCCCTATACCTACTGCACTGCAATATTCAATTTTGTTTCGTATTTACTTGCATCCTTGCTTGTCTTTTTGTTTTCGTTACTGTTCGTATCGTGAATCCAATACGTCCTTTCTCCACCTTACACTGCATAACTGAGGCCACCACCAGACAGTACTGCACCCCGCAACCTAGCTGTCTTACCAGCGTTCGACACGCCTGTCTTTAATTCACCGTCTCTGGCGCCTCTGTTGCCGAGTCAGATCCTCCGTGCACAGTGCGCTTTGACTGCTTGTGCACTGCTCTTTGTTTTATGTCCTGAACTGGCTTTGTGCAGAATCAAGATGTGCGGACACAGTTTGCCGTGGCTTTTTGGCGTACTTTGGAGATCTGCGGAAGCAAGGGGATCTGTTGTGCATCGTACTCCGTATTACTCCTTTTTTGCTTTTTCCTCGCCCTCTTCTTTCAGCCTAGCGGTGGGCACGACTCGGCTCGCTGCCGTACTATTCTTTCCCCCTTTGGGTATCCGGGCGGTTTCGCCGTCTTGATGCCCCTTGCTTCCTTGTCACTGCCGAAAGTGTTTCGAAACATGACTTTTACGGCCGGTTTTGAGCCACTGGTACTCCCAATTACATAGCCTTACAGCGCAAATGGGAAGCCCCCGTTACAGCGTTTTGCCAGCCAAACTCGCAGCGCCTTCTCAATGTCAACAAACGCTCAGAGTCACCAGCAATATCACGCGCAGTGTAAGTTACACGTAGGTATTCGTTTGCCCCTTTTAAAAAGTCATTTCGGCCACAGCAGATCGATTGTTCTCCGCAACCAAATAACAAAGAGTCAAAAGATGAAAAAGTCACAAATGGAGAGTATCTTCCTCTTCCCCCTGAAAGTATCTCCTGATATGCCCCACAGAGTCCTAATCTGTGCCCGCATTGTCGTTCAGGAGCCGTTGAGTTTGGATTGGACGGGACGGCGTTAGTGTTGTTCTTTAGAGCACCCAAGGCCTAAAACTTACAGGCTACTCCAAATTCAGTGTAGCGTGCAGCCTACTGTAGCTTCCTGGGTGGGGTCTTAGGGGAAAATAAGAGACAAAAAAGCTACGTTTTGTTGATGGGGCAATCCGTTGTTTGTTTTGGTGATGGTTCGCTCTTTCCAATTGGTCTTCGGATTCTGCCGCACGACACTGACTCAAGCACAGAGAAGGTGCGATGAACCACGACGACATCGCTGCACGTCGCACCCCACTGGTTGTCATTTGAAGCCTTTTGTGCCCTTCGCGCCTTCTCTCCCGAACTTTGACCACGACGTTCCTTCCTATACGCGCTTTCCCCCTTTCCCGCTTCCCCTTTTCTCTTCTGGTGATACCGTTACCTCGAGCCTTTATATCGGCACCCGCACCAAATTTCCTTTATCTCGGCTTTTCTATGTTCACTTCGTCCAGTTCGCCATCCCCTCGTCTCACCGTCTTGTCTTCGCCCCCCCGGCCGCCCCCCTTGTCATGTCCGTTCTGTGCAACGGTAATTTCTGCACTGACCCCTGAACGACTAACGCTGGCCTGGCCGTGAGCTCCTGTCGATCTTTATCCGATTTCTTTTGTCTTTTCTTATTTTCCTCTACTCGACGTGTGCGGTTGAATTGGCGAGGAACACCACTGCCAGCGTCGACACAAACAGCCAACTCCACGATACCTTCATCTTTGGCCGCTGCAAGGTTCTGTGGCTAGCACTCACGCACACGCTGCAAAACAACCCTACCAACATCTGCCCTGCTCCCCACACAGCCCTGCGCGCCAAAGCTCAGCATCCGTGCGGACTTTATCGGCCAACAAGCTTTATGACCAGTTTCTTTTCTGTGCTCGCGCCTGCGGTCAACGGCCTACATTTGTGACCTCGTCACAAGACCTCTCGGCCCAATATCTCAACGTTCCGACACCACCGATACAATGGCCGACCGAACGCAAATACCGCGCCCTAGCGGCTTGCCACGACCTACCTCCCGACTCCCTCTCTACTCGTCCTCCACAAATGCAAATGCCTCGTCTGCAACAGGAACGGCACCGGCCGCATCGTCGCATCCCGCACGACCCATGCCTCTCCGTGCCAAGCCGTCGCGGGAAAGCCTCTCCGGAGGAGACTTGCGCAACCCGAAGCTGCGCTCCATGCCGTCACAAGACCGCCTCGGCGGCCTCTCGCCATCCTCCTCGAACTCGAGCCTCTCAGTAGCCAAAAACGCCATTCGCAACGCGTCACCGCGCACGCGCGCCGTCTCTGGGGAGTTTGCAAAAGCAGCGCCTCCTCGCAAGACACGAGCCAGCATGGGCGCACCCCCATTACCCTCGTCTCGGCTAGCCGATGACAGCAATACATTCAATCGACCTGGCACGGCCGGCACCCTGTCACGGCGAATATCTGCACAGCACTTGCCTAGCCGGTCCGCACAACACACCCCGACAGTGTCACAGTACTCGACGAGTCCAGATGAAGATGTTTTGGCAGAGGACCACATTGTGGGCGCTACGGAGCTGGAATCGCTTGGGGCGCGTCCTTCTAGAGCACGGCTGTCTCTTGCTGAGCGGACCATGGAGACGCTGGCACAGATCCCCAGCTCACCTGCCGTCAAGGGAAAGACGACTGCATTCTACGACCCAGAGGCGGCACGAATCCCGCAGCGTCCTGGTAGTCGCACGGGCTCGCGCGCTGGTTCTCGGCCAGGGTCCAGTTACCGGTCAGACAGCTCGACCCGGTCGGGTTCTCGGCCACCGAGCCGCTCACGCTCGAGTTCCGGCAACGACGACACCGCCCCTAACGTCCGTTCGTCAGTCAACTCATTCCGAACTGCCGTTCCGTCGTCGTTTGTTCCCATAGATGAAGTCGCAACCCCCGGCCGTCCCACAGCAACGCGGACTCTGCGTGGTCGTGCCTCAATCGGTCCTGGCGTGGCACCCAGTCAAAAGTATGGCGCTCTGAATAGCTTACGAGAGCAGGCAGAGGCACCCTCATTCTTGCCGCCAAGGTCCCGCACACCGAATCCCGAAAAGTCGTCTGCTGCTCCACCAGATACCCCATCGGCATTCTCGTCCCGTACCGCTACTGCGCCAGGCAGGTTTGCGTCCAAGACCGTTGCTGCCAGGCCACTAAAGTCGCGTGCGTCTGTGAGCGGCCTTATTCGCAAGCCGTCTATGAATAGTATGGATGGGTCAACATCTTCTACTGTTGTCGCCTCACCCGTTACAATGCGGAAAAGCTCCATGGCATCGCGTGCATCGTCCACGTCTTATGAAGACACCGGAGCATCCAATGCATCCAATGCGTCAACGGTATCAACGGCTCCGAGCATCGGTTCAGCCGAGCTGACGGGCCAAAACCCTGCCAGCAACAGCAGAAAATCGTCCGCAGCGTTGCGGGAGCAGATTGCCAGGGCGAAGGCAGCCAAGCGCGTGGCTTCGCAGAACGTGGGTGAAAAAACACGCGAATCCCCCGCATCGCCACTGAGCACGCCGGCTGCGTCCTTCTCTAGCTTGGGTGACAGCGCGTTTGATGCGGAGCCGGTCGTGCCCACGGACACAACGTTTGATTTTGGTCTCAACTTGGATCCTTTCAACCGAAACCAAAATGGCGAGACGCCGGCCAAGGTGGTTCTGGCTCGCGTGAATGCCGCGCGGACAAGCGGTCGCCTCAACATCGCCGCCCTGAACCTACGCGAAATCCCGGCCGAAGTCATGGGCATGTATGATGCGGATGCCTTGGGCACGTACGATGGATCCTGGGCTGAGACGGTCGATCTGACGCGCTTTGTGGCTGCCGACAACGAGATCGAGATGATTGACGAATCGGTCTTCCCCGACCAGTCTCTCGAAGAATTGGCGGAGATGGAGGACAGCAAGGGCAACATCTTTGGTGGGCTCGAGACGCTGGACCTGCATGGTAACATGTTGATTAGTCTGCCGATGGGCCTCCGGAGGCTCCCAGTTTTAACGTCTCTTAACCTGGTAAGTGATTACGACATCCAACATGACTAGGTGGTAAAAACTATGTGGCGGTTTACTAACACACCTTCAGTCGCAAAACCGAATCACGAATAACGCTCTCGAGGTGATCTCCCAAATCACATCGTTGCGCGACCTGAAGCTGGGCGGAAATCTGTTCTACGGACCACTTGACCCGTCGTTCGCGAAGCTGGAGAATCTAGAGATCGCCGACCTTCACGGGAACAACATCTCGGCTCTGCCGCTGACGCTCAGCAACATGACTAAGCTGCGCATTCTGAACATCAGCGAGAACAACTTTGAGAGCCTGGTGTTTGAGCCGTTGTCCAAGCTGCCACTGGTGGAGCTGAACGTGCGGAAGAACAAGCTCAGTGGTGTCTTGATCGAGGATGCGGTGTCAACGATGCCGCACCTGCAGATCCTGGATGTCACGTCAAACCAGATTACGCATCTCGTATCGACGACGCGCTCGGACGGCGTCGCATTACCAGCGCTTCAGCAACTGCTCGTCTCGATGAACCGTCTGCAGATGCTGCCCGACATGACCAACTGGACAGCTCTCATGACCCTGATTGGTGAGGAGAACAGCATCAACAGCATCCCCGACGGCTTCACGAGCCTCCGCCACCTCCGCCATGCCGACTTCTCAAGCAACGACATCCGCACCATCCCACCCGAGGTCGGTCGCATGGACAACCTTGCCATGCTGCGGTTGAGCGGCAACCCCCTGCGGGACAAGAAATTCTGCACGGCAGACACCGACGACATCAAGGAGACGCTGGCCGCGCGGCTGGAGCCAGAGCCCGACATGGGCCTGGGCCCCGGCGAGGAGGGGTTCATCCTGAACCCGCAGTCCGACGTGACGCAGAACGAGATGAACGACGAGCTGCGTGATGCAGTGACGGAGCTGTCGACCAAGACGGGCGCACACGGCCCCCAGCGCAGGCGCAGACTGAGCGGCGCCTCTGCTGGAGAACGTGGCGATGACGACCGCGATGACAGCCGGTCGGACGACGAATTTGCGACTCCCCCGACGTCTCTGCCCCACTCACCCGCACGCTCGCGCTCACAGACCGTCTCCAACCAGCTTTGGGCCGTCAAGAAGGGCGGCGTCCTTGATCGTTCCGAGACAGAGGCATCCTCGCTTCATCCGGTGATCTCGTCGCGTGTTGCTCAGGAGCATACCATCTACGAGATCTACTTGCAGAAGAACTTGTTCACGGCGCTCCCCGACGCGCTGTCCTTCTTTGCGGCCACGCTCACGACGCTGTCGCTGTCCAAGAACCAGCTCAAGGGCGAGGCGTACTTTGGTGACGCGGCGGCGAGCGACGGCCTCGAGCTGCCCGTGCTCAAGGAGCTGAACCTGTCGTGTAACCACATTACGAGCCTGGACCCCTTGGTCAAGTGCCTCCGTGCGCCCCGTCTGCAAAAGCTGGACGTCAGCATGAACCGTGTGTCGTCGCTGCCGGCCGACACGCGGCTGCGGGACGCCTTCCCGGCCCTGACGGTGCTGCTGGCGGGCAACAACCACCTGGCCGAGCTGCACCCGGAGAGCATCAAGGGGATGCTGATTGTGGACGTCAGCAACAACGACATTGAGCACCTGAACCCGCGCATCGGCCTGCTGGGCGGCGAGGGCGGCCTGCAGCGGTTCGAGGTGCTGGGCAACCGGTTCCGCGTCCCGCGGTTTAATGTGATTGAGCGGGGCACAGAGGCAACGCTGCGGTGGCTGCGCGGTCGCGTGCCGGTGGCCGAGATGGGTGCTTGGCGCGAAGCCAACCGCAACGGCGATGCTGACGACGATGTTGATTGATGTTTGGACGAGGCTGTTTTTCTGTTTCTGCCATCGTTCTAGCCAGCGTAGCCGGCGTTGAGATGTCTGAATTTTCCTGTAATTTTTTGGAAGGTTTTGCTGGATTTTCACATCTACCTATTTATTGCGTTCATGCACATTTCATTCAAACACTATGTGTGAAGCGATATTTTATAAGATTAATGATATTTTTTGTGTATGGTACTTTCTGGGTAGAAAAAAGACAGGTAATGTGAAAACATTAGTGAGTGTGGAAACAAACAAGAATGTCACGAAATGCCACAAAAGAACAAAACGAGTCGGTGGCGACAACAAATGATATGGAGGAAATACGAGTATCCCTACGTCATTTTTGACACATAATAAGATTCGCATTCTAATTTGTTCCATACCTAAGGTAAGGACACCTGACAGACGATGACCACGACATGGCGAAGAAAAAAACATTGGAACTTTATCTGTTAGCGTGGTACCACGACCCGCAAACCCACATACAAATGGTACTTCCATCGTCGTGTAAGTCAACGAACATCACCCAACGATGGCTATATATCAGTCTTGTCAGCGTTCAGCACATTGCTGTTTGCTGAGAAAGTCCGTTTTCTTTACGCATATTTAAATGTGGTTTTGGCTCTGCTTCGTCATGTCGCACGTCTCTTCCTCTTCGTCTTCACTTTGCCTCTTCCTCGCAGAGATCGTGCCATCGCTTCGGTTCGCATCCAAGACGTCTACCACAATCGCGAGACTTCTCTGCTCGCTCGGTTTTATGCATTCCCTGATCGCCAGATCTAATCTACTATACGGAACACGCACACACAACGCCGTCAAAATGGCCTTCTTCGCCGGAACAGCGGGCTTCCCAGAGAGGCTCCCCAACCTGGCCAACCCAGCCGAGCGGCGGCCGCCACCGCCCAACGACGGCAGTGAGAGCTGGCACGCGCACTTGCAGCTGCACTTTACCCAAATCTTCCACGACATGGACTCGCGGGAGCTGTTTACGCACTTTGCCCACCCGCAGTTTTATATCCCTTCGCAAATGGGCGAAGACGACGAAAGCGAGGACGGAGAGGACGGAGAGGACGGAGAGGACGGAGAGACGATCGAAGACCTAGAGGAGGGCGACATGGCAGAGTTGGCAGACTTGGCGCTCGCCTATACCGATGATGACAGCGTGTATGACGAGAATCGCGGATGGACTCCCGAGAGCATGGCCGCCGTCGCAGACGAATACAATGCCGAGACATTTGGTCTGGCCAGCGGGGAGAACGAGGACGAGGACGAGGAGGGCGACGAAGACGACGAGGAGGAACAGGACGACGATGAGGACGACGAAGACGATCGCGACTTATACGACGTGGAGCACGATCACATGCAGCTTGGGTACGGTGACCGCTACCGTTACGACTCCGACGACGCGGAGGAAGAGGAATACAGGGCGGGCCTCAGCCCCCTCGAGCTGGCGCGCTATGAAGTCGAACGTGCCCGTGAGGCCCTGCACGACGCTCTGCTGCTCCAACGCCGCAAGCGGGCCTACTTTGCCCGCCGCCGGTGCGTCCGCATGAAGTACGACAACCAGCCGCAGACCAAGGCCGACGCGCCCTATGCATTTGCGTACGTCTCGACGCTGCACATGGAAGTGTATGTCCGCCTGCTGCGCTTTGCGGACCAGCTGGACGATCCGTCGGTGCCGGTCGCCCCCATTGTGCACGACATGACGCCCTACACGTACGACGAGGAGGCGGAGATGTACGGCGCGTTCTACCAGCCGGCGACGCCCGAGGAGGAGTACGGCCGCTTCGACGCGGAGGATCCCGTTGTCGTCCCGCCGCGCGTCGACGTGCCCGAGTACGGCCCACCACCGGCCTACCTGCCATCGCACGACATGCTGGCGCCGGACATTATGCGCCGTCTCACGTCCCTCGACTTTTTGATGCACAACCACCGCCGTATGCGGCTGCCGCTCACGGACCCGGACGCAGAGTGGTGTGCATTTGACCCGCCTCCTCCGTACGCGAGCAAGTCTGACGACGACGACATGGCCCTGCCGGCATACTACCGCACCGTCGACGAATGCCCCGTCGAGCTGGGCCCGGCCCACGCTTCGATCCGACGCGAGTTTGAGGCGCTGCGGACCCCCGAGCCGTGGACGGTGGATCGGGGTGTGCTGCAGATGCGGCTGGACCTGATGGTGGAGGCGTTTGAACGGTATCACTACGGACCGGATGAAGAAGAGGACGCTTAAGTCGGTGGCACGTTGGGACGATTGTTTCGGATAGGTTCTAGGTTTTGCTAGATCGTGTTCGGTTCATAGACATACGAAATATCATATACCCATTTTCTTTTTCTTATATTCCGCTCATCCGCCAAAATGCAGACGTAGCACCGAGTGGCAGCGCAGAGATTACTCCCGCACAAACAGCGCCGCCATGCCCATGCCCGTCCCTATGCACATGCTGACGACGCCAATCTCGCCGCCGTCCCGCTGCAGGCCGTGCAGCAGCGTCGACACCGTGCGCGCACCCGTCGCGCCCAGCGGGTGGCCCAGCGCAATGGCGCCGCCGTCGGGGTTGACGAGCGCCGCCGGTCGTGCCGCCAATGACTGGCGGTAGTCGGCGTCTGACTCGGCCCACGCCTTCTCGAGACCCAGCGCGCGCACGCAGTACACGGCCTGGCTCGCAAAGGCCTCGTTGATCTCCCAGCGGTGCACGTCGGCGACGGCCAGGCCGTAGCGCTCGAGCAGCGCGGGGATCGCCAGCGCAGGGCCGACGCCCATCTCGTCGGGCCTGCAGCCGACGGTCACAGCGCCGACGAAGCGGCCGATGGGCTGGTTCGACGCATCCATGTCAATGGCCGACCGGCGCGCCAGCAGCACGGCGGCTGCGCCGTCGCTGACCTGCGACGAGTTGCCGGCCGTGCTGGTGCCGCCCTCGGGCACAAACGCCGGCTTTAGCTTGGCCAGCGCCTCGGCCGTCACGTTGGCGCGGATGCCGTCGTCCTGCGTGACCGTGACCTGCTCAACGGGCGCCGGGGGCGCGTCGGCTGGTGCCCCCTTGGGCGGCAGCGGCTGGTACTGCGTGGTGACGGCCACGACCTCGCCGGCGTCGCCCTTTTGTGCAGACGCCACAAAATCGCCTGCCGCCGCCGCCCGCGCCGCCCGCCGGTGGCTCGCCAGCGCCATCGCGTCCTGCTCCGCCCGGCCCACGCCGTACCGCCGGGCCACGTTCTCGCTCGTCAGGCCCATGGGCATGACGCAGTCGCGCGCGTCCTTGTCCGGCGAGTCGCGGAGGGCCGGCCACGCGTCCACGGGGATCGCCCGGCTGCCGTAGTTGCGCGTCATGCTCTCCATGCCCGCGCCGATGCCCACGTCAATGTCGCCCGCCCGGATCTGGTTCGCCACCAGCGCCACCGCCTGCAGACTCGACGCGCACGCCCGGTTCACCGTGTACAGCGTCGTCGCGCGCGTGTCGTAGCCCACGTGGTTGAGCGCCATGCGCGCCGCCTTGCTGCCGCCCAGCTCCGAGAGCACCACGCCCACGCCCACCTCCTGCACGCGCTGGTGCGCCAGGCCGTACCGCTCAGCCGCATGGCGCTTCGTGGCCGCAAGCACCGTGGCCAGCAGCTCTTCCGGGTAGGCGTCCTTGAGAAGGCCGCGGTTGGCTCGGCAGACGGGCGTGCGGACGGCCGACAGCACGACCGTGTCGGTGGGCGTCTTGGTCAGGATGGCGGCGACGCCGCGGGGGACGGTCATTGTGAAGGCGGGACGAGGCGTGTGTGGACGGCAACAATGCCGCCGAAGGAGGGCGAAGCAGTGGGAGAGCTTCGGTTTGCTGTTGTGAGGCTCGTCGGTGGTGAAAGATGACTAATCTGGGGAAGTAGAAGGACGAAGGAAAGTAATGGAGACGGAACGACTGTAAAAACAGATCTCTCGAGAACATCCCCGTTGCATTCATAAAACAATGGAGAGGTCCCGGGATATCTCGAGACAACGAGCCGTTGTCCGTGACTTTTGTAAATATAAGCCGGTTAGGAACTGTCCACTTAGTCGACACGCTCTTTTGGGTGTAGTGTAGGCAGCAAGTACATCTGACAACGCTAAACCTCACCAAAGCGCTGGCACTGGGGACATGGGCTCCACTAAACTGCCACAAAATGCACTAAATGGCTCCAGATTCACTGATCGGGTAGGGGCTTCGGGAACGTCGTCGGGACGCGGGGGAACTCTTTTGGTGGCAACAAAGTGGCAGTGGATGAACACTTATCCCACTGTGGGACTGCCCGCCGAAAGCAACAGGAAGCAGAGACCACTGCCGACGCCCGAGACCCATTTTCGGCAGTGCCACGAAATCGACAAGCGAGAGCCGAAGGAGAGCAGCTTTAGCATCGCATTTCCAGGAATAGGGCACGGGGCATGATTAGAAAAGACAAAAGCAACACGTCGGATTACATTTTGACGAGTCGAGTAAAATCGTTGGAAAGTCGTGGTATTTTGTCATCTAGCTACATATGAGGCAAAGCCAACAGAAAAGAAAGGAAGCAAAACAAAAGGGAGCCGAACCGAAACATCCATTCTCCGTCATGTCGTCTTAAAGTAGACGGAAACCCAACACAATTGGCATAAAGGATGTCACTGTCAGAGAAAGGACCAGAAGGAAGACCAGAATTGCAAAGTCCAAAAGCGTCCAAAACGTCCAAAAACCAATCCAATCATCAGTCAAACACAGCACCAAGATCAAAATTAGTCGTACATTCCCATGCAGCGGAACACAAATGCAAACTGAAAGCAGTCGAACGCAAAATGTAAATGCAAAATGCAAATACAGGATGTCGTAAGATGGAGAGAGGACGCAACGGCAGCACCGCCCAGCATTAATCATATCGAATGCCCAGGCCGACGCGGTCCGGGTCCTGCGCCGCCGACGGGTGCTGGTAGCTCTGGTGGTGGTGGTGGTGGTGGTGGTGCCGGTAGCTGTCGGTCGTGTCCCGCAGCGACGGCACGACGCGCACCTTCTTGGTCGGGCTGGCCTGCGGGTGGGCGCTGCCGTGGCGGTCGTCCCCGAGGCCGTGGTGGTGCTCGTGTTCCGCACCGTGCGCAGACGCGTGCGTCGGATGCTGCGCGCCGCTGAACTTGCGCTTGTCGACCGCGCCCGGGCCGTGGCCGGCCTTGTTGACGCCGCCAAACAGCTTCGCCTGCATTTTGCTGCCGCTACTACCACCAGCAGCCTCTCGTTCTCGGGACGCCTCGCGGGCGGCCGCCACTTCAAAACTCTCGCGCGCATCCCGCCGCAGCATCGCCGACGCCGCCTGGCTCGCCTGGCTCTCAAACACGTGCTCGTCCGCGGCCGTTCCCGAGCTCGACGACGTCGACCGGTCCAGGGGACGCGCGGACCGCGACGTGCCAAACGACGGCGGCGGGAACGACTGCGTCGTCGTCCGTGCCACGCTCTCCAGGGCCTGCCGGGCAATGTCCTCGTTGCCACTCAGCACACGGCCACTGGAGCCACTGGAGCCACCGGGCCCATGGCCAAGCGTATTGCTGTGACTGTGGCTGTGACTGCCATGCGCATCCTCGTCTACCGAAATGGTGCTCTCGCGACTGCGGCGGCCACCTGCAGGTGCGCCGGCAGCGCCTGGGTGGCCAGGCAGGCGGTGTCGTGGGCGTGTCGGGGTCTCGGGGAAGTAGCGGCCGCTGGCGCTCGTCGTGAAGCCCTGGCTGTGGGAATGGCTCACGCTGTGGCTGTGGCCATGGCCCACACCGCCCGACCGCGCCGGCGGCGGCTCCGTCTGCGGCACCAGGTCGACCGACGGCAGCAGACCCGCGTACTCGCCGCCGCGGGGGCGCGACGTCGGTGTGGTCGGCAGCGAGGACAGAGACTGCACATTGCGCACGTGCTTGGCGACATGTCGTGGCGGCGGGCAGTGGCCCGTCAACGGCGTGTTGGGCGCGCTGTTGTTTTCCTGGTTCAGCGCCTGCAGCAGCGCCGCAAACGGTTCGGCGCTGGCGTGGTTGGCGTGGCTGGAGGTGGCGGTCGACGTCGACGTCGACGTCGCCGGTGCGGCCGTGGTCGCGGTGCCGCGCTTGGGGGTCTGGTAGGGTGTGGTCCGCGCGTGGACAGGGGAGCTGTGCGGCTTGGGCGTCATGGCGCCGTGAAACAGACCGCCAGGGCTGCAGAGGAGGTGGAAGTGCTCGCGGTTCTCGCGCAGCCGGTTGAGCAACAGCTCCTTCTCGTCGACAAGCCCGGCCATCTCCTCTTCCTTTTGCTGGATCACCCGCTTGGCCAGCTTCACCCGCTTCTGCAGCAACTCGTTCTCTTCCGCGGCCTCGTCGTACCACGTCTTCAGCTGGCGGTACTTGGCTTCGGACGTCTCCGTGGCGCTGCTCGTGCTCAGGTCGCGGCGTGCCTGGCGCGCCCTGTCCGCCGCGCGCAGAGCCTCGACCTCGCGCCGTGTCATCTCGTGCTCAACGGCTGCGCGCTTGGCGTCTTCGTCGGCCTGCAGCGTCAACAAGTTGTACTGCAGTTTGTGGTGCGCCGTCTCCGTCTTGAGGCGTGTGTGCTCCGCCAAGCTGGCCTGCAGCATGGCGCGGAGCTCGTCGGGGGTCGCATCGGCAATCTGCGCTGGTGTGGGCGGGACGAAATCAGTGGCGCCGCCCAGCAGCGGTGACGAGTTACCCGCAACGGCGGCGGCAGCAGCAGCAGCAGCAACAGCCGCCGCAGCAGACGAAGCAGCGGGGCCCAGGCCGAGAGCGGCGGCCGCTGCAGCGTCACGTCGCGCTTGTGCGACCGAGGTGAGACCGGTACCGGGCGGGGAGGGGATGGCGGAGGACTGGGACACGGCACTGGAGACATGGTTGCCGTTGACGGCGGCGGTCGAGGGGGAGTGGGACGGAGGCTGGCGCCGCGGAAGAGGATGCCGTTGCTGCTGTGCGAGCTCTGCGCGGTGTTGTGACGAGGGAGGCGGCGTGAGAGAGGAGGGAATCATGGAAGGAATAGCAGTCTCGACCTCGACGTCAAGGTTCTCGTCTTCGTGGTCGTTGAGCTCCGTGCGGAACGACTCGTCGGCGTCCATGGGCGACCCGGGGCCTTCAGTGGACAGAATGGTCTCCTGCGATGCGGGGATGACCGTCTCGGCGCCCATGGCCGCGCCCAATGGCGTCGACGGCACCTCGACGGAGTTGTGCGGGACATTGTCCGAGTCCATGTCCATGTCAACAACGGCGTTTGACGCAGCAGCAGCGGCCGCAGCAGGCGTTTGGCCGGACGGAGGCGGTTCTGAATCGGAAGACATTGTGTGTGTATAGAAACGCTGTGCAGGATAGATGTTCTAGCGCTGTTGATAATCAACAACAACCGACTCAGGGCCCGTTTGTCGTTTTTAAGTGTTTTTCGTGCCGGTGATCACGATACTCCGTAAACGGTCGGTGACGTCTGGAATGTGCGCACGGCGAAGAGCGAGACAACAGCGTGCACAGCGTGCGGACAGCGTGCAAGGGAAGCCGCCGAAAGCAGCAAAAGAGCAACAACGACAACCGTCAAACGCCCTCACGCGCGCTGGGATGCAGTCGGCCCAACCCTTTTTTGAACAAAATATCGACCGAACCAAGGCGCTGGCATGCAGCGCCGTTTGAGAGCGGGACGTGTGCGTTTCACGATCAGCAAAGGGCGGCACGCAAGGGAGCGGTGATGAGACGCGGCGCAGAAGACGCTGTACGAGACAGGATGCGGCGGGCGTAGAGTGAGGACCTAAAATGCTGGAGGGTGAAAAGTGAAGCAAAAGAATCGGCCAGAGATGGTTTGTGCGCAATTTCCCTGTCGCCTTATTTTTCTGGTCGTTCACCGTTGGGCAAGAACAATGCAGTCGAACGAGGAGGGGGAAGGCACGACTGGTGCACCGCTGCGCTGGTCGATCTGGTTGCCGCAGTGAGGAGAAAGAAACGGGGCCAAAGAACGCACCAGACGCGGCCTAGAGGAGGGACGTGCCATCCATCCCCTGAAAGCCTGGCGGCGTGGTCCAATCAACGTGGCTGGTTGTCGGACGCGCTAGCCGAGACGCAGGTGATCACGTGTAGCCTTTTCGATGCACCAAGACGTTTACTGTGCATAAATCAGGACATGCAATTATACGAATTTTCAGAGTACGGATTGTCGCTAATATTTGTCTATCGGTATTACAAGTTTCCTAAGATACCTCTCCCCAGTCCCGTCCATCCGTCGCGTCCATCAACTCCATTTACAGCAGCGCAGCAACACCGACGACGGCGGCCGCGCCCAGGAGACCGCCCGCACCGCTGAGGGCCACAGCACCGGCCGTCGACGCAGTCGCCCCGGTTGTCGTCTTGGTGGGCGGCTTGTTCGTGCCGAACACCGTGCTGGTCTTGCCGTCGGTGACGATGATGCCAGGAGGCAAGGACGTGTTCGTGCCGTTGCCGCCCGCAGGAGGGGTGACCGACGGAGCAATGGTGGTCGTGGTGCCGTCCGAGCCGGAAATGACAACGACGCCGGGCTCTGACTTCACGTCGGTGGTAGAGGTGGTGGTGGGAGCAGTCACGGTGGTGGTGCCGGACCCGACAGAGGTCGTGGCGGACGCAGTAATAGACGCAGCACCAGCGGGCGACGACTCGGCAGACGGGGATGCCGGCGGCTGGCTAACAGCGGTAGACGAGGCAGCCGCGTTGCCGCCAAACCCGGGCAGGAAGCTGGGCGTGACGGTGGCGGTTCCGGTGTAGCCAGGGCAGCCCGGGACGGTGGTCTTGGGAGGGGCGCGTCCGCCGCCACAGTCGATAAACTCGCAGAGCTCGCCGGTGCCGGGGACGTACCAGATCAGGCTGGCACCGTCGACGCTGGAGGTGCAGCCAGAGAGGTCAGTACGGGCGAGGACGGCCGCGGGCAGCAGGCCAGCAAGGAGGATGCGAGACAGCATGTTGGTGGTGGAAGGAAACGTAACGAGTGTTTCGAACGAGTGTGATGTTGATGTCAGACGAACAACAGAACGAATGTGTGAGGTGACGAGGAAACTAAAAAGAAAACTCAGAAATACAAAGGCAGAAAAACGAAAGAAGACGAGAAAGAGCCAAACACTGTTAAACAAGAAACGGAATGAGATGGTAAATAAAGAATCAAAGACAGAGGCCCCAAAGAAGGAAGGACTAGGCCCTGTTCCAGACCAACGAGACCCCTGCACGACGAATGGCTCGGAAGCCTGTGAGTGGCCAGTCTCTCCAAAACCCTCGTATTTTCACTCCTTTTTTTAGGATCTCTCTCCCTCCTTGTCGTTTTGCTTCCTGTGAGTGCCCACTGTTTTAGTTTGCAAAGCTCCGCGTGGTTCCTGGTGCCGCTCGACCCGACGATGAGCGTCTGCTCGGCCAAGCCCCCTTGCCAAGACTTTGATCTTAGCTTGGGTCCAGACGTCCAAGCTTAAAATCTTAAGAACTAGGGGGACGTTAGCACGTTTTGGAAACAGACAAGCACCGATGCAAACGTCGTCTAGGGAAGTATTACCAACCCCGAAAGAGCGTGCAGTCCGAGATGGGCCGAGTGAAGTGGACTCTAATACCGGGGAAGATTTGCCGGATGGAAATTCGAGATTGCTATCGGAGATACTGTAAAGTAGATTTGTATGAAAAACAAGCAACATTTCTGTGTTTGCGAAAAGAAAAACACTCCACATACCGGAAAAGGCCGTTGAAGCTGCTGGCATTGGCCCGGAGGTTCACTGGACGGCTTGCCGCCTGTTTCGTTTGGTTGGTTCATGCGATTGCCTGGATTTGCCTCTACGAACCAAAGCCGTCTAAAAGGCGGGACGTCTTCGTATTGGGACCACGTTTTCGCACGATGTTGCCTGAAGATTGAAGCGAAAATATGCAAGAATCCCACCTCTAGATATATTTAGCTCAGGGTCAAGAATAAAAGTGAAACAGTAGAAATAGCAAAAGAAGCTATTGAAGACAAAATATTGGATATGTATGTGTCTTTGTCTTCGTTTATGTATTAATTTTTATTTGGAAATAAATTCAACGCAAATTATTCAATAAAAAAATCATTCAAGTTGGCAAGTAAAGTCCTTTAAAAAGAAAAAAAAGAAAAAAAAGAAAAAAAAGAAAAAAAAGAAAAAAAAGAAAAAAAAAAGAAAAGAAAAGAAACCAGGGGCAATGCCCATAAAAAAAAACCAATTCAACAAATGGATATTAGAAAAGCGTCGAATTCGACAAAAGGTTGATCCAACCGACGTGCATTTGACGTCGTTGATACGAACCAGTCGCTCTTTCCTTCATGCATCCTTCCAATCTTGGCCGACCACCACATGCTGAGTTTTGCCCCACTTTAGCTCTTCCCTCTTCCTCTTCCGTTTCCTCCTCTTGTGCCCCCTTTGCCCCCTCTGCCTCCTCTTGCAGCCCCTTTTCCACCTCTCCCACCTCTGGATCCTCCAGCCTTGTTTGCAGCCGCCTTTCCACTCGCAGCCTTGCCCGCAGCTTTCTTTGGTGCTGCTGCCGTTTTTCGCTTCTTCCCTGGTGCCTTGGTCTTGCCGCCATCGTTGGCCGCCTTGCGTTTGTTGGCGCGTTTGGGATTGCCCGGAACCACCATCAAGTCTGCATTGAGGGCCTCGTCACCGCAGTCGCCGTCGCCGTCGCCGTCGTCTACGTTGGCCGTTATATCGGGCAGCAGATCTTCGAGCGATGGATCAACGGGCCCTGGAGGATACTCTGTGGGCATGGCCGAAGACGCCTCGTCGCTGCAGCCGATGCTCCCTCCGCCGCTGTCCACATCGACATCGACATCGACATCGATCTGCGCACACGCATCCGGCGCCTTCCAGTCGCCTTCCCAGTTGAGGATGATGCCCTGAATGCGACGGGCGCGTTCGTCGAGGCGCGGCCGAAAGCCAAGGTCAGAATTGGTGCCGGCGACCCGACGCATCATGGCCACGAACTCCTGCTGGATCTGGACGAGGCTCTCTTCACAAATTTCCGACACCTTTTCCTTGAACACGCCGACGTTCTCGCGGTACTGCGTGTCCATGGCCTGCATTGTTTTTTTGACGAGCTTTGTCGTGCTCGCGATGGCGAATTGCTCCATCATGGACTGGCGCGCGTCGAAGACACCCTTGCCCGATAGTTCGGACGCCGTCTTGAACGTGGCCTTCCAGCCTTTGGCCAGGATGCCCTCCACGAGGATGGCCACGCCCTTGCCCTGCTCAGCAACATGTTCCATGGCGGTCTGGGCGGCATCGACAGCACAGTCCCGGATGGCAAAGATGGCGAGCAGGTGCTGCCGCAGGTTGGCCTCGGCCTCGCTTCCTGCAAAGAAGGGCGGGAGGCGCACGCGGAGACGGGCCAGTGCGCGGCTCCACGCGTCCAGGAGAAGACGCCGTGCCGTCTCTGTCTCGCGCGGCAGGCGCTCTTGCAGGCTCGCTTCCCACTGGCCCACGACATCGGCCAACACCATGTCGGTCATGCCGCGCATCCACATGTACGCCCCCGGAAGTTTTCCCATGCTCAGGTAGGGCCCGCCCTGGCGGCGGATGATGGCGGCATGCGTGGCCCAGGGCATGCGCACGCTTCTCCCGTTGACGCCCTTGAGCATGGTCGTGGCGTACATGTCCGGCTTGTGTTTGCTTTTTCCATTGTTTGCGTTGCGGACCGTTGCTCCTCTGGGCAGGCCATTCTTCATGATGGTCCGGTATTGCCAGCTCTTGACGCCCGCAATGACGGCAAGGCGACTGGGCGCACTGAAGTTGGGTCTTCTCGCCTTGCTGACAGTGCCACCCTCACCCGGAGCAGCTTCTTCGTCGGCACCCCCCGATCCCGATCTAGCTGCCGACGGCAATACCGCTGGCTGATTGAACGCCGCTTCGATCATGGGATTGCACGTACTGACTTGCGCCTCGAGTTTCTTGGTACAGTTGTCGAGGTTCCTACCTAGGACCTCCTGGAATTTGGCAAGAATCTCGCGGACCGCTTCTCCTGGATTGTCGACTACGTGGGCAGCCTGAACAATTATGGGTGTGACGAGCTCTGGCCCTTGTCCTGCATTTGTATTTGCACCGGCAGACGGCGAAGTGGGGGATGGTAGGACTGGTGCTGGTGCCGATGCCGCTTCCGATGCCGTTTCCGATACCTCACCGAAGCCCGTCTTCAGCTGGTTCAAAAGGACAGTGAGCCGTTTGAGCAGCGTCGTGGCATGTTTTTGGCGCATCGGTATTGTCGCCGCCCGGATCCACGCTCGCACGGTAGGCACGCCCGTGTAGACGACGTTTGGGAATCCCTCCTCGAATTTTGAGCTGCCGCCCCGGCTGCTGCCGTGTCTTTTGTGCTTGCGGATCTTCCAGTACGCCCCGGCGCTGACTGGCAGCACATCGATGGGTTCTGGCTCTCTGGGTTTGTCGCTAGCGGCTGGAACGACGGGTGCTTCGACTGGGGCGACCGACGATGATTGTTCCTGTTCGCCGTCACCGGCCGTCTTGTCCTTCGCCTTCCCTTTGCCTTTGGCGCCTGCGTTGGCTTTGGCTTGGGCCCCGACCGTCTTGCGCCGGAACGTCTCTTGGATGTTGCGGCGAATCTTCCTGCTGCGCCACTCGGTTGCGCGGAACGCCAGCAGCCCGGTGTAGTGCGTCAGCCATGCCTCCAGCTCCCGCTGCCGCTGGTGCAGTGGCGGCAGAAACGCTTTGGTGCTGACAATTTCAAGGTTCAAGGTCCTCACCTTCTGGGTGGCGTCCGCACCGATGCTGTGCTCCTCCAGCTGGAGGTCGTTGTCCATTTCTACGATGGCGTCGTCGACCTTTTGCAGCTGCTCGGCAACTTTTTCCAGCTGCGCCTCGAGCATGCTATAGACGTACGTGTGGTGCGCCAACACGCTGCCGGGGGGTGGCTGCACCGTCGACGTGATGTACTTCTCCCAGTCCAAGTCGTCGGTCTTGGAGGTGACGACACAAAATTTTCGCTTTCCCAGGCGGTTGCTGAGCCGCAGGTGCATGGTCTCGCTGTCCGACAGCAGATTGACGGCGCAGGATTCGTCGCTGGCACGGATGGCTGGGGTGACGACCATGGTGATGTCGAGCTTGTCGAAGCAGGCCTTGGCAACGTTCGCGCGGTCTTCGTTGGCATCCCCCAGTCCAGGTAGGTCGGTCAGTACGATGCCGTTGGCCAGAAGGGGAGCATCGCGGAGGTAGATATCGACCTGATCGACAATGGGCCAGAGGACTGTGGGCATATGGAATGAGACGACGTCGTCCTCGTCTTCTTCCCCTTGCTCGCTACCTCCACTATCCTCATCTTCATCCCCTGCTTCTTCGTCGTCCTCTCCCTCTCCTTCCACTTCCCCTCCCCCTTCCTCATCTTCGTCGCCCTCATCGTCGTCCTCATCGTCGTCGTCGCTCTCCCCCTCGTCCCCATCTTTGCTGTCAAAATCCTCAAAGTCATAGTCGTCTGGGATGGGTGTGCTGTCGAGGTAAGGCTTCACGGCCCTGGAGAATGCCCCAGCCTCGTCGCCAGAGACTGTCTTGGTGCGCCCGACGCACTTGGCGATGGGGAACTTGTCCTTGTTGAGCAGCTTCTCGACAGTCCAACCGTGCAGGTGCTCGAGGCCGAGGCCAAAAACAGCCTCGACACAGACGAGTTTGTCGACGAGGCCCTGCTCGTCAAACTCTTCATCGAAAGAATCGGCCGCTACGCTGTCGACGTCTGTCTTGCGCTGTTTTATTTCCTTTTCTTTGGCCTTTTCGTTCCGTCTCGCTTCTCTTTCGTCTGCCGTTTCCTTTTCTGCCTCCAGACGGTTCTTGCGCTGCTCCTTTGTTTCGTTGGGCGGGATGTACTCGCCATCTGAACCGTCGTCGGCGCCGGACTCGCAGTCGTCGTCGTCGTCGTCGTCGCTGTCTGGTTCGCGTCCGGCGTTGGCCGCTTCTCGCCGTGCCTGTCGGTCCTTGTACTGGTAGTAATCTGCCACATCCGCCAGGATCGGCTCGAGCCACTTGCACATGCCCTCTTCGGTCTTGAACGTGACGACTGCACGGAAGGGGACGACGTCCGCCTCTGTTCCCGTCTCTTTGTCGGTCGCTCTGGCCTTGTGCACGCGGCACACCGTGGCCGTCGCGGCGCCGTCGCTGCCCGACGGCAGCAGCTCGTCCATGTTCAGCAAGGCGTTGATGAGCGTCGTCTTGCCGGCGCCCGTGCCGCCCGACACGCCCACATGCACCGCGAACGCGTCTTGCGCCTCGCAGATTCGGGCAAACTCGCGTTTCCAGTATGCTGCGTTGATGCGTGCGTCGGCGGCCGACCCCGACGACAGGGCGGCGACCACCTTGTGGCACATGGCCGTGGCACTGGTGACGGCTTCCTCCAGGACGCGGATGCCGCGGCCTTCGGTCATGGTGGCGACGTCGTTCCATGCGTAGCCGGGCCCCTGGACAGCGAAACTGTTTTCCACGTCGTCAATTTCGAGGTCCAGGTCCTCTTGGTCGACCTCTGGATGTGGGTCGACAAAGATGGAGTCGTTGGCATCGGCGTTGGCATCGGCGTTGGCAACGGCGCTGGTATCGGCGCTGGTATCGGCGGCCGTGTCAATGTCCATGGCTGGCAGGGCAGCGGGATCCTGAGGCGCATCGGCCCGAGCTGCATCGGTGTGCACTGCTTCTCCCGGCTCCTGGCGCGGTGACTCTGCGCGCAGTGCAGCTGCCAGTTGGGTTGCGACAGCCTCTTCCGGTGCAACTGCTGGCGTAGATGACGACGGACCTACATGACTTCGTTCGTTCCCATGACCTGTGGTATTTGCATTGTCTCTGTCGACCTCCAACGCCTCTTCCTGTGGTGTCTTCGGGTCCATGGCCATGGCCACTTCCGTAATCCCGACGCCGGTTTCCCCAGAATTCGAGTCCATGATCGTCCCACTTGTAGCGGACACGGGAGTCATGACATTGACCGTAGCCATTGCATTATCAGCCGTGTTGGTGTTGGCTGCCACCACTGCTTCAACGTTCATGTCTACTAGAGTGTTCCGTCCTGCATCTGTAGTCTTGTTGCCGGCTGTATGGGCTTTGCTACTAATGGCCACACCAACGCCACTTGTCTCCAAGGTGTTGCCATTGGCGGCCTGCTTGCTCTCTCCCTCGTCGCCCAACACGCCCGCCTCGGTGACTACGGCCTCCATCTGGCCAGCGTCGGTTCCTGTGTCTTCGCCCGCGTTTGTTTGAGCTACCGTAACATTGTTTTCTGCCCGTTCTGGTGAGAGGGTATCCTTGTTGTCGTCTGGAGCGTCAGTGACGACTAGGCTGTTTAACCAGTCATCGCCCAATGCTGTAAAATGGGCCTCGCACGAAGACGCTGCAGGATGGTGTTTTGCGGCAGGAGGATCGTCCAAAGGTTGCATCTCGACAGCTTGGTCCATGGAAAACATGTCTGGCTGACCCAGGGTGTGTTCGTAGATGTCCGATAGATCGATGCTGTCGACGTCGACGCCGGCAAACAGGTCCCGGGGCGGCAGTTTGTTGGGGCCGGCCGCGCCTGTCTGATCCACTTGATGTTGTTGGGCATGCTGTGCTGCCGCGACTGCCACGGCTGCCGTGTCGTCTGCTGCCGTGTTCTCTCTGCTGTCAGCTGGGGCCCGGCCGTCCTCCTGCTTGGGCAACGGCAGAATCGAAAAAATGCCTTCATCTTGGCCATCGCGCAGGATGGGCGCGGATGGCGGCTCTACTTCCTCCACGTCGTCGTCTTCCTTCTTCACCTTGATATTGGGTTCGTGCACATGTGGGTTGTTTGCAATTGTTGGCGGAGCATCTGCTACATCATCAATGACAATGGGCATTGTCGCGGTACTGCCGGCATTGACCAGCCAGGCTGCTCTTCTCTCCGACGTGGTTGACACTGCTGCACCGTCGTCGACGTGGCTGTCTGTGATGGTCCGGTCGTCATCGTAGTCAATGTCTGTGATCGTTCTGTCGTCGTCAACTGCGTCTGGGATGGTCGCATAGTCGTCCACGGCGACGGTTACTTGAGATGATTGTGGCACTGGGGCTTTCTGCGCGTCGGCCATGGCTGCAGTTGTTGGAACTTGGAGCTTGTTTCAGATCGGTCTGATGGAGAGTTGAGGTGTGGAGAGACGAATGAAGAGGCAGTAACTGGTCCAAATCAACGCCAAAGGAGAGTGAATTGATGCTCGTCAGGGTTGACAACGGTGACACAATCACGAGTACCCTCCGCGCAACGGCGTGTTGCAGTCAAAGAGATGAGGGAAATGAAAATTAGACGAACGGAGAGAAAGGAAAGGAAATGCCCTCTATACGGGGCTCTGTACCGCAACTAGATTGTGAGTAGGATTTCGGTCGGAATAAGGCGAGGTGAGGTGAGGTGAGGTGAGGTGAGGCTGAGATATGGTGCAGTGCTTGAACCTTGAAGCTTCAGCCGATAAGTTCCTGACACGAGACTGAGAATAGCAACTTGGGACGGAAAGGCAATGGAAATGTGAGACAAAATTGTTTACAAACTTGGACGAACCTGAGAAACCTTCATACATGTGCATCGCCTGCAACATTGCACTGCGCCATATACGGAGTCATGATGTACTTGATCCAAGATATAGCACACCCTTATCGACACAATTGAAGCCTTTGCTTCAATGGATTGTTCGTATTGCTCATCATATTGCACTCAACTTCCATTCACAACCAAAGGCCACACGCCCTGGACGTTTCTGTAGCATTAAGATTTACGTTTTCATTCCTTGGGTGTGTGGTTGCATCTTGGCAGTGAAAGACGCGGCTCAGTTTATTTGAACGGCTGGAAGATCAATTTACAGTGCCCGAGGCGCCGGGATAGGGGGTTTTACGAAGTAGCTACAGCGGCTTTAGGCGATCTCGCCAGAGCAATGTAGCGCTCTCCGTGTAAGTCGACCACCAAAGCTGTATTGGTATGGTTATATCATAGAACGAGTGTAAGTCAGGTCACCACATAAAAGTGCGTTAGTTGCCGCGGCTGCCAAGAATCGGACATTACGACTTTGGTCACTCCCGATGGTGTAGCTGGTGATCACGTTCGACTGTAATGGCTGCATTGTTATCGAAAAGTCGCCGATTCGACTTCGGCTCGGGAGATTCCGAGTTTATTTTTTGTATTTTTTGTTGCAACTTGGCTTTCGTTCATTTTTGGCAAACAATGACATTACGAATTTTGAGTGCAAAGTTATTGCAGAGAGAATATGAGCGTCCATCACGTAGCTGCAGCGGTGACGTCCAACCGATGGAATTTAGAAACGGAGACTACGAAAATGAAGACGAACGAAAAAACTCGATTTAGGAAAAGTCATACCACTTCACGAGACTTGTAATAGAGCCTTTACAAGGATCCTTCTAAAAATACGCAAAAAAAAAAAAAAAAAAAAAAAGTACCCTTCCATAAAGTCACGATTCAACCACGATTCCACCGCATTTCCACTTTATACCTAGCGCCCCTTGCGTGTCCTCTTTCTCGTGCCCATCACAGTCGCGCCAGTTTCGCCCTCCTTTGATCATTGCGTGGATAATGTTTTCAACTGGGCAAGGGTCGTCTTTCAGATCGTCTTTCAGATCGTCATGATCATCTTTCCGTGTTTGATTGTGGATCGGGAATCAGTGGACTTGGAAACAATGTTTCGGAGATCTGGGCGTCTGTCCAGCTCCTTCAGGTTGCCTACAAAGGCCTTCACACCCGGCATTGTTTGCTGCGAAGCGCTAGGAGCACCGAAATTTGTCGCTACAAGCGTTCCGCAAGTGGAAAAGATGTCTCCGGCTGCACAAGGTCAGAACACCATACTTTCTTGCTTTGGACCGGGGCCATTTGATATTTGAATATGACCCAACATACCTTCGGTGTCCAAAAATGTCACAAATGGTCTGTAGTCCCGAAAACCAACATGTCTTGAGACTACCTTTAACTGATCAAAATGCTCGTACACGATTGGTACACGGCAGTGGTGGTCGAGTGGGAAGCGTGCGCATTCCTTCACCATATCGGCGGTGTTCGGCTCAAGAATGTGACCTTCGTCTGGCCCCAATTTAAGCCACGGCGGCTTGACGCGCCATCTTGGCCAAACGTTGTGCTGGTGCACGTTCTCGTACTGGAAGGCGGAAAATGTGTCCTTGGCTTTCTTTTCATTGACCTGTGCCCGAACAAGATCCGTTTCAATGACATCGTCCGTTGCCATTCTGTTTTCTGTGAGAAATTACACGAATCAGGGCTAGCTGTATCAAGAATATACCAATGCCAATGTCAGTGAATGGTCAGAAAAGGCATCCAAGAATACTCCAAGAAATATTTACATGGGAACCTGATGCTCTTGTTAGAGTACAGCTGGACTGGTCAAAAGGAGTTGCCGTATTCGGTGTCGGATAAAAGTGAGCTGTGAATGGGTGCAGTTCTCATGATAGGTGGTTGCTTAAAAGTGTATTGGGATGTGGTCGAGTGGTCTGGAGCTGCTCTGTCGGAGATGTGGAGGGGAGTTTAGTCAACCAACCAGTTGAGAAGAAAATGAAGGGAAGAGGTTGGAAGAAGTAGAAGCTGTGTGCGTGAGGCGACAAAATAGATGGACGTCAGGATATCTGTGAACGAGGTGACTCAACGTGGTGAATCAACGTTATCATGACCGACAGCTGCTAAATCCTTGACTGAATTGCAAGTGACAGGATTGATGTAGGATGTCTGGTACGGAGATGAAAGAGAGAGTGTGAAGATAACGCTGAGGAGAAGATAAAAGAGTGTCGCAGTCGGAGGAAGGTGGAGAAGACGAGAGGAAAGGAAGAAGAAGGGTAAGAGTGAGACGGTTGTGGCAGAGAAGGGCTCCGTTTAAAATGCAATACTGAAAAGCAAGCGACGAGGAAAGTGAGAAGAAGGCAAAAGTAAGACGAAGACTATCCGTCTACGATTTGCAGTGAACGTGAGAGTTAATCGAAAGTGAAAACAAGTAAAAGTGAGTACGGGACAAAAGTGAATACGAGATAAAAGTGAGAAAACTATCGTAGATTTTCAGTACAGAGATACAAATTGCAGCTGTAGAACATGTTTCCGGTTGGATATGTTCGTTCACGGTCGCAGCCGATGTTCGTGTCCTCCATGTTGGCATCTTCGTTCCAACACGCCGCTCAACAGACTTCCACCCCGCCACCACACGTCTCACCGTACTTCGCGAACAGCCGGCGACTGGGCCGACTTGCCGTCTGCGGCATCGCCCAGTTCCAAGTTGCTTTCCTTGACGCCGGCGACGGCGAAATCGCCAATGTCGAAGGCATCCGGCCCGTCAAAAAACTGTGCGATTTCCTCCATGGGGGTGTAGCGAGTCTCGATGACAAAGGCCCAGATGACCCAGATCTCAAAGGTGATGAAGACGCAGTAGACAATGCAGTATACGGTCGATAGGCTCGTTGTGCGTATCTCCCTGGTCAGGTACCACGAAAAGCTCAAAGCTCCACATTTCGCCAACGCTTTGGTTGTATTATATAATGATTAGTAAGCAGAGACCCGTGCCTTTCGGAGCCCTTTTGGGCTTCCTCTCAATTTAGGCCTCGAATTCCCCTTGGCATTTTCAACACTTGCTGTTCCACATCGCATCAACGACGAGGTCTCTGGATCTTTCACGGCTAGAATGGATCCGACCGACCCAGCGGATACGATCGCAGAGCTCACACGTATTATTGAAGAGCAGAAGCGCCAACAACAAGAAGAACTCGAAGCTGCAAGAGAACATGTGCGAAATGAACAACGCCTCCTTGAGGAAGTACAACGCCTTCGCCTTGAAGAACAACGCCTTCGCCTTGAAGAACAACGCCTTCGCCTTGAAGAACAACGCCTTCACCATGAAGAACAACGCCGCCGTGAAGCTGCAGAAGAGACCGCACGGCTTGAGCGACAGCGGCGCATTAATGCCGAGCGCGATGCGGCGGCAGCGGCGGTGGCCCACCAGAGAGAGCTAGAAGAAAACAGGCGTATGCAGCTGAGTACGCCCGCTTTCTTTTTTTGTCACGACTCGTTTTGTCCCAGAGTGAGTGATTAGACACTAACAAACCTGCGATTCGACAGACCAAACGCTCCAAGCATACCTTGCCGACATCCACCGCCTCAACTTTGTGGCCGCGCGGCTCGCGCCGGCTGTCCCCAGCAGCATACGCGCGTTATCCGACAACCGTAAGTCGAAATCGACCACAGACGGGCGGACGAACATCTTTGGGAAATACTACCCTCTCAAGATGCGTCCCTGGCCGGTGTTATTTGACGACTGCCAGGCCGCGTTTCACCGCATCGAAACCGCTCTTGCGGCAGTGCAGAGCTTCCCATCGGCGCTCGTGATGCAGTCCCACGAGGACGATTTGAAACAGAAGATCCCGACCGAGTTTCTCGAATCGGAGTCGTTTCGCAACGAGGCCCATACCCATCTGTTTCTCGACTACGCGTTGCAGATGCCGGCCCAGCGGGTTATGAACGCCTACCTCGCCACAATAGATGGCGGCCCGCAGAAAAAGCTGTTGATTGACAACTTTACAGCTGGTTGGCACTCGCAAGCCGCCAGCGACAGAGCCGCCGGGAGCAGTGAGGGCGCAGAGGGCGCCGGCGTTGGCGCGGGTGCTGCCTCAGCCTCAGCCTCATTGCCCGTCAAGACCCGGCCAGACTGTCTTGTGCTTTGCGCGAATGTCTTACCCGTCGAACTTGCAGAGGCCGAGACGGTTATGGACGATGGCGAGGACGATGGCGAGGACGATGGCGAGGACGATGGCGAGTTAGAGCTGGGTCAAGTCCACAGAGTATATCGGATCGCGGTCGGCGAACACAAAGCCCTTCACCGGCTTCGGACGGCCGTTGTGTCTCGTTTTCTGCAACGCCCCATCGAAGAAAACTTTATGCTGCGCTTGGCAAGAAGCACAAAGACAGGTTCTATCGCCCAAGGTGCCGCGCAAAATACCGCAAACGAAGCGGCCCTCGGAGAGAATCTCACCGGTATTCCGCCCGGCCAAGTGTTCTTTGCCCGTGCCTTGACACAATCGTTTCACTACATGATTGCCTCCGGGCTCGAATATGGCTTCATGGCAACGGGCGGGACGCTGACTCTCCTTAAAATCGCGAGGGATGACCCGACCGTCCTCTACTATCATACCATGCTCTTTCCCCAATACTGCCGACCTATGCCTGACGCCGGAGCGACCAATGCGGCCGGCACGCCGGACACGCCACTTGCCGTTACAACACTTTGCGGCTTATGCTTGCTGGCATTCGAGTCCTCTGCTGAAAGTCCACGGCGAAGGAGCATCAATATATCGGGGTTGGCGCCTTTCCCTCAGTTACCATCATCCTTGGTCGAGGATCCTGCTCAGCCGTCGCGTGCATCATCTGACCCGCGACGATCGCCGAGTAGAGACGGCAGCCGAGATCGGCGCAGACCTCGCGACGACAGCGACAACGATAACGATGACGGCAGTGATCAACCAAGACGTATACTACACCAGCCGCGGCAATCGTCTTCCTTGAAACGGCAGCGCTCGATTGGCGATGCAATTGATGAAGACGTGCGTCACGACTACAAGCGGCAGCGCGCCGGCCTGCCACCGATAAACAAGCCACTTCCTGTGAGCCGGTTCGATCCGTCGTCTTTTCTTCCCCTCCGGCCGTACTGCACACAGGCCTGCTTACGGGGCCTCGTCGAGGGGACCCGCCTGGATCTTTCTTGTCCAAATATCGTTCTACATAACGAGGCGCTCCGTGCGTGCACGGGCGCCCGACGCACGGCGGTGCATGCGATCACCAAGAACGAGTTCCAGTCCTTGTTGCAAGAACAGCTCCTGGGGAATGCCGAGCAAGATTGCAAGTGCCTCTCAGACGACGGCTTCCGTGGCGCCATTGGCTACCTCTTCCAAATCACGCTGACCGGGTACGGCTACACGTTTGTCGCCAAAGGCGTCGAGAACCACTTTGCAAAACGGTTGCGTCACGAGGAGCACGTGTACGAACAACTAGCTGTACACCAAGGCCGCTTAATTCCGGTGTGTCTGGGCGTCGTCCGCCTGCGGCTTCCGTACCCGATGGAAAACTGCGGGCTCGTGACACATATGCTGCTTATGTCCTATGCGGGGCTTCCCATCCATTCGCGTGCACTTCGCGTGCATTTGTCGCGCAAGAAGTGCGTCGTCGATGTCGAGGTCGAGGCCGAGCGTACGATGCAGCAGCTCGAGGCAGACGGGTTGGAGGAGTTGGACCTCGAGAGCAATGGAAACTTCACCTGGTGTGCGGAGACGGGGCGTGTGATTAAGATTGACTTTGACCAAGCGCGCATACGGCAGGGGAAGAAGACCAAAGACGGCGCCAACAAGACCAGCGAGCCCGGCGCGGCATTGAAGGAGCGGAGGGTGATGGATGACGCATCCTACACGACGAGTAGCCCGGTATATAACCGACCGCCAGCGTCTCTCATCGAGAGTCTATTGCTTGCCTAAGGGGTGCCAGCGGAAGGCAATGGTCGGGCTGGAGCGTTATGCGTACATTGGTTGTCGCGGCATGAGGACGGCAAGATCGTAAAGTTTTACCAACGGTAAGCAAGACTAATCAAAATAAAGGATATCAAAACAGCGGAAATGAAAATATCATGTACTGTCGTTTTCCATTAAGCTGAAGAAAGTCCTCTCCGGACCCGTATCTGGTCGACATGTGTTAATAAGAAAGCTTTCTGGCTAATAATTGCTTTGTAATTCTGTCATGCCGTCCAACTCTTGTCCTTTGTCGAGCATTCCGATGTGCTGCTCGCTTTTGGACAACATCCTCGTCACAGCAACTCCGTCTTCATCGCAGAATATGCCCTCGTCAACTCCTCAACGAAGCCAGCCAGACCCCGCAGTGTCCTAACTACGTTACCGGGTGAAGAAGAACAGATAAAAGGAGATCTCGGTTCAGACGGCAGCATCCTCTTGAGAAGACGAGGCGGAGTGACCTCTGTGTTCATATGGTAGAGATCATTTGTGTCTGATTACGACAGTACCTCCGCTTACAGTTTGTATTTTAACGAGCCGACTCGCAAAGAATTATAAACCCCAATAGCGAGCAACGACAAAAGAGACACAAAACATTCGTCACAACACCCTCCAGCCACAGCATGGCAGCCACCGTCAACCCCATCATTCCCGGCTTCTCGCCCGACCCCTCCATTGTCAAGGTCGGCGAATGGTTCTTCCTTGTCAATTCGACCTTTCACATGTTTCCTGGCCTGCCCATCTACGCATCCCAGGATCTTGTCTCATGGAAGCAAATCGGTACGTCCTCCTTCCGACTTCTTGCGTCTGCATCGTATCTCCTCTTACAATGTAACATGTAGGAAACGCAATTCACCGGCAGAGCCAGCCCAGCCTGGCCAAAGCCGACACACGGCTCACGCCGCTGTACGATGGCGGCACGCTGACGGAGGTCATGGCCAGCACGGGCGGCCTGTATGCACCGACGATCCGGCACCACAATGGCACCTTTTACGTCGTGTGCACCAACGTGATCCGCACGGCGGCCGGCGAGGGCCGTGACGAACAGCCCAGCGAGGAAACGGAAAACTTTATTGTGTCCACGCAGGACATTTGGGCCGGCATCTGGAGCGACCCCGTCCCCTTCCAGTTCCGCGGCATTGACCCGAGTCTCTTTTTTGACGACGACGGCACGGTCTACGTCCACGGCTCGGCGGGCCCCGGGCCGTACACGACGATCCGGCAGTTCCAGATCGACCTGGCGACCGGCGCGGCGCTCTCGGAGGAGCGTCTGCTCTGGCGAGGCACGGGGGGCATCTACCCCGAAGGCCCGCACATGTACCGGCGCAACGGGTGGTACTACCTCGTGATCTCCGAGGGGGGCACGCACGAGGGCCACATGATTACGACGGCGCGGTCCAGGAGCGTGTGGGGCCCCTACGCGGCGTACGAGCACAACCCGATCCTGACGGCCAAGGGCACGGACGCGTACATCCGCTACACGGGCCACTGCGACCTGGTCGAGGACGACCAGGGCCAGTGGTGGGGCGTGTGTCTGGGCGTGCGCAAAGACGCGGGCGGGCGGTTCATCATGGGCCGCGAGTCGTTTGTGACGCGCGGGACCTGGAGCGACGACGGCTGGCTGACGCTGGAGCGTGTCACGTCGCATCCCAGCGGCCTGGTGCGGACCGCGTCGTATACCGCGTCGTCCACCGCCGGCAACGTGGATTTCCTCTACATCCGGGACGCGCACTTGGCCAACTACACGCTGGCGGGCGACGGATCGGCCGTCACGCTGACGCCCACGCCGGTCGACCTCGCGGCGCCCAACGCCTCCCCGACGTTTGTGGGAAAGCGACAGCGGCTGCTGGACGGACAGAGCCGCGTGGCGCTGGCGGCGTGGACCCCCGAGACGCTGGCGGCGTGGAAATCGGCCGGCCTCCGTTGCGGTCTGGCCGTCTTCAAGGACGAGCACCGCTACACACGCGACACGCCCAGCATCGTGTTCGAGCTGGTGAACAAGGCCCAGGAGATTGCGCGGACGTCGCGGCACGACCTGCCACCAGGCAGCCGCACGCTGTCGCTGCGCATCGTCTACACGGAGCGGGACTACCGGCTGCTTTACGCGACATCGCTCCGACCAGACAAGGACGAGGACGAGGACGAGGACTGGACGTCTCTGGATGCCGTCGACACGCTGCAGCTGACCGACCCTGACTTTGTGGGACCTGTCATTGGTGTCTTTGCGACGAGTGCGTCGCCAGCGAAAGGCATTGACGTGGCGCTGCGGGGGCTTTCCATTCAGTAAGGTTATGTAGACATGATCAGCGTATGTAGTACGAATAACAGCAAGCTAAAACAAAGTAAAACAAAGTAAAACAAAGTAAAACAAAGTGGACCTCCACATGCCCCCCCATCCCCAGCGCCGCCTACACAGCCACCTGCTTCGGCCAGCTCCCAATCGTAAACTGGCTGTTGCACATGTTGGTCAGCTCCCACGTCTCCGCCGTCAGCCGCCCGCCCTCTTCGCGCTCGTCGGCCTCGTCGCCCGCCGCGCCCGCCACAAACAGCACCGCCATGAAGTGGTCGTCCGTCGCGTGCGCGTCGCGGTACTGCGCGTGCTTCATCAGGCGCGTGGCCGCCCGCCGCAGCGCGGGGCCCTTGTTGCGCGTCATGACGTCCTCGACGGCCTGGCGGAACTCGAGCGCCCACGGCTCCGGCGGACGCGTCTGCGCAAAGTTGTCGCTGTACCGCAGCATGGGCATCCACTGGTTGCGGTACAGGTTGTGCACCGCGCCGCCGGAGCCGATCAGCAGGAAGCCCTGCGCGCGGAGCGGCCGCAGGGCCGCGCCGACTTTCACGTGGTAGTGCGGGTCGAAGCGGGCGTTCATCGAGACGAGCGTCGTCGGGGGGCACGTCGCCGGGTCCGGGAACATGCGGATGAGGACGAGGTACGTGTCGTGGATCCAGTCGAAGGCGTCGTTGCCGCTGGCCTCGAAGCCGCTGGCCTGCAGCAGGCGGATGCACGTCTGCGCCGTCGCCAGGTCCGGCCGCAGCGGGTAGTCGACGTACTTGGACGGGTGCACATAGGCGACGGGCGACTTGGCCGGCGTCGGATTCGTGGCCACCTCGATGCGGTCGTGCGGCGCGTCCCAGTGCGCCCCCATCATGACGATGCCCTTGACGCCGTTGGCCAGCGCCTCGTCGCCCGCGCGTTTCCAGTAGTCGGCCGCCTCGGACGGCTCGCCGAGCATCATGGTCGACCCATGCGAGAAGAGATGGACCGGAGCGAGGCCTACACGGTTAGTGAGGGTGTAGAAGACAATGACGACTGGTGCCCGGGGTAACAAGGTCATGTAACCAAAAAAACAGAGATTTACTTCATAAATACATACCCATTTTGACAATGGCGTAGCTTGACGATCGTGTTCTTTGTTTTGACGATGTTATTTCGTTCTCGTTTCTTCTCGAACAGGTCACTTTGCTTCTCCCATCATGTCGTCCACACGGCTACGATCAACGGCAAATCGAATAGACCGACGTTGCAATGGGCCACCTGAAAACAATATAAAGACTGCAACTCGCCTGCCGTCGGTATGGTCAAAGGACGTCCGCAGACAGCAACGCGCTCGCGTCGGCATGTGGAGGAGCCGTCCCGATGGATGCTCGTCGCGATAGTGCCTTCCCCGCTGGCTGTCAAAGCGACAATACTAGCGTCCGCCATGATTCGTTCCTGCCCCTTCCTTCCCCGCACGGGCACCTTCCCCGGGGGGGCACAGGCCAGGCCCCTTCCCCAGACGAAAAAAAGGAGGCAATTCAGCTTCACCACATCTGTTCTTCTGCTTCGTTCCCCCTATCTCTCCTCGTCTCCTGGTCGGTCCTATTAATACGGGACGTGGCCCGCCATCATTGATTGCGCTTCCGAGGGACGTCTTCTCCCCCACATCCGTTCGTCCTGCCATCCTCCCCTATCGCCTCTGCTCCTCGGGCCAGACAAAACACGGCGATGGCCGAATACAGAACGAATCCGCTCGCTGCTGGTGCCGCCTCCACGACTGCCGGCGCCATTCTCGCGTCACCGGCTGCGAAGACGGGGACGTCACCAGCAAAGGGGACATCCGCAGGCATCGGAACGGACGACACCAGCAGCCTGTTCCAGTGCGGCTCCTGCAAACGCCAGTACAAGCGGCTGGACCACCTGGCACGACATGTCCGATCACGTAAGCAGATCCCCCCCTGAGAGTTCCGTCCCGGCTGGCATGCTGTGACGAGCTGCAGCTTTCCGTACTGACCAACGCAGACACCCAGTCCCGGCCGTATCGCTGCCAAGTCTGCACCAAGGCCTTTGCCAGAGCGTACGTCTCCTAGCTCCCTACTCCCAGCTCCCTACTCCCATCCCTACTCCTGCTCTCAGCCGTCCCTCGTTTGTTTTGTCCACCACCCACGCACACAGTCTGACCAACACCGACAGTGACCTCTTGAAACGACATGCCGCAGGCCATGACCGCTCCGACTCGTCCTCCACGGCAGGCAGCATACGCAGCAATGGCGGTGCCGCTTCGTCTGCGCTGCGCGCCTCGATCTCGGCCACCGTCTCGGCCACCCGCGTCTCCCGTGCCTGCCAGGCCTGCTCGTCCAACCACCTGCGCTGCAGCGAGACCAAGCCGTGCCAGCGGTGCACGAGCAAGGGGCTGGTGTGCGTCTGGGACCGCGCGGCCGACATGGTCGTCACGCCACCGGCCACAATCGGGGGCGATGGAGACGGCGATGGGGCGACCAACGATGGCGACGACGGCGACGACGACGACGACGACGACGGCCGCGGCCACGACATGACTGGTGCTTTGGGGACGACTCGCGTCGCCAACATGACCCAGGACATGACCGCCCACGACATGGACTTGAGCCTGGCGACGCCCATGATGCAGCCAATGCAACATGGAATACAGCATGGACTGCAGCATGGACTGCAGCCGATGCACGCGCAGACGCCTCTGCATCCGCAGCCACACGTCGACGACCCTCCCGAGTCGTTTATGCGCATGCTCTCCGCCTTTGACTTTAGCTACAAGGGTGCCAGCGCAACCGCCGCCGCCGCCGCCACCGCCACCGCCACCAGCAACGGCATGGTACCGCTCGCCTTGCCGCCGGACAATACCATGATCAACCACATGCCAGGGTACTGGACGCCCATGGGCCTGGGCGCCTCTCTCGAGATGGACGCGGCTGCGTCCGTCAACAATGGCACACTCGACCTCGGGTTCGACGATCTCGACGACATGGACTTTCGCTTTCTGGACGCCTACAACACGCGCGTGCCGTTTGAGTTTGGTGTCAGTCCGACGGGCGACGGTCTGCACGTAGCGACAACATCAACCCCCTGGCCGGGGTCGGTGCCCGGGGCGGGACCTGAATTCATACCGACCACGTCGCCCCGCCTCGGCAGCGACACCGACAACAACAACAGCAACATCTCCCATCACAGCCACCTCACCTCGTCGTCTGCCATCGGAACCGGCTCCGAGGCCTTCCAGCGCCACTACTGGCGCTTCCGTCCCAACGCCCAAGACCATGGCGGCGCCGAAGAACACAACCTGTCCCTGCCGTCCACCAGCGTTGTCATGGACCACACGAGCCCCGACTCGCCGCTCGCCCAGCATATGCACCCAAACTCGCACGCTGCCGCCCTGGCCGCCACCCACACCCGCCTCAACAACACCTCGCGCGACAAGATCCTGACCGTCGTGACCTACAACTGCCGCCGTGAAAACGTAGCGCGTGTCGTCACGTCCTTTCCCACCGTCGAGCTGCTCGACACCCTCCTCCAGTTCTATCTCACGTCGCCCGTCGCCCAAGCCTCTGCCTGGCTGCACCTCCCCTCGTTCCACGACAACCCCAACGACTGCCGCCCCGAGCTGCTGGCCGCCCTGGCCGCGGCCGGTGCGGTCCTGACCGCCGACTCGACCCTCTCCAAGCTGGGCTTTGCCATCCAAGAGTGTCTGCGGATTGCCGTCCCGCGCCATTGGGAGCGCGACAATTCGCTGACGCGTGATCTCGAGCTGGCCCACGCATACCTGCTGACGCTCGACATCGGCCTCTGGAGCGGCCGCAGCCGCAAGGTCGAAATCGCCGAAAGCTTCTTCCTTCCTCTGCTGACGATGCGCCGACGGGACGGCAGCTTCGGACGCGCGCGGCCCGCGCAGCCCACACCGCCCGTGGCCCCGGACGACGAAGGCGAGGCCCTGCACCAGAAATGGAAGGCCTGGGTCCACCGCGAGGCCGTGACGCGCTTTGCCTTTCGCATCCTGCAGCACGACACCAACACGTCCATGGCGCTGTTGACGCCGCCGCTGGTGTCGTATGCCGAGATCTTGCTGGCGTTTCCGGCGGCCAAAGCGCTGTGGGGGGCCGAGACGGCCGAGCAGTGGAAGCAGCTCTACCTGCAGAGTGCCAGTGCGCGTGGACGCGGCGCGGACGGCGGCGCAAGCATGCCCGCGACGCTGCCCGCGTTCCTCGAAGACCCCGAGGCGTTTCTGCAGGTCCACTGCGACCGCGTCGACATGGGCGTCGTGTGCGCGACCTTCTTGTCCTGCGCCTGGGGGCTGACCTGGGAGTATGTGCAGATGCGCGTCCTGCAGCGCGAGATGGCGACCACGTCGGCGTCGACGCTGTCCACGACCGCCTCCGCCTTTGCGGGCCGGCGGCGCGGGCACGCGCTGGTCATGGGCGCCCGCCAGGACGAGATCCTCCAGCTCATCCAGTCCTTCCGCCAGGCCGCGGCCAGCACCGTGCTCTCGTCGTCGCTGTCCGCGTCCGACCCCACCCTCGGCATGCGCACCGAGCTCGTCCTCATGCACACCCACACCGTCCTCGAGCAGGTCCAGCTGTTTGCCGGCATGGAGGGCCGCGACCAGGCCCGCGCCGTCCACCCCGTCATTGTCGAGTGGGTCGCCTCCGAAGGCGCGCGCACCTCGCTGTGGCACGCCGGCCAGATCCTGCGCGGGACCCGCCAGCTCGCCCGCGGCGTCGTGTCCGGCCCCACCGCCGTCATGGTCTACCACGCGGGGCTGACCCTCTGGATCTACGGCGCCGTCGCGGCCAGTCTCCCGCCGGACGTGGCCAGCGACGGCAGAGACGTCCTTCTCGACGGCGACGCCGCCGCCGCCGCCGCCGGCACGTCGTCGGCCCTCCAGCGCTTCTTTGTCCGCGGCCAAGGCCGGCCGTGCATCTCCTCGGACACCGGCGAGGTTGTGCCACTGTCGCGCCCGGACGGCGTCATGGCCGTCGTGGCCGGCCTCCTGCGCCACAACCACGGCGCGGGCGCACGGCCGCACATGGTCGAGAGTCTGATCCTGCTGCTGGACGAGATCCAGCGGGCCTCGGCGACCGTGTAGGAAAAGAGTGTGTGTACGGCAGCATTATCGGAGCTCATTTGACGTGATCATTTCACCAAGCAGAATAATAGTTTGAGTAATGTAGACAACTGACATGATTACGACTTGTTCTTTTTTGTTTCCAATTGCTCGGAGCCAATTCATTTACTTGCTCGACTCGCGCCCATTTTAGGAAATGCAGCATTCGCAGATGTGGTGCATTTAGCATTTGTCCTGTGATAGAAGACGACGTTGCCACAGAGGAACCAAGCAGCGACGCGAAGACACCTCTCCCATCCCACCGATGCATTGGCAAATGCTGTCGCCGCTGCGGGCCCGTCGTGTTTATGCCAGGTACCAACCCCGGTAGCTCTGCATCCATACGAAGCCGATCGTCGCAATGACATACGAGGCCAGCGCCTCCCGGGTGCCGACGGTGCGGAAGACCAGATGCTCCGTGCTGTAGAGAGCCAGGACGCCGACAAAGGTGAGCGTCGTCAGGTTGTACAGCGCCGGATTGGTGATCTGGTAGGCGGCATACAGGCGGATGAGGCCGGTGTACACGTTTTTGACGCCGTACACGTGGGCCAACAGGGCGTGCTTGGGCGGCGCCGATGGACCGGAAAACTGCCGCAGGGACGCGATCGGCCGCATGTAGCCGACCACGGAATGGATCATCGCGGAAGCACTCGTCTTGAACAACGGCGGTGTCAGCAGGCTAACTCGATCGAAGCGGGACAGGGGATTGGGTCTACTGCTCGGTACGTCTGTAGTTTGGGAGTGCTCACAAAGAGAAGAAAATAGGGGAGATGCCCCTTCTCGGTGGATGGGAGGAAGCTCATGGTCTGGGGCTGCTTGTTCGGCGGGCGTCTGGAGAATGCTCTGCAGATGTGTTCAAGATACAGTCGCTGATACGGAGTAGATGTTGGCAACAATGACCAGTCCCGAGGAAACAGTACTCTGTAAACCATATATATCCATCCGTGCTGACAGTTCTTCAGAGCCCCCCCTCAGGTCGTAGAAGGTTGTAGAAGCTTTGATTCGTTCACTCTGCGGGCATTGCTCGTCAGCATCCTAATAGGAAATTAGTGGGACGTTGAACATCCGACCTCCGGAAGTCGGTAAGCAGACCCGGCAGGATGTGGCTGTTATCAATCGACACAAAGCAAAAGGGGATGGCACGCTGGTCCGGAAATAGAAATCATTACAAACAAAAGTTGTCAGATGAGATGTCAGCTCCAGGCAATTTTCCTGACGAACGCGTGCCACTCAACGTGAATGTGACTTAAGACGGATGTGCTGACGTGAAGAGCCCATTCACTTGTTTATTATATCCAATATTTAAAGAAAAATGGATAAGAATCTATCGTCTATCTGTAATGTCTTAATCTAAACACTTCCCTTTTCTTGCTCCGCATCGTCGTGCTCTTGCTGATCATCGTCCGGCATTCTCTTGACAAACAGGGTGAACACCATCAACACACCACATACGGCCGTGTAGAAGATCCACATGCGGCGGACAGCGGCTGCAAACTGCGCGGGCGGCGTCGTCGTATCCGTAATGCCCCGTCCGTGAAGTCCGTTTTGCAAGAGCACCGTACCGACGACAATGGACACCGCGCTGGCCAGGCTCCGCAGAAACGCCGACGCCGACGCCGCCCCCGCGGCATCTTCTGGCCCGACATGGCTCTGCAGCGCGACCAGCGGTGCCTGAAACAGGGGACCCGCGCCGATGCCGATGACGACCAGGTACAGCACAATCTTGACCAAATGGGTAGCCGGTGCATCGAGGTCAATCAGCAGCCCCGTGCCGAGCGTCATCAGCGCCGCGCCGGCCCACATGGCCACGCGGTAGTTGCGCGTGCGGCGGACGGCAAACCCCGACGCCAGCGTGGCGGCCGACAGCGGCAGGACGAGGGCAAACAGGGTGACGCCCGACCGAATCGGGGCAAACCCGAGGCCGACCTGGAAGTAGAGAGGCAAAAAGTAGTCGTAGGAAATAAAGACAAAGTTGTGCAGGACCATGATGAGGAGCGCGGCGATGTTGGTGAGAGAGCCAAAGAGACTGCGGGTCGGCAGGAGGGGGTGCGCGGGCGGGACGATGTGTTCGTAGACGGCAAACGCCGCGAGCAGCAGGCTGCCGACGACGAGCAGGGCAATCACGGTCGGGGCGGACCAGTTGCCTCTTGTGTTTGTCGTGGTGTCCGCACCGGCCTCGAGGCCGTACAGAAAGGCAATCGTACCGCCGACAACCAAGAACGAGCCGACCCAGTCGAGACCCTTCAGACGGAGGAGGTGAGACAACAGAGTCGGTGACGTCGCGTCCGCTGCTTTCGGCTGGTCCACCTTTAGGGCAAAGACGAGCACCAGCAACGAGACGGCACAGAATGGGAGATTGATCCAGACTGGGGGTGGGTAGAGTCAGCAGCGGCGGCTTAAAAAAAAAAAAAAAGAGGACGACTTACAGCACCATCGCCACCCAATCGTCTGGGTAAAGACGCCTCCCAGCACAGGGCCGACACTGCAGGCCACCGCATACACCAGCCCCGTGATCCCGTAGTACTTGGCCCGGTCCGTCGGCCGCGTCACCAGGTCGCCAATCACAATCGTCACCAGCACGCTGATGCCGCCGCCGCCCAGCCCCTGCACAATACGCCCGGCCACCAGGACGCCCGCCGTCTGGGCCACGCCGGCCAGCACGCTGCCCACCAGAAACACCGTGTTCGCGGCCAGAAGCGCCGGTCGACGGCCGCCCAGGTCGGGGTCCGACAGCCGTGCCCAGATGGCAATGGAGGCCGTGTTGGCCAGGGTGTAGCCGCTGCCGATCCACGCGTAGACCGCGGCCGACGCGTCCAGGTGCCGCGCCAGGGTGGGCAGGGCCGTGGCCACAATGGTAATGTCGAGCGCCGACAGGAAGAGCGCGAGGCAGAGCGAGAGCATGATGACGCGGCGGCGGGCGGGCGAGACGGGCGGCGGGGAGGGACGCGGGGGGATGGTGGGCGACGGCGGGCCGTCGACGATGGGAACGACGTCGACGTCTGTTTTGGAGGACATGGTGGCTGTTGTAGACGTCCCGCTGGGGTCGATGTAGCTTGTCGAAATATTCTCAATATTCTCTACGACGTTGAAGAATGGGGTTGGTAAAGGAAAAAAACATTGATGTTTGGAAATATTTGCAAAGGGATGCACTCTGCTTATATCTATGCAGTTGCATCCTCGGGGCGGAGCCGAGGGACGGTCTTGGCAGATGTGAAGGTGGCGATGGGGGACGGTCTTGACTGATACAATGTGAAAAAGAGGAATGATAGTATGTAAATAGTACACATATCGTAATTCTGTTCTAGAGGGTATACACACAAAGTAGTTTGGAGCAAATATCATTTTGTTCAACTTTACGCTGATTTGTTGTTGACTAGGTGCTGAACTTCCATCTAAAACAAGACTCGCTGCGAAGGGTATATCAAACGCAACCAAAAAGCAAACGCTAGACAAATAGACTCCTGACAATTGGAAAATATAAAATCCGACAATAACACAACACAACCGACTCGCATTTCGATTGAGTCCTCCCTCTTTGACCATCATCTTTCGTCCGCCTTCGAAGCGGTTTTATGAGTGTCATCAGCTGGTTGTGAAGAGCCGCGTGGAGATGTGTTTGCTCCCGTCGAATGTGCGAATCTCGTAAAATAGAACGGTCTCGCAATGAAATTCGGTGCTTGCGGGATCGGATCTCGCTGGTCCAGATTGTCGTGTGTTGCGTGATGTGTATCCCGCCACGAAGAGCAGATCTGTTTGCTCAGGTGAGCCGACATGGTATATGTGGGTGCCATGGTAGGGTGTTGTGGGTGTTGTGGGTGTTGTGGGTGTTGTGGATGTTGTGGGTGTTGCCTGTGTGTCGTCTGTGTGTCGTGTATATTCGTGGAGTGTTTGTTATGGAGGAAATAGGTTCCTATGTCAGATATAGGAGGGGATGAAATGTTTCGGGTTATTTTTATTTTTTTGGTAAAAAAGCCGTTGACTAAGTCCAGAAATTCGTTGTCTGCATCAATTCCTCGACACTGATGCAACGACCTCAGTAATCGACCTCAAATCGATCCCAGCAACGACCTCACGTAATTTGTATCTGCGTGCCCACTGTGCGTTTGCAGAGTCACTAGTCCGATCCGAGGTTCCACGCAGAACACATGGCCTCGTGGTACTTGCTTCCGTATTGATACAGTGCGGGCTGTCTACGGACACATGTTTACGTTTGGTAGCTTAATCCAAGAGGTATCCTGGTGCTCACTTAGTGAGGTGGAAAAGTAGCAATACTGCAAATAATGTGAGTTCGAGGAGGCCACTACTCACACTATCAGTCTGATGTCTCGTTGTCGAATCCGTGCCACAATACACAGACGACAAACATCTTCACTTGCCGTTCCTCTTGCCGTCCTTTTGAGCTTCGTCGCATCCTTGACCACCTCCGGACACTTCCCCCACATCGCGATCCATCCAAGGCAAAGGACAATATGGAGAGGCAAGGGGTACGCCCCGCGACTGTGGAATCTGGACATCCCCGCAGGAAACGACCTGGAAAAGAAGCCAATAAAGACAGTCTTGTTTCTCATATCCTCGTGGTGGTGTGCATGTGTCTCGTGGGGACAGGGGCCTCGGAGGAGTAGCGTCTCGGTTTAGTAGCGCTTCGGCCGTAGTGTCATTTGCTCCGTGTAAGCTGCTAATGTGTCTCGGTTCCGAGCCGAGACCCTGTGCCAAAACGGAATGTCCGTCACGTCGAATCCGAGGTAGCTCTCTGCAGTGGTCTCCCGTGCCGTTTCGGAGACACGCCCCGGATGGCGATGGTATGACGTCGTGTGTCTGTTTTGCCTCAATATTGTCGAACATCGTCATGATATTAAAGGAAGACGGTGAAGTGCAACAAAGCTTCAACAAGTCTACCAGCAGCTACACCGCAACGATAACACAACATGGCCACCGAAACGATTACTGCCACGACCGCCGACGCTGCCTCGCGTCGTCCTGCCCGCATGCGCATGGACGGCACCGACGCGACCTACGGCGACTGGCGCGACGATCTCCTGCGCGATGGCTACGCGGTCGTCAAGGGCGCCGTCCCGCGCGAGCGTGCTCTGGCCTACGCAGACAAAATGTACTCGCTGGCCGAGTCCTTGTACGTTTCACGCCTATGCCATGACTGGTTTTCGCTGCCGTCTTCGCTTCGCTCGCTCACAAGTCAGCGGCCTCGGCTACGACCGCAACGACCCGGCCACGGTCCACCCCGACAAGCTCCCCGTCGTCAACGAAAAGGGCATGCTCATCCACTACGGCGCGTGCCACGAAGACTTTGTCTGGGCGGTCCGCGCCGAGCCGGGCGTCGTCGACACCTTCGCCAAGGTCTACGGCACGGACGACCTGCTTGTCTCGTTTGACGCCATCAACTACGGCTTTGCCCACCGCGCCAACCTGCCCGCCAACACGCCGTGGCCGCACCAGGACCAGGACCCCGACCGGCCGGGCTTCCGCTGCCTCCAGGGCCTCGTGAACCTGCTGCCCAGCGGCCCGGACGACGGCGGCCTCATTGTGTGCCGCGGCGCCCACAGCACCAGCCAGCAGTTCCACGACGACCTGCGCGGCACCGAGGACCGCATCCCCGCCTGGACCAAGGAGTGGTACGGCTACACCGACCGGGGCATGGCCTGGCTCCGGGACCACGGGCACGCGTGGATCAAGGTCGAGGCCGAGCCCGGCGACCTGCTGCTCTGGGACTCCCGCACGCCGCACTACAACGTGCCGGCCCAGAAGCAGCAGGACCGCCTGGCCATCTACACGTGCTTCATGCCCGTGGCGGACGCGACGCAGGACGACCTGAAGCGCAAGCGGGCCGCCTACGAGGCGCGGCTGGGCACGACGCACTGGCCGAACGCCATGCACACGGGCTCGAACCAGGCGCTGCACAACGGCGAGGCGGACACGGTGCAGCGCGCGTGGCCGCTGAACGATGCGGCGCTGAGCGAGCGGGCCTTTAAGCTGACGGGCATTCCTTATATCCAGGCGGAGGTATGACCGACAGGCTGTGTAGCAAAAAGGGAGTCGATAGTTGGGGATGACTTGTATAGAGCAGTGTTCTCGGATTTGAATGAACTCACATTGTCGTTCCTCCAGCAAAGTCTGACTTACGAGAGCTGCGAAATGGGCCTCGGAGCAGAATACACACGCATTTCTCAACAATCTAGTCCGGCGGCCGTCTATAGGTATTTCCGCACTCGTAAAGCCCATCTGTTATTTGTTCGGACCCGAAACGGTCTGTGCTCCTTGATATACTCCTCGTCCCGCGGCGACCTCCTCCACCTACCGTTCCGTGGGATATCGGCGCTATAAAAAACATCGCCCAGGTTCCCCGCACACAGAACAAAACCAAGCCAGCAAATGCATTCAGTTTAGTCTACTTCGTTGCAGGTGTCCACACACACCCCAGATCCCCCTACCCCAGGCCATCCATTGCCGAGCTCGTCAAGCGGTTCTCCTCATTCTCTTTGGAGGAGCGTCGTGCATGTTGTGCGTGCCCCGACTCCGTACTGTCTGGTTCGGTTCATCGACGGGGGAATGGGGAAATGACTTATATAGTACGGCTGGCCAAGTGACGGAATGGACATGGCGAGACAGAGGAAGGCGACTCGTTGACATTGGCGCATCCTATTGTTGCTTCTTTTATACCTTTTTTGCCCTGCCACGCTTCTCAACATGGACAAACCCATCGCCGACCACTGCGAGGCGGCGCTCGACAATGACGCCGACCTCAAGGCGAACCTTGTCGTGTCGGCAAAGGCGTTCAACGGCGATGTCAATCTGATGCCCGACGACGGCACGTCCTACCTGATCCCGGCGCCGAGTCAGGATCCGCGGGACCCTCTCAACCTGCCGCTGTACCGAAAGCTGGTGCGTCCCCTCTGACTGTACTCTGTACTAGGATGCACGACTGCCATCGCATGCTCTAACAGCGCAGATCCTCCTGGGCGTCGTCTCGCTCTTCAGCTCCATTGGCCTCACCATGGTGAGCGGTCTGGTGAGTCCTGTCCCGTTGCATTCGGCACCGACGTCGACATCGACCGCAATGGTCTGTCGCGCATACTGACGGACACGGCCAGGGCGGCATCCTCGGCATCTTTATCCCCGAATATGTCTCGCAAGGCTACGGCGTTGCCGACATTACCCGTGAGTTTTTTTTTTTTCTTTTTTCTTTTTGCTGTCAACACAGAATATGACGACGACCTGGCTAACTCGCCAGACTTGATGACCTACCCGACCTTGTTTATGGGTCTGGGCAACCTCGTCGGCATGCCCCTCGCCCTGGCCGTCGGCCGCCGCCCCGTCTATCTCGTGTCGTGCATCATCATGGTCGTCGCCGGCGTGCTGTGTGTCACCCAAAAGTCGTACGCCTGGCACCTGGGCGCCCGCATGACCATGGGCCTCGCGGCCGGGCAGAGCGAAGCCCTGTGTCCGCTCATGGTCCAGGAAATCACCTTCTTGCACGAGCGGTCGCGCTACCAGATGGTCTTCTCGGCGCTCGGCAACATCCTGACGACGGTGCTCGTGCTGCTCACGTCCTACATTGCCGCCAGCATCGGCGCGTCCGGCTGGTACGGCCTGCTGTCGGGCCTGGCGGGGCTGGTCCTGGTGCTCAGCGTGCTCTTTGTGCCCGAGACCAAGTACGAGCGGCCCCTGGCGGCGTACCAGGGCCAGACGACGCAGGTGGGCGCCTTTGCCGGCCAGACGGCGGTCCGCGACGATGGCGACGTCGACGGCGACGGCGAATACGTCGTCACGCGCCTCAAGACGACCGACGAGCGCGTCCTCGACACCGTGCGGTACGCGCCGCGCACGTGGGCCTCCGACCTGCGCATCGTCGTGCACAGGCCCGACTGGCACGAGGGCTCCCGCACCGTGGCGCGCATGCTGACCGTCATGTTCTTCCCGGACATGCTGTGGGGGTTTCTGCTCAACGGCCTGACGCTGGGCGTCAACGTCGCCATCGGCACCACGTACGGCAGCATCCTGGGCGCCGCGCCCTACAGCTGGCCCGCCGAGAACATCTCGTTTGCCAACGCCGGCCAGATTCTCGTGTCCCTCCTCAGCCTCGTCGTGCTGGGCTGGGGCTCCGACGCGCTGGTCCGCTTCTTCGCCCGCCGCAACGGCGGCGTCCACCAGCCCCAGTACCGCCTCGTGCCGCTCGTCTTCCCCGCCGTCGTCGGCACCCTGGCCTCCGTCCTCTACGGCCAGGCCGCCGCCCACCCCCAGCACATCCACTGGTTCGCCATCGTCTTTGCCCTCAACGCCTACTACTTTGCCTTTCTGGGCGCCAACCAGTCCGCCATCGTCTACGCCCTCGACGCCTACCCGACGCGCTCCGGCCCCGCGCTCGTCGTCATCTGCGCCTACCGCGGCATCCTCAGCTTCGGCACGTCCTATGCGGTGCAGCCCCTCATCGACCTGCGCGGCTACGACGGCGCCTTCTTGGTCTACGGCGTGCTGACGGGTGTCCTCGCCGCTCTGGGCATTCCCATTTACTTTTTCAGCGCGCGCATCCGGGCGTACTGCACAAAGTATACTATGTAGGATGTAGGCCGGCGTGGAACTGGGAGGGAGGGCAGTTCGAAGAACGTTACTCGAGTTGGCTAAGTTGAACCTTGATTTGTCTGTTCGCTTACTTTCGTGTATTAAATTATATTGTTATGCCGCATACGTAGCCATATCTCATCATGTTAACGCCACTGTCACATCTCTCCAACCCGCTCACTGAAATATGGCGTTAAACCAGCTCTGTATCGTTTGCGTATTGAGGCAGCTGCAGAGCATGTAAGTTTCCGGGACCCTCGATGGCGATACGAGAACAAAATTGATGTGGCCCTCTTGGTACCTCTCTTACCTTTTCGCGAATGCAGTCCACAACTTCCTGTGCAGAAGAGAACTCGGTCTTCCAGCATTTTTCGATAATGTCGCCCAGCGCCACATTGGACACGTCGGGGTACTCGCCCTGGCGAAGCAGGCGCGCAGCCATACCCGCGCCGTCGTCATCGTGGGTCCCGTGCGGGCCATGGGACGTGATGAGCTCGTAGATGGTCGATCCGAGCGCGTGGAGCTCGCACGGCATCGTGCCCGTCCGTGTATTTGGGTCTCGGTCCGCAGGGTGCCGAAACCCGCCCTCGGCCCAAACGACGGGCGGCGCGCCGTCGATCCCGGACCCGGCAAAGTCGCAGAGCAGAATGGTGCGGTCGGCGTCGAGGAGCACGTTGCGCCCGCCGATGTCGCCCTGCCGCACGCCCTTTTCGTGCATGTAGTGGACCGCCGAGGCCAGGTCCGCCGCCCAGCGGACGCGCTCGGCCATGCTGGCCCGGCCGCCGCTCCGAAAGTAGAGGCGGATGGCGCTGTGCGCGGCGTGCTTGAGGTAGATGCGGCCGCCGCGGTCGTCGTCTTCGATGCCCAGGCAGGGAACAATGTGCGGGTGCGCCGTGCCGAGACGGCGAAAGATGCGCTTCTCCGTCTCGAACAGCGCCTTGTGGTCGTCGTCTTCGTAGGGCAGCTTGGCCACGACACCAGGTTTGTCGCAAAAGGTATAGACTGTGCCTGTGCCGCCGTGCATGAGTCGCTTGCCGCCCGCGGGACACCGGACCCCTCTTGTTATCTGCGGCATGTTGTCCAAAATCGAAAAAGGGAAAAGTCTTTTGAGCTTTGAAAGAGCTGTTGCTGGAGGCTGCCTGTGTGAATGGAGGCGGCCAATGTGAGGCGGTGAGAATCACAACGTTGTGCAAAGCGTAAAGTCCGAAGACAAGAGATTATCCGACGCCGGATATCAGGCCTGTGCAGCCACAATACTGCTCTGTGTTCAATAATGGTATTGTTTCCGGGTCTTTGGGTTTTTTTTTTTTTTTGGTCGTATTCTCGTGAATTTGGGTTCTTTTTTTTTAAAAAAAAAAAAAAAGAAGAACAATGGGCATGAAATTCTGTAACATGACAACTAAACTGACCGCATAACGGCTAAGAATACATATGGTTATCCAACGCCTCAAACGATTCAAGATGATACGTGTACCTACTGCTATGTTCGCCATTGTCATTTATTGAACAATATTGTTACATACCACATCCTTAGGCGCTCTCCAATCCTGGATCTAAAAAGTTGACTGGTCCCATGGCATTCCAGAAAGCTTCGAGGTGGCCCATACCGTCTCCGTCGAGATCGAAAAAAGCCATGTCCATGCCGGGCGCAGTGGGTGCATAATTGTCCTGGCCGGTTGGAGGAAGATTGGTCGTCACAGGGGTCACAACGCCACTCTCCCGTCTGTTTGGTGTCGACGCGACTGTTGCGGGCCCAGCGGACAGCGCCGGCGGTGTGGCTGTGTGTTGTTCCGCAGCAGCGGCGACGCTGGTGCGCAGTGTATCCAGGATGCGAACGAAGCCCGGATGCTGGCCCGCGCCGCAATACTGGGTCTCGAGATGGAGCGTGGCCGAGGCCAGCAGCTCACAGTCGGCACGGACGAGCCGCTTGCCCGGCGCGCGCAGGATGTGCAGCGCCAGCACGACGGCCGCCTGGAACGTCAGCGTGGGCGATATGATGTGGGACGACGCCGACGCGGGCACGCTGTCGGCGAGGTCTAGCACCCGGTGGATCGTGGACCGCGCCGCCGCCGTGCACAGACTTTCCGCCTGCAACAGGCGATGCTTGTTTCGGATGGGTGACGGAGTCGGCGTGCCCTCGGGAAAGGCTCGCTCCACTTCAGCCGCAAAAGACCGCGTGGGAAAGACAATGGCGGCCCGCAGCACGGCCATCTGGGCAAGATAGAAGTGGAGGGCCAAATAGGTGGTGAACACAGCTGTCGACGGCGACGACACGGACAGAGACACATCGTATCCCGGCTTCAGCGGCTCCGGCAAGCTCGCGGACCACGCCTGCAGCCGGTCGTCGAGCTGGGCAATCTCGGTCAGCAGGGCGACGGCGCTCGCCGGTTTCTGGACATACAGACGGCGGCTGATCTGGCCGAGAATCGAGGACAGCGCAACCCACGGCGCAAAGATGGACGCAGAGTCGGTGGTGGGCGGCGGCAGAGGCAGTGGAGGCAGTGGCTCGTCGTTGGGAATAGCCGACGGCCGTCCCGTTTCCAGTTCCATGAGCTTTTCGAGGGCATACAGGGACCACCAGACGCGGCTCTGGAGCGTGGGCTCGCGTTCGGGATCGCTGCTGTGGGGGGCGGCGTCCGCACCGGCACCAGTCGCACCAACCTGGCGGTGCAGCCCGATGGAGTGGGCCACGCGCACAGCCTGGCCGACCAGATACCATGCCTGGCCGTCGCGGGCGCGCAGCCGCAGCGCGACGGCGAGCAGCAGCATGGACTGGACGCTGCGCAGATACGGCCGCGCAATGAGATGGGCCACCAGCCCAAAACCGGCCGTGATGTAGATTAAGCCCGACTCTGTGTCGTCGAGCGAGCCGCCCCGTTCGCTCTCGACCTGGCCCTCGCCGGCGCCGATGGCGAGCACAGCGAGCAGCACCACGAGACCCGGAACGTCGTCGTGCGCGAGGACAGACAGCAGGCTGGCCCCGGCTGGCAGCGTCTGCTCCAGCCCGCCCACGTGCCGCAGGTCCTGCTCGACGGTCGGGCGGTCGACCACCGGATAGAGCGGCCACACGCGGTCGAAAAAGACGTCCAACGATGCGCGGCAGGCACCCGCCGGGGGCAGCCTGGGCACCGCCGCCACGAGGGGCAGCGAAAACTCCTCGGCGTGCCGCATGCCGCTCGTAAACGCCGTCGACACCAGCGGCAGCCGCTTGCGCCGCAGAAAAATGTCGACAAACCCGGCCAGACACTGCAGGCTGCTGCCGCCCATGTACTTGACGCGGTGCGGCGCCGCGTCGTCGGTGTTGACCACCACGTCGGCGTCGTAGCTGCTGGTGGTCGCGACGGTCGTGGGCCCCGTAGCGTGGACACTGTCGTGGGCATTCTCGTTCTCGTTGCCGGTGTGGTTCGTGGGGCCGTTGGCGTTGCAGACTCCAACGTCGCCTCCGCCCGCCTCTGCCTGCGCCTCGGCCGTCTCAGAGTACTGGTAGCTCCGCGACACCCAGGAGATTGGAGGAGGCGACGCCGCCGGTGTCGATGCGCTGACAACAATCGTCGACGGCCGTCTTGGTCGCGGAGGCGATGCATGGTGTTGGTTGGGAGGCGTTTCCGGCGGGGGCGGTGGGTATGCAGGTGCGTGCGTTTGTACGGCCGTCTGTGTCACCGGCCCATGTTTGGCCACATATGCGTGGTTGCGATGCGTGGCGGCCGGATTCTGCCCCGGCATCAGGCCATTTGGCGTCGCCCAGCGCCGGATCTGCGGCCGTCCGCGTTCGTCGCCGTTCCCATTGGGTCCTCCATCTCCATTGACACGCGAGGGCGGGTACCGCGGGTCCGTTGTGAGGCACTCCTCGTCGCGCAGCCAGCAGTTGCGGCACTTGGGCTGCTCCGTGTCGCACTTGACTTTGCGCCGCCGGCAGTTGTTGCACGCGAGGTTGAGGCGGATGCGTTTGGGAGGGCGGGCCGTCGACGAACTGGTGGAGGTTGCTGCTGTCGTGCCTGCACTCGGGGCGCCGTGGCTGCCGTGGCTGCTGTGGCCGCTGTGGCTGTGCGGCGACAAATTATCCATGGTGTAAAGAGACTGACCAGGGAGTAGGACGTACGTCGAGGGTCGCCTTGTCAGAGACGCAACTCACAACTGACTGCTCCACGGCTGGCCCGCGGGAGGTTCGGTTCATATATGGTCCATCGTTGCATCGACCTCCACAACCCGGCCCGACAGGCAGAGACTGCTGTAAGTGGAATGGTATAGGAAGCTAGACGCAGCCACCAGTTTTCCATTGACCAGTCAGCGGCTAGTGATTTGGAAGCTCAGACGACTAGTTGGGGATAAATGGCCCCTGTGACGCTATCACGCGGCCCCTCAAGTCGCATGGTAAGGTCCGAATAAAACGCAGAGACAGAAACTAAATCGTACTCAATAATGGAATGTAAATACGTTCAAATAGAAAATGATTAAATGAAACCCTTGAGTCAAACGAGATCATCGGACGAGATCATCGGGCGGTATCGGGCGCTTCGGCGGTCATTGTTGTTATTGTTTTTGTTGTTGTTGTTGTCATGAAAAGCATGGAAAAGCTGAGTGCCGGGTGAAACAGGAAGGAAATGTTAGCTGGATTGGATGGATGGATGAGTATATTCCAAAGGACTCGCCTCTACATTGCTTACGTAATTATATGATTATGTCAAGCCAGCTTCTTCATCCTCATCGCCTTGCCCCGGGCGACTGGCCCCCGACACCGCCCCATGCGCCTTGAGCAGCTGGATGATCTCGTCGTTCCCCACAGCCGTCGCCACGTCCAGCGGCAAGTTCTGTACGGGTTGATTCACAATGGCCCCGTGCTGCAGCAACAACACCACCACGTCCACGTTCTCTTTCTGCACCGCCAGCGTCAGCGGCGTGCGGCCTTGCTTGTCGACCAGGTTGGCGTTGGCTCCGTGTCTCAGCGCCATCGTCGCGAGGGCCAACTGCGCATGATCGATGGCGTACGTGAGGAGCGTCGGCTCACCGGACACCTTGTCCAGGCGCTGGTTTGAGTTCGCCCCCTGCTTCAGCAGGAGGTCCGGTATCCTGAGCTCTGTCTCGCCGACAGACGCGGTCGGCGTGCCTTCCAAGAACGGGGCCATGGCGTGCTCGAGCGCCGAGACCCCGTAGACGTCGTTCGTGTTGCCAAGCGCGCCATGTTGGAGAAGCAGTTCCGCCATGGCCTCCCGGTCGGCTGCGGAGAGCGTGTTGTCACGCAGTACGTTGACGACCAAATGCTGGCCGTACAAGTCCCGTGTATTCGGATCGGCCCGTCGCTCGAGGAGCGTCTTCACCAAGGCGCGGTCGTTGCGCTTCACGGCCGTCTCGAGGAGCGAGACACCGGACGCATCGCATGCGTTGGGATCCGCGCCCGCGGCGAGCAGCTCGTGCACAAGCTCGTCGCGCTTCTGCTGCACGCAGACGTGGACAAGGGGCGTGCCGTCTGCGTCGCTCGCGTCGGGCTTCGCGCCGAAACGGAGGAGCAGGCGTACCACGTCCTCGCGATCCTCGTGCTTCTTGCGCTTCTGCAGCGCCAGTAGCACGACCGGCCGCCCAGGCCCGTCCTTGGCGCAGGGGTCGGCACCGCACGCGAGAAGCAGCTCGAGCCACGCGGGCGCTGTGTCGCCGGTCACGAGATGTACGAAATATGGCTGACCATAGCCGTCGCTCTGGTTGGCGGCGGCACCGTACTTGAGGAGCAAGCTGGCTGCTGCCCTGTTCTCGGCATCAATGGCGTGGAAGAGAGGTGGCCTGTGCTTGCCACCCGCATCGCAAACGCTACAATCTGCCCCGGCCTTGAGTAGGTACTGGATCGCATCCGACTGGCCGGCAATGATGGCGCAGATGAGGGCGGTGTGGCCGTTCTCGTTGCGCCCGTTGATGTTGGCTCCTTTGTTGAGCAGCGACGTCAGCTGGGGTACGTTGCCCGCCATGGCGGCGTGACAGAGTGGCACCACGAAGGGTTCCGGTTTGGTGCGTAGAGCGGCGGTTGCAGCTTTAAATGGGTTGGCCAGCGAGCTGAAGAAGCCACCAGACGATTCACTTTTGGTTTTGCTGCTACTGCTACCTTGGTCACCGGCTTCGGCAAGCGGTGGTCTTCCGTAGACAGAGCTGGAGGCTTCATCAAAAGGAGGGGGCGGCTGAAGATCATCATATGCAGGGGAGAGCGTGTCAAACGTGTCTCGCTTCGAAGAGGAGGGGTTGTTGGTCCTGGTCTGTAGATCCAAGATACCATCCGACCGTACGATCGCCTGACACGTAGATGCCAACCCAGCCATGAAGAATTTTGCGTCTTCAACCCCGAGCTTAGCCTCTTGGACTTGGACCGAGTCACTGGGCGGCACCGCGTATTAGCAATGTATAATGTATGAATGTCAGGTAAGAGAGACAAGGATGGCAGGTTCCTTACATGGAGAGTAGCTGCGTGGCAAAGAAGAGAAACCGCATCGTTGATTCCAAGAACGACTCGTACTGGAGGACGGCTGCCACATTGATCGCGTCCTTTGGCGTAGTCGTCCCAACGCGCATGAGTTCCTTCACCACAATGGCGGCCGTGGCATCACACTTGGATACGTGAGCCAATATGACGGTCCGAAGCTTGGCCGCTATGGCTGATGCTGTTCGCAGCCCTGCCTGCAACTGATCCGCATCCTTGCTCAGCTGTTGTAACTTTGCCGTTAGTCGTCGAAGCTTTTGAAATACTGGTGCGCCGGTCTCGTCAGTTGTGTCAAGAAAGTTGCTTTCTATCTCCGCGGCTCCGGACAAGGCCCGTTTTGCCAGACTCGCGCAAGTCGAGATGAGGCTGGTCTCGGGAGCGTCGCCCATGTTCTCTAGATATGGCCGGTTCGAAGTCTAGTTGAGAAGTGGGTCAACGTTAATTCAATGACTGGGCGTTTAGTTTATGGGGATCACTGGCGTGCCGATATCTCCAATCGACGGGATTAGCGTGGTGGGGTCTTATAGTGAGTGGGCATCGTCAATTGCGGGGCATTCGTGCCCTCCCCAGATTTAGGCTTGCGTGGCGGCTGACGCGGTGGTGTTAGGAACCAATGTTGCCTAGGTATAAATACTCGTTTCTTGTATTAGGATTCTTGTAAAATACAAACTTACAACCTTAACTTTCTTATCTACAGCTCCGGGCCTCCTGGGTGATGGGGGTTCAGGTAGCGGGGCGGGCTTGGGGTATAGAGTTTGATCGCATTTATTGAGCTAATCCTGACTATTTGCGCCGGTGTTGCATAATCCTATAATAGAAAACCCTCGTGGGGAAGAAAAACTACTTGGGAACTCTGCGTCGTGCTCGAGAAGAGTGCCGACACACTTCATGGTGATATCGCGGACTGCATCTTGATCCTGCCTGAGGGTCCATTTTGAAATCCCGTGTGGCTTACGCGTCTTTTAGGCAGTGCCCATTTTCAGGCCTCTTGTAGCTTACGCGTCTGTTACAGGGTCCATTTTCAGGTCCTTTGTGGCTTGGGTCTACGAGGACATCTACGATCCCATACCACCAAACGATGTAGCCGTAGCACGTCACCGTCAACCGAAAGCCCAATTTGGGAGGAGAGGAGGGAGAGGAGAGAGTGAGGCGGGGACAGTGAGATAGTTGAAGTGGTCTCGCTTCTTCTCTTTTAATTGGTCCTAGCCACCCTGGTGTGCTAGCCACGTTTGTGCTGTTCGACCCTAGTTTACTTGCACACCCTGTCTCCATGTGTACCAACCACGCAGCTGTACATGCGATTACCAACGTCCCTCCTTCTGCGCGGTCTGGTCACGCAGCACGCCTCCTCTTCAACCAGTCCACGGCGCCGTCATAGTCGCAGTTGAACTGCAAGAACTCGCCCGGGTCCAGTGTCACCTTTTGCGAGCCCGACTCCGTCGCCGGCTTCGCCTGCTGTCGACTGTAGGCCTGAATCAAACTGACACGGTCGTGGCGTGCCTCCCACACCTTTTGCAGAACGCTGTCGATCTCCTGTCCCGTCGGTTTCGTCGCCCCCGGCCCAACCTCCGCCAAGAACGCCGCCAGCGCCTCGGCGTCCTCGACGCTCTGGCTCGCGCCCTGGCCCTGGGTCGGGAGCATCGCATGCGCGGCATCGCCGACCAAGACAACACGGCCTCGCGTCCACCGCGGCAGCGGATCCAAGTCGCGCAGCTGCCACAGGCCAATGTCGTCGTCAGAGGCAGCCTCAAACAAGTCCATCAGCCACGGGGCAAAGCCAGCAAACGCAGCCTTGAGCTCGGCTTTGCTGCCTGCCCGGACCCAGCTGCTGTCGTTGTCCTCCTTTGTATCCTCGCTGGCGCTCGCCTCGTTTGCGCAGCTGCTGTCCGGCACCAGGGCCACGAACCCATAGAGCGCCCCGCCCCGGCCCGGCCCCATAATCACGCGTCTGTCGCCGCCCACGACCATGGACGTAATGGCCGGATCGCTGAGCGTGACGGACGGCGGCAGGCCCGCCACCCCGTCCAGAAGCGACCGCGGCATCAGCACGCGGTACGCCGACAGGCCCGTGGGGATGGGCTGGTACTGCGCCGCCTGCGCGCCCAGCACGCTGCTGCGCACGACCGACTTGATGCCGTCCGCGCCGACGACGAGATCCCCCTGCAGCCGGGAACCGTCGGCCAGCACGACAAGGCCGTCCTCGGGCAGGCACGAGACGACCGCCGCCGCCGTGCGGATCGCGACGGGTGCGCCCGGCAGCACGCCCGCGTCGCTCACGGCGGCATCCCGCAGCGCGGCGTGCAGGTCCTGCCGGTGGTAGAGCACCCGGTCGGCGCCAAAGCGCGCCGTGTCCAGGGGCAGCTCGCGCACGACGTGGCCCGCCTGGTCGAACAGGCGGAACCCGCGGTCCACGAGAGGCGACGCCGCTGCGAGGAACGGGTCCAGCCCCAGCTTGGTGACAATCTTGCTCGCGTTGGGCTGCAGCGAGATGAGCGCGCCGACTTCGTGGAGCATGCGCGAGCGCTCGAGGACGGTGATGTGGCGACGGGGGGCGCGAAGGGCGATGGCCTACGGAGCATGTCGATTAGCATGTATGAAAGGTGGCGAGGTGTAGGCTCCATGTACTAGATCCTATCGGGAGTCGGGGTCCTACCGCAACCAACCCGGCAATGCCGCCGCCGACAATGATAATGGTGAACTGGTCATCTTGGCTGCCCATCGTGTCGTGATGTGTGATGTGGTACGTCATTGGGGTATTGGAGACATTGGAAGAGGAACCTATCGGCAGGTCTACTGTTTTATTTTGTACGAGTAATAAACAGATAGATCACATGCATTGGGGTCACTGCCGTACGTATCGGCTCCAAATTCAATAGCTTGACTTTTTTGCGACGAGACTTGCTTGTGGTATTTTTGTTCGGAGTAGCTACTTTGCTCGACTTACACTAGTGCTGTCCGGCGCGATTCCGAACCGAGCCGAATACACGACTCGTCACAGGCTCTTCGTGCGGGGAATCCTGCAACGTGAATGAACTGCCGTAGCCTCCGGTTGTGGATATCCTCTCATGACTAGTGTTTCTTCCTTTGTTGAGCGTTCGTCCATTCCTTCGGCAATCACGCACGGCATGGCCCATAATTGTGGTCTTTGGTGTGTCCAATGGTTGTAAATTTAAACGTATTTCTCCTATGCCGAATCGAGTACCACAACTTTACTCTACTCTACAGCCAAGCTGAGCTCACTCGTGAACATGACCACCCGCCGGCTTGCCAACGTACGGCAGACTCACCGACGTCGGGTACTGCCCGCCGAAGTAGATGGTGTGCTCGCCCTTGTTGAGCTCGTGGTCCGGGCGTGGCGCCGACCAGCGGCTGAACTCGGCGGCCGTCGGGTTCTGCCCGCTGATGCGCACGGAAATGCTCTCGCCGGCATCGTAGTCGACGCCCAGGCTAAAGAGGCCAATCTCGAGCTTGACGACGGTACCGGGAGGTACCTTGTCTTCCTTGTCGTGCGGGTGGAAGGGGAAGTTGGGGTGGATGCTGCGGGACGCGTCAATGGCGCGGTGGGAGGCGCGCAGGATGCCCATCTGGCCGTAGTGGGTGTTGACGCTCTGGGTCTGGGCGTCGTCGACCTCGGCGACCGAGCTGATCGGCGCGGCGTGCAGCGGGAAGTTGAGGTGCACCATGTCCTTGCCGCTGCGGTCCTTTTTGCGGAGGATGACAAAGAGGACAAAGTCGTCGCGCGTGGCCGACGCGGCAAAGACGGTGACCTTGGGAATGCCGAGCAGGCGGGCGGGCTCGCCAAAGGTGTGCGTAAACTCGAGCCAGGCGTTCTTGTCCTCGGCATTATACGTGAGCTTCTGGACTGACGCGGGGGCGGCGTCCACGAGCCGGCCGCCCTCGCCCGCAAACAGCTCCAGGTACTGCGTGTCGGGCACCGGCCAGGCGGCGAGCTCAATGTCGTGCACGGGCGGCGCGTCGCCAAAGGGTAGCGTCGTCCAGCGCACCTTGGGGGTGTCCGTCTCCCAGCCGTTGTTTTTTTGGTCCCGCAGATAAAAGTCAAAGAAGTGCTGCAGCTGCGTCGCCGACTCCGGGACGCTGTACAGCTCGTACCACTCCTGGTACGCGCCCCACTGGATCCATTTCTTGTCGTGCGGGATCTCGAGCCACGCCCGGATCGCGCCCATGTTGTGCAGGTTGCTGACGTCGGACCCGCGGATGTACGCCGGGCACTGGATCCGCGTCATGTCCACGCGCTTGTCGGCCCACCACGCGTTGATCGTCGGGCTGCGCCGGTACATTTCCGCAAAGTCTTCGACGCCCGACGCCGCCGGCCCGCGCAAAATCTCGGCCGTGATGAGGTCAAAGTTGGACATGCTGAACCACCCGCCGCGCACAAACTGCTCCCGGTACAGGTCGCTCAGGCCTTCCCACGGCGCAATCGCCGCCAGCGACGGCGGCTGCTGTGCCGCCGCGTACCACTGCGCAATGGCGAGACACGAGTTACCGGCCATGCCCACCTTGCCGCTGCACCACGGCAGCGCCGCCACGGCCTCGATGACGTCGTACATGTCCTCGGCGTCCTGCGAGCCCAGAACGCAGATGTGCCCGTCGCTGTTGCCCGCGCCCCGCGCGTCCACGCTCACCACCGCGTACCCTTTTGGGCACCACACCGCCGGGTCGAGCCCCTCAAACTTTTCCAGGCCGCTGAGGTCCGACCGCTTGACGCACGAGTGCCACACCGTCATCGGCAGCATGTCCAGCGAGCTGTATTTCTTGCCATACGGAGACCATCCCAGGATGGCGGGCACTTTCTCCGTGGTGTCGCCCGAGCCCTCCGGGCGGTAGACGTCAATGTAGAGCCGCGCACCGTCGCGCACGACGATTTCGACGTCGTGGTCGAGACGAATGTCGCTCGTCAGGGCGCGGGTGTCCGGGCCAAACGGCTGTGCGCCGGCCTTGAAGAGCTCGGTCTCGCGCGGACGGAAGCCCGAGAAGCCATTCTCGCCGACCTTGCGCTCCTTGATGCGCTTGACCGCAGTCTGCACGGCGACGGGCATGATGTCGAGGGAAAAGAGGGTTTGTTTGAACAGCTGTCCCGAAGTGAAGGATGCAGTTAGGGTAGCACGAAAAGGGCAGGAGCTAGAACGGAGCTGGAAGAGAAGGAAAGAGCTATGCAAGTTATCGCAGTCTGTAGATGGAAGGAGCGATTGAGACACAGACTCTGCTGTTTTTGCAGAACATCAACGTCGAACGGTAAACAATCCCGACCCCATATATACATGTATCAAGACGATGGCCACAACACGACTGCAATAAGAACAGCTCTGTCTCCATCGAAGCTCACCGCATCGACTCCTCGGCGCCGCATAGCAGCCATGCTTGTACTAGGCCCACCCCTCACGTATCCGTTTTCCTCCACACGCGCCCGATCCGAGGTCTGGCCGGAAGACTCCGTTTGGGGAAGAAATGCGGGGAAAAGCAGAGACGCCGTTGAGGACTATTATCGGTACGGTGCTACTTGTGAGTATACAAGGCCCTGGCAGTTTCTGCCAAAAGACTCCGAGTAGCAAATCCGAGGATTCTGTTTGAGGCCACCATCGCTGCCAAAGGCATTTTAATTCGCAGTTATTTAACCCATCGAGATATCGACACAAACAGAACTCGACGTTTAACATCCATCTGGCAGAACACTGAACAATCCAGAAGATCAGAAACAATCCATCATCAACCCCCTCCTCATTTCCACATTCTACAGACAGCACAACCTCCCCCACCTCTCCAACATGTCCACCACCACCACCCTTGAGGCCCACGGCACGTTTGGTGCCCAGTTTGAGACCAAGAACCTCGTCGACTTTGACACGTCGCGCGTCTACGGCGACTGGCGCGACGAGTTCCACCGCACCGGCTGCGTGGTGATCAAGAACGTCATCTCGCCCGAGCGCGCGCAGTACTACGTGGACCAGCAGCTGGCGTGGCTCAAGAAGTTCGACCTGGGCTTTGACGAGACGGACCCGTCGACCTGGACGGCCGACCACCTGCCCGTGTCCTTCAAGGGCGGCATGTACTTTGCCTACGGGTGCACGCACGAGAAGATGGCCTGGGAGGCGCGCACGGAGCCGGGGGTCGTCGAGGTGTTTGAGACGCTGTGGGAGACCAAGGAGCTCATTTCGTCGTTTGACGGGCTCAACATCTCCATGCCCAACCGCACGGACCTCACGTGGTCGCCGTGGCCGCACTGCGACCAGAACCCGCAGCGCAAGGGCATGCAGGCCGTCCAGGGCCTGCTCAACTTTGCGCCCAACGGGCCGCGGGACGGCGGCCTCGTGCTGATGAAGGGCTCGGCCAAGCTCTTTGACGAGTTTTTTTCGCGCGACCGCGAGCAGGACGACCACGAGGACGCGCCGCCGCCCGAGATCAAGTTCATGGACCTGTTTCTGTTCAGCAAAAAGGACGTCCAGTGGTTCCTCGACCAGGGCTGCGAGCTCGTCAAGGTCGACATGGACCCCGGCGACTTTGTGCTCTGGGACTCGCGCACCATGCACTACGCCAAGCTCCCCGAGGGCGACCAGATCCGCCACGTGCAGTACATCTGCATGACGCCGCGCAAGTTTGCCACGGACGAGGCGCTGGCGGCCAAGACGATTTGCTTCAAGAAGAGCTACGGCACCACCCACTGGCCGCACTGCAACATCCGGCCCTCGTCGGAGAAGCCGATGCGCAACGGCGAGGTGTGTCCCAAGTACCGCACGGAGCCGTTTGAGAAGCCTGTCGTGACGGACCAGATTCTGCGGCTCACCGGAGTCAAGCCGTATTAGGCTGCATGTGAGCATGTACATGTAGAGTTTCTCTATGTTGACAAGGATAGTTTGAATTCGACAAATAGAAACGAGTGACTGTGGTTTCTGTTGCATCATATTATACATTGTGTTGACATTTCCGTACATGTGTTTCTCCAATCGCCTTCCCCTCGATCAACAGCCTGGCCTTCCTTCGTAGAGAGCACGCACGTCGCCTGCCGTATGCGCCATCGTCAGACCGTCGTTCCACAGGTTCGTTGTCTCTCCCGCGCCCTGCCCCTTGTCAATCGGCAGCATCGTCCCCGCTACGTGGCTCTGCCAGTGGGCATCCGTCACGTCCGTCTCGCCGCCCAGGTCCTGCCACACGCACAGCATGATCTGGTCCGCCCGCAGGAGCCCGCGCACCGCAAAGTCCGTGGCACATCGGTGGCAGCTACCACGCCGGCGCATGGGCTGCTGCTTGCCGTCCATTTCTTTGTCGGCGCGGTCATGATCGCTGTCGCATTCGTTGGCGTCCATCTCGTCGACATCACAGCCGCCGAGATTGTACATGTGGCGGGCGTGCCGAACGCTGGCCGCCATGGCCTCGCCCACGTGGCGGACGGCCATCTGGAGGGCAAAGGGCTTGGTTGCCCCCGACGCCTGGCAGTCTTGGCATGCATCGACGGCCTCCCTGGCCATGTCGGCCCACACCTCGGACTTGTGATGGTTGAGCAGGAGGTGCGGGCAGATGGCCAGGCTGACATTCGCCACCTCACTACGGGCCATCTTGACGGTGGTCTTGAGCAGGTAGCGGGCCTGCTCGATGCGCGCCGCAAATGTGTACTTGACCGTCGTCTTCTGCACGTAGGGGTAGCTGCTCGTGCTGGCGCGGTCGGTCCTGGTCAGCGCGCAGTCAGCCTTGATGGGTGCGAGCGCGAGCTGGAGACGAGACGTCAGTTGCTGGCGGTGTTTCTTGACGTCAGCTGTCTTGCTCTTCAGCGTTTCTCCGTCTTGGCGCATGGCCATGTCGGCAGCGATTTCAGCAAAACCGTTCTTGCGGTACTTCCGCTGGGTGGCAGTCACGTGTCCGCCGTCACCGCTGCTCTCTCCCTTCGCCTTCTTCTCGCTCTCTGCCGTCTCCATGGACGTCAGCAGCCGCGCACGCTTCAGAGTCAGCTGTACATCCCGGTGCGTCAGACCAGCCAACGGTGTCCTCTTGGACGACGACGCCTGACCCATGAACCCGAGAGCGTGCTGGTAGCGCTCCGCGGTCACTGCTGCATCTTTGTCTTTTGGGGGTTCACGCGGTAAGCGAAAATCGTACGCGTCGGCCGTGATAGCGGTGCGCTGGCACGGTGCGTGCAGTGCCGCCTCCATGACCGTCGGGCCTTTCTTGTAGGATGAATTTTCTATGATAGCCACGTCCTTTGCGTGGCATTCCTCCGCTGTGGCCGAATGCAGAGCCATGCATTCTGTGCACATGTAGTGGTCCGGAAGATCACGGGCCAGCGTGGACAGGAATGATATGCGCTCCGCCTGTGATCTTGGGAATACAGCAGCCCCTTCGTCAACCGTGAGCTTGGCTGGTGCTTCTGGTGACGTAGCAGGAGGAGGTGTCGGCACAAGCGTATCTGCCGACGATGACGAGTCGGGTTCATCGGTCATAATGGCGGAGGACGATGATGGTGGAAATGACAACAGATTGGTGATTGTCCTATGTGAGTTTTGGGGCAAGATGCGGAACATAAGATGATGATGGTGGGATAATGGTAATATGTGGCGCTGTGAGACTTTGAAAATTGGAGCTCAGGGGGACACAAAACGAGGAAAAGAAAGAATAAGTAGAAACTGGCAAGGAGAAACCGGGTAGGGTACCTGCATAACTTTTTGCCGAACCTGCTGCTCGTTAGCATGTAAGTAGGCGACGAATTTACTCAGCGAGGCCGTTGAAACATGAGGTGTCTGTTGGTCCGGTCTTGTGATGAAGCTGACAATGCATAATGCTAACTAATGCGTGGTCAAATGTATATGTTCACTCTATTTGCACCAAACACACGTCTAAGATGCATGTCATCTACTTTAAGAAATACCATTACTGAGGGCCTCGCAGTGGCCGGTTATGGGACGCACCTTTTCTCAACATCGTCTGGTATATTGCCAGTACTGTGCTTCGCTGGTCGCCCAAATGATAACGGCGACTCGTGCAACTCTTACCAAGTGAAAACGCCCGTATTAGTCTGGTTTGGGATATATTCGCACCACTCATGCACCTGCCACCGTGTTGGGACCCCTTTTTGTAGATCTATGGTCGATGACCAGGCTACTTGAACAGTTGTCGGTCTCTCTCAATAACCTACGAAGTAACAGATTTGCACAGTTGGGAACGGACATGCTGCGTGACCGTTTTAAAGATTTGATTTTATTAGTACGTTTTCTCGTGATATTCAGTACAGAGCCTCATTAGTCGTTATCGTCGTTCTCGTCGTCCTCACGCCAGGTAATCGTGCCATCCGGATGATTGCGGTAAAGCCGTCCGGTCTCATGCTTTGTCCAGTCGTTTTCGTGCTTGCTACGATGACTTGAGTCGCTTTGCGACCCTCGCGACGGCGGAGCTTTTCGTTTTTGGCTGCCGTTATTGATTGAACTGTGCGCGGCGGCAGGGTCCTTTGATGAATGTGTCGTCTTGTGCAAATGCCGTGAGTGCTGTAAGTGCCGCGAGGCGTGTGAAGAGTGTGACGAGTGTGACGAGTGTGAATGCGTCTTGCTGTTCTTGTGCTTGGAAGAAATCGGCGGCGTGGGTTGATACGTCGGCTGCTGCTCGTCCATCTCGTAGTCTCCGTCGCCTTGGTCGTCGTCTACATGACCGTCATGTGGTTCGCCGGTTGGTTCCGGCAAGGACGGTACCAGCCCTTCGGCAAGAGGCTGGAGGCCACCGCTCCGTTTCTTCTTATCATGCTCCTTCAACTGGTCTCGGAGCTCATAGGAGAGTGTCCTCGCGTGGTCCTGCTCGTTTCTGAGGCCTTTTCTGCCTTTCTTGTGTTCTTCGTGTGAGTTGACCAAACTTGTCGACGAGACCGGATACTGGTGATACTCGAGCGCGCCGTCCTCGCCGAGGGTTGCATAGTGCGCGTAAAAGTTGAGTTGGGTGCCATTCGTCGTAAAGGTTGTGATGCTTGCGTGCCCCGGGGGATCAGACTGTCCTTGGTAGGCAAGGGCTTGATTCCGGGCGTAGACGAGTGCTGCGCCGTCATAGCCACTCTGCAACGCCGCTTCTCGCATATCACCACCGGCGCCCTTCCATTCTCCGGCCAAGTGCGGCAGCGTCACAGATCGGGGGTTGTCCTTGTAAAGAACGGCTCCGTCGACATACTTGTCGACCGGGAACGGGCGGTATTCTTCCATCCCGAGTCCTTCCACATAGTCGGGTTGCGGAGCCGATAGGCCGTTGTTTAATCCAACGCCCCTTGGGAAGGCCGTGAATGGCTGGTTGAGAGCCCTTTTGTATCCTTTTGGATACTTCTTGAGCAGTGGTAGCATCTCGCCTACCATGGTGGCTTCGTTGGGGGCTTCTCCAACAGTGTGCACATAGTCCTCGTACTCTGACTCGGGCGGTGAAGCAGTGGAACGTGGCTCGGCAAGTCGCTTGCGCATGTCCTCGAGGTTTTCGGGAGGCTTGGAGTCAAGCGGATCGAGGATGCCATTCTGTCGAGCCTGGATGGCAAACCCAGATGCCGTTGTCGACAGTGTCTTCGTCGAAGTCGAGTTGTCCGACTCGCAGTGTGTGCGTGTCTTCTTGGCGGCACCCTTGCTGTCGAAAAGTGCCAGGTTCTTCCTTGTTAGTCGTGTTGGCTTCGAGGCAAGGTATGCTGTCCGCGCACGATTTATCTGCCATTCAGCGCCGCCGCCGCCGTCGTCGTCGTCTTGTTGTCGTTTTCGCGTCTCTGGGTGTACTGGACTCTGCTCATCATCGGCTGGCAAGGGCTCAGTTCCAGAGACCTCCTGTGAGCCGTGCTTGTCGTCCATGGTGAACACAATAATGAAGGAATCATTTCATGCGCTGGCCGATGAAATGGCCTGGCAGTAACTGCGGCGGGCGGCTCGCGTTTTGGAAGTGTGTTTGGGAGATGTGGTTGATTGGAGTGTCAAGGACGATTTCAGGCGCCCTGGGGGGTGCTGAAAATGATTGGTCTCCTGTACTTTGATTTTTGTGGGCCGCTTATGTATTTATGTCGGACCCCGTTGTCACTTCGTCCATCCTGCAACCTCAAAAGAGACCGACCTCTTATCAGGATTGCATGCCTGCCCAACGTCCCTGAAAAGAGTACCCCAGTGGCGTTCGTGGCATATTGGAAGGTTGGTCATGCAGTAGTATTGCTGTCACGGGCATGTATCCAGGTCGTCAACGGTTTGGCCGGTGTTCACTCTGTATCCTGTTCTTGACCGAATTAAGTGTCCATTTCAAATTCTATGTATCGTAATCATGCGCTTTTTCTTTTTCTTTTTCTTTTTCTTTTTCTTTTTCTTTTTCTTTTTCTTTTTCTTTTTCTTTTTCTTTTTCTTTTTCTTTTTCTTTTTCTTTTTCTTTTTCTTTTTCTTTTTCTTTTTCTTCTTTCTTTTTCTTTGTTTTTTTCTTCTTTTTTTTTTCGCTCGCTCGCCCGCCACTCAGCAGTTCCAGCCGCCGTCGACCGAGATGCACTGTCCGCTCACGTAGCTCGCATTGCTGCTCAGCAAAAACACAACCACCTCGGCCACCTCGGACGGCTGGCCCGTCCGGCCCACGGCCACCGCCTCGGGCGCCGTCGTCGCTGTCGACTTGCCGCCACGGGCCGCCAACGACGCCCGCAGCATCGGCGTGTCCACGAACCCGGGCGCCACGCAGTTCACGCGGATGCCCTGCTTGCCGACCTCCTTGCACGTCGACCGCGTCAGGCCCACGACGCCGTGCTTGGAGCTGCAGTAGGCGGCCGAACCGATGGCGCCCATGATGCCCATGATGCTGGCCGCGTTGACAATCGACGCGTCCCCATGGATGCCCTTTTCGCGCATGCTGGCCGTCTGCGCACGCATGCAGTGCATCAGACCCGTCAGGTTTACGGCAATGGTAAAGTCCCAGTTGTCCTCGTCCTCGTCGGCCACACTGTTCTTGTAGTTGGACTTGAAAACGCCAGCAATGTTGGCGGCCCCGTCGAGGCGGCCCAGCGCAGCCACGGCGTCGGCGATCCAGGCGTCAACGGCCTTGCGGTCGCGGACGTCGACAACGGCCGAGTGGACCTTGATGGTGTGGCCGGCCGCCTTGGCATCCGCCTCCGCGAGAGCAACGGCCTCCTTGAGCAGGTCGACCTGGACATCGGCCAGAGACAGGTTGGCGCCCTGCTTGGCGAGGAGCTGGGCGGTGGCCAGGCCAATGCCGGACGCGGCGCCGGTGACGACGATGTTACTACCCTTGATAACAGGCATTGTGGTTGTGTGGGTGGGGGGTGAATGAATGGGCGTTTGAAGATGTCGTTCTGGAGAGTTGTGAGGGGAGAGTCGGGTGAGTAAGAGTCGGTTGAAATGCGAGAATGGAGACAAGACGCTCTGCAGCTAGTCGAGCTCGAGGGGCACTTTATACTAACATGATCGCTCTGTCCTTGCCCTGACCCCTTCCCCTCTCATTCTGCACTGCGCCTTCTGACTAGGCCATGACTGCATCCAGATTCCAATGAGTGCACTGTCGACCATTGAAAGACGAGGAATACGGTCGGGTATCGGGCATGGTGGACACACCAGGACCCATGCAGCTGGATGCAGGAGAAAGAAATCCTTTTCCCAGTCGCCGCCAGTTGATTTCAAGCTTCCAGCCTCTAAAGCTACCGTGTGCGCCTTGTTGATGCAGTAGTGGGGTTCGAAAGGGGGATTAGCGGGGAAACATGACATGAGGAAAACGAGAGACTCATTGTTGGAGAATGGGAGGAAGTGGATCCAAATGCACGCGTCCTCCGACAGACCCATCTGTCGTCTAGGGAGAGTGAGGCAAGCAATGAAGGAGGTTCAAGGTACGAATTATATTGTGCTTCTTGATAGGCACCCGGACAGCTGATTCTCTTTTTAGGTCTATAGCACAATTCTCCAACTCCGACTCATGTGTGCGTTGCCAGAGAAATGGCCATGGCGATCAGGGGATGCCCACAGACGGACATCTGTTGCTTTCTTCGCTCTTATCGGCGCCATCCCCATGTCGCAGAGTACAGTTCGAGGCAGTCGGCCCAGTGACCACGGATGCTCGGCGTTGGATGGTGACAGAACAACGGAAAGCAACGCGGGGATAAGCATAACCGGGTCCGCCGTTAGCGGCGTCTTGGCTTCATTTTGGTTGTTGGCAATTAAGTTGGTCTGGGCTTTCAGAGTGGGGTTTAACGCTATAGTTCAAAAGCATTAGGCAGCGTCGGCATCTCGGATTGTCTGGTCTTCGATAACACGGAAGGAACAATATGAGTCTGTGTTTGAATGTGACCCCTGTCCCAGAAGGACAAAGCAAGGGACATCTTGATGCCTAAGATCTAGGGCAACTATGTTAGATGACTAAGCTAAAAAAGTAATGCGACCTAGGTTTCAACACGCGCAAAATCGCACTTGTGTTTTTCTCACCGGAGCCATTCCAACAGGAGCCCCGATAATATTCACACCCTTTTCTCTCGCGTCGCGATCTCACCTTCACTTTTTAATTTGAACATCGTCGAAACAACGGTGTCCTATATTAATTATCAGCATGTTTTGGTACTGTTTCTGGATTTTTCTTCACTCACAATTAAGCACACGCTAACTTGTCTAGTGAAATGAGCCCCCCTATCACGGCATCGATCTCCCAGATCGCCGCCGACAAATGGGCTGTGGGCTCTTCTATGTGGTGTCAAATGGTCAGGAGCCCTCCAGCAGATGCGCTGGCTGTCTGGCAGGCCGCTGATAAGAGCACATTCTGTCTTCTCCGAAGCGGAGGGGGGGCCAAAGAGACAATGGTGGCAGCACATGCTCCCAGTCCTCCCATCTCGGCCGCCAGTATGATCTACAACTCCGGAACGTCTGGCGCTGTCTGGGCTATTGGAGGCGCAATATTCAAAGCAAAGGCTTGGGTCGAGGGCGTGGAGACCGAGGCCAGCACACTACGCTACGTACAAAAGCACTTTCCGAGCATCCCCACACCAGAGATCATCTATGATTGGGTAGACAAACGTACGGCCCGGTCCTTTCTCGTTCTTCGGCCGGCCGAGGGGCAGACGCTACAACAAGCCTGGCCGGTCCTCTCGGTCCCACAGCGGCAGCGTATTGCGGCCGAGGTGGCTGGGATCTGCGCTACTTTGACCGCGCAAACGTCCGACATACTTGCTACCGCCTCGGGTCGCTACGGAATACAGGACAACTATCTGATGCCCGAGCGCCCAGACGATGCGCCGTCATGGAGGCCCATTCCGTTTCCGCCGCTGACGGCGAAGCAAGCTGGAGTATATATTCCATCTTTGATGGACACTGACGCTCTTGGAGCGGCGTTTCAATTTTGCCACGCCGATCTTAGCCCTACCAACATTATGGTCTCGCCGACCGACGGGACTGTCACGAGCATTCTTGACTGGGAGTCTGCAGCCTTTTATCCACGTGTCTGGATTGCGACCAAAGCACGTGTAAGCTATGGATTTATTCTCGAGGACAACGTCGACGACAATGTGTGGGCGTGGACGAGTGTTTTATTAGAGGCACTCGAAAAGTATAATTTCTACCCCAACGTCCAAGGGTTCCGTGCCCTCAAAGAAAAGCAAAAAGAAGCCTCCGTCTGTAAGCTTGCAGGCGATCCTCCAAGATGGTACTATCCCACATGCTAGGCAGTTGTGGCCAGCTGTCGTCCGCATTTTTCACATTTCTCGGCCCCTGTTGGGTTGTTGTAATTGCATTTAGAGTCTGGACATTTCATGTTGAACTGTTCAAATCATTTACCGTTAGCATCTTTTGGACATAAAACACAAGACAGCTCTACTCATATAACATACTTTTCGGGGCAGCGGGATTTTCTGTCAGATACTGGACCCAGTGCTGGATCAAATTCTTGAGTGGTCGATGGATAGAGGCAATAGTGGGAAAATTGCCAATGTCAAGGTCAGAGGGTGGTAGTGAAGTGATCTGATTTATATAGCGCTGTGGGTCGAGTATATATATGTGTGTGTGCGTGTGTGTACACGTGTGAGAGCAGAACGCAGCCAAGTTGCCCTTTTCTGGCAGAACCAGTAGAAACGTATCGTATCGTAGCAGTTTCGGCAGCATCCTTTACATTTTCTGTTGGTTGTTTCGTTTGGTGCCATGTTCTCTTCTCGTGCGGGGTTGGCACGATACGATTTGCTCAGACCAATCATGCACTGACACGTAGAAAATGGCCTCTTCAGACATACACTCTCTTTTCAGCTGTCAACTGGCTTCCCTGCTTCAATTCGCCGTTCTTTGACCCAAGAGCAAAAGCCACCGCATAATACGAGGTTCATCAGCGGCCTGGATGTGCTTCCGCGTTCTCCTATGAGACTAATCTGATATGTGTCTCACCCCCCGTTTCGACATTACATTTTCTGTTCTAGTCGATGCGCCGGTTAAAGAGTACAGATAGCGGAGCAAGATGAGAAGAAAAAATAAAAAATCAAAGGGAGAGAATATCTTAAAACGTACGGAGCGATGACAGGCCTAAAGGGGAAGGAAAAACTTAAGAGAGAAATAGGACGAGAAAGTGGGATAAGAGGGGGTAGGAGACGGGGGATGATGACCTTTAAGTGCCACCCCTTTTTATTTTTATTTTTATTTTTACTTTCTTTCTTTCAGCCCGTTCATCTTTCAAGTTTTCTTTTTCCTAGCGGCCATTGGACCACTATGGCTCCTCCGCGGTGTAACCTAACGTACCAGCTAGCTTGTCTGATTTTAGGCGTTATTCCGTCGGACCCTCTCCTTGTCTAAACAAAGGACGAAGTTAGATACCCTGGTCTGTATGTAACAGTTATGATGCTCGCCCCGCTGAAAAAAAAAAAAAATTCGCTGACATGGCAATATTCGCCGGCTGTTGTCGGCACGTCCGCTAGGTGGCATTTCCTTGGTTGGCGATGATAAAGACGAGACATTCTCGTTCACGGCGCCTGTGACGAATTACAATTTCCCATTTCAAAGGATTCCCATTTAATTAAAATATTGAGAATAAACATAAAACGTATCGCATTGAAGGAAGATATTTGTTCACAGTCGATAACGCGAGTCCTGCCACCATCAACCTGAATCCACACAAAGTGGCGGTCTTTCTCCAGATTCAGCGGCCATTTCCACCAGATTCCACGGCCGCAACAGCAGCTTCATTCCACAAAAGAGAGAAGATAATATACTCGCAGTTCGTTTTGCTCACACGAGTCATGTCCCTTGTTGGTTTGCCAAATCAGACATTCTCATTCGAGCGATGCTTTAAGCCATAATAACGTTCCGTGGAATGAACAAAAATAAATTCTCAACATGAGATACGCTCCATTCATTTTCTCTATTTAATTTATTATTATTATTATTATTTATTTATTTTCTAACTTCTGTCCAACGGCCCGGTAAGCAGGGCGATATACCTATAATCGGTATTGTATCTTTCTGTTTCGTAGACAGAGCACGTTTCTTGGTTCATGTTCAATTCAAAACTAATACTATGGGGAGGGCTTGTTAATTGTGTTTTATTCCCACCAAGGAGGGCGATGTCGAGTGATGTCGGCGTCTTTGTAATCTCACTCCGTTGACTTTCCTTCCTTTCAACACACAGCCCACTTTTACTACGTAATTTTTGTCGCTTGGCGCTATGGCGTGTCCGCCGTGGTTCCTCGATTAGTTTGTCGATTTGTAGATCCCGTCCAGTGATAAGATGAGATTGATAAAAAAGAGCGCAGGTCATGTGGGTCGTATTACTTGGCACGTCCACACAACGGGCCCACATCGCCCAACTACGGAGACAAGACGACCCAACAGGGCAGGTCTTCCGAATGGATTCCGAAGGTTTTCTGGATTTGGATACTCTCTAGTAGCCCCATAGAGCATTCGTTCCACTTATGCCGGATGGATTGACAGTAGAAATTCCGATTTGCTTATTTCCCAAGGACAATCCCCCCCCCCCCCACCCCGAGCCTTCCAAGTATCGACTTAACCATATGGCTGGTATTTTGAAAAACGTTCGTCGTAGTTTGTAGCCGCCAAGGCCGGTGCCATCCCTTAGTATGTGGGATTGACGTGTGGGGTCCTTCTTGACTTGCATTTTGGCCCACCCCTTTTATCAGATCCTCTGCCTCTCATCCGGGTCCACGTGGGCCGATCCTCGGCCTGTGTCAACGTCCGTCCCAGGAAGAATAAAACGGACTCTGTGGCCCTTTTTTGCTAACCTAGGTTTTCCTCCCACCATCTGTTTCCCCTGGTTTCCTTCTATTGTCCCCATTCCTTCCTTCTTTGCCATCATGGACTCCCCCGTGGCCTCTGTCGACGAGAAGCAGGTCATGTCCAAGGACGTTGGCGCTCATGGCTCTGACAATGACGTTTCTTCTCCTGAAAAGCAGGTTCCAACGACCACGTCCGTGCTTGTTGCCGACAACGGCACCAACGGCAACCATGACGACACCGCCTCGATCGTCAGCGTCGGCGGGCGCACCAAGAAAGTGCCGATGAAGGTCAAGCTCGTGTCGGTGGTGCTCGTGTCGCTCATCGGCTTCGGCGCGCACTGGAGCAGCGGCGTCACGGGCGCCATGAAGTCGGCGCTCAAAAAGGGCATGGGCATCAACAACACGCAGTACGCGCTGCTGGACGCGACAGACAACTTTATCAAGTCGGTGCTCATCCTCGCCACGGGCCTCTACACGGACCGCCTGGGCGGGGCCAGCACGCTCGTCTGGGGCAACCTGCTGTTCACGGCCGGGTCGGTGCTGGTGGCGGCGGCGACGACGACGCGCAACTTCCGGTTCATGCTGGGCGCGATGGTGATCCAGTCGCTGGGCGACGTGGCGACGCAGGTGGCGCAGTACAAGGTGTTCGCGTCGTGGTTTGCGCCGTCGGACGGCTTTGCGTCCACGCTGGGCTTCGAGCTGGGCCTGGGCAAGGTCGGGTCCTTTGTCGGGCAGATCTCGGCCAACGTCATTGCGGAGCGCCTCGGCGACTTCAGCTGGACGTTTTGGATGTCGGTGGTCATGAACGTCTTCACCAACGTGGCGACCGTCGTCTTCTACCTGTTCACGCGCTGGTGCGCGCGGCACTACAGCAGCACGGGCAAGACGGACCCGGCGACGGGCGAGGTGCTGACCGAGCGGACCCGGCGGCTCGCGTGGTCCAGGGTGGTGCGGCTGCCGTGGCCGTTCTGGGGCGTCATCGCCTTCACGCTGTGCCAGACGACGGCCGCGTCCGTGTTCGGCACGAACGCCACCGAGCTGGCCGAGCAGCGGTTCCACGTGTCGTCCATCCGCGCCGGCTTCTACGCGGCCCTCACCCAGTACATGGGCTTCTTCCTGGTGCCGCTGCTGGGCCTCTTCATCGACGTCTACGGCCACCGCCTGACCGTCATGAGTGTCTGCGGCACGGGAATGTTCCTGTCCATGTCTCTCATCATGTGGAGCAGCTCCATGGCCGGCACCGCAGCTGGCTTTGGGTTCTATGCCTTTGCCGTCTCGCTCGGCCCCACCGTCATCATCGACGCCATCCGCACCAGTCTGTGGTATCAGGAGGTCTTTGGCTCGGCGTATGCCGTCAAGATCTGCGTCAACAACGCCATGAACATCATCATGCGCATCGTCACGGGAGTCATCCAGGACCGCGACAACGACGTGTACAACCACGTCGTCATTGTCTATGTCGTCCTGGCGGCCGGCGCGGTCGTGGTCGGCCTGTCGCTTGTCGCCTTGGCCCTGCCGTGGGCGAGTCCTGTCAGCCTGGGCCGGCTGCAGTGGACCCGCAAGCAGCGCTTCGCCCGCGGCGCCGCCATCAATGCCCAGCGTGAGGCCTTTGAGACAAATTCACGCGCCGGTGCGAACCGTCAGCTGAGCCTCGTCTTGTTTGGTGCGCTCTCTCTTTTGACGGTCGGCGCATGGGTGTGCTACTTCTGGGGCGTGGCCACGGGCCACAACGACTAGGCGGACGGGGGCGTTGCGGTACATATTTCATTGTCCTTTCTGTATATATCGTGAAACACTGCATACGGCGTAATTTAATGACATTGGGTCCTTTAATTGGAATGTTATTGGCCGCGAGGACAAAAGGATAAACCGCTGTAAACACTGTGCGGCCGCCAAGTAGCCGCGGACACGAGATGACAAGCACAATTCAAAACGTTATGGTAATAACCCGCAGTTTGCTGGTTATCGCGGCCTTTCACCGCTGTTTCTGTCAACATTCCTACGTTAGGATCCTCGTCCGCACCTATTTTTTTCGGATTCGATATGCCTCCTCCGCGTGCTGCGTTAGAAGCTCTTGCGGCAGAACTCGTGCTGGACATCTGCAAGCTCGTTAGGACACCGAAACGAGTTCCTCAACTTCCATCACGACACCCCACAAACATCGAGACGGCCCGAGAAATTGACGTTTCTCGGAACACTGTTGCCGCGCAGTCTGATCTTCTTGCTCTCGGCTTGACATGTCGACGTTTGTTGTCCATCGCTCAGCCACTTCTCTATGCCCATCCGGTGACCATTGGCGATGACGCACACCGGCGTTTCGAATTTCTCTGCACGACACTATGCAAGTATCGTGATCTCGCCCTGTTGGTAAAGAGCATCCAACTGCCCGCGACTGCGGTCAACGGCGACCGTCGGGGCTCGACTGATGGCGATGCCGCTCTACTTCCGAATCTCAAACTTGTGCACATGTGGGTTGCGAGCACGTCTAACGACGACGACGACGACGACGACGACGACGACGACGAGACAACAGCACGAGAGGTGTTGAAACAACCAGCATATCTGCCTTTTCCTTGCCACGCGCTTCTGTTACGCGGCCAGTATGACAAGGCTTACATCGACGTCAGTTCTGGCCTCTTCCAGGACGAGAGCGGCTGGTTGTCCAAAGTACAAACTCTGGATCTGCATACCATTGACCTTGACTGGATCATGGGGGATCTGCAGATCGAGCGTCTTGTAAGTCTGCGAACACTTCGGATGTGGCACACCGGAATGCAGTATTTGAACTGTAATTTGATCTTTCTCTCGATGGAATTTCCCCAGCTATCAGCCGTGTCGTTCTGCACCAGTGACTTCCCCGATGACGAGCGCAGGCCGTAAGGCACGGCGCCCCCTGGTGGCACTCCCCTGGACCCGATTTCAGTTCATCGCATCGTGGAGGCCCTTCTTCCAAGGGCGACGACCCTGCGTTGCCTTACGCACATTGCCACTGGCCACACGCCTTGGCCAGACCGCGATTGGGACCTGTCGAAGCTCACTGCCTTTGTTGCGCTCGAGTTCCTGTGGCTGGAATCGGCGTACTTTTGTTTCAACCCAAGCAAAACAGCTCTCACGGACATCCTCCCACCCAACCTTGTTATTCTGCGCCTGTCCGGCGTGAGTTTACCCGCAGCAGCACTGGCACATCTACGGGATGCCATCGTCGAGGAGGGCAAGTTTCCGGCATTGGCCCGAGTCACAATCGACGCACGAGAATTTGACCTTGCCGCTGAGAAGGACACGGCAGTCTTGTACTCTCTCTTGCTGCTGCGCGAGGCCGGCATCCGTGTGACGGCATTGGCGCAGCCGTTGCCCGGGCACGAGGAGCCCGCAGACGAAGACGACGATCGACGCGCGCACAACCAAGTCCGATGACCGACTATGCTGCCAGAAACTGAAAACCCACCACCTAACGTCTTTCTTTGGCGAGGCTGCTGCGCATGCTCGTCAACGGTCAAGTCCTACGTAGACTCTCACAGGCGTCACTCAGGCCAAATAGCAGTCGTGGGCTGTCCTGCCCGCGTACCGGGAGTTCCTTGTTGAAGCGGTTGCAGCTCGCCGGGAGTCTGGTGAGGAGGATCCGCTTGGGTACCAGACGTGTTGGAAGGTCGGATTTCGGCAAGACGAAAAGGGTCCGTAGTGAGTGGAAAACAAGAAAGCTGAAGAGGAGGGCTGGCCTGCTAAAGAAAATGAGTGTAATTGCCAACCGCACTTCTTTTCTAGTCTGTTCTGCTGCAGCCCCAGCGATCTATTAATGCAAACTTTGCATATTCTGCATAGCCTGGGTGGTGGTGACCAGGTATCCTTCGTATGAAGATCAACGTTGGTGGAAGCCAATACGAGATGAACGATGGAAGATTGAAAGCAACCGGTAACCAACAGCCTACCCAAACCAAAGCCAATTTCGCCAACACCCGTCTTGGCGGACAGCCCGGCTTGGTCACTCTTGGCAGCAATCCTTCACCGTGCAACTATGCCGACGACGACGTTTGGCTATCGCTGTCATGTTGGACATGTTGGATGTTTTGTACGTTGTCACGACATATGTCAACATGTCAATCTGTCGTGAATTGCAGAGTGGCTTGCTATGTTCGTAAAGACCATTGGCCTCCACGTTAAAGTCAAAACCACCGAAGCAGAAATAAGCTACCGAAAGCGTCCCGCTCTTCCGCTCGAGAGGGGTGCCCTGTGTATCTAGCACAAAAATTCCAATTTTGCGGAGTGCTCGGGGTTCTAAGATTCCGGGGATTCTGAGGCTCAGATGTTGCTTGGGGTCATCAGGTACGGGCAAAAGCAGCCGATTTCAATATGATTATGGCATCGTGCAGGAAGACGAAGCGGGAACTACGAATAGTAGGAAAGAAACAAAAAAAAAAAAAAAAAAAAAAAAAAAAAAAAACGACCATCGTTAAGCCTTGGCAGTAATAAGCAATGGCATGGATTCCTCAGCGACCGTCTTACGGGGACAGCTTGGAATGTGGAGTGGTTTGGGCCCATAATCTGACCAGCCGCAATCTGACAATGGGCAGCTTGGGGCTAACGGGAACATCGGGAGCGACGAGAGGAGGAAACAAAATAAGTAGAAAAGGAAGAAAAAGAAAGGGTGAAAAGCGAAGAAAGAAACCCGTATTCCAAGAGACAGGCTGTCATAAACAAATGCAAGGAAAATGGTAGTGCAGAACAAGAAGGAAAAGACAAGCTGTGGGAAATAATTTCATAGTCTGTACCGACTGTTCCCACACATGGCAGACAGCTCGACAATACGACAGCAAAGGTCTGTCCTGAATTGGGACAGCAGCGCGAAGCATGGCAGTCGACGCGACGACTCGCTTTGCGGGCAACGTCTACTGAAATAGGAAGAGTCAACGGCCCGTGCTTCCCAGGGCGGGCCGAGTGTGAGTCTCTCCAACAGACAACAGACGTGAAGAGAGAGGAAAATAGACGTGACCAAACGTGACGAGACGTGGCCAGACGTGACCAGACTCACAAAGTCGATGCGGCTATCCGCCCCGCGCCCCGCGACTAGGTCCTCCCACGCCGTGTGATTTCGTTTGCCATGTCTGTTGTGTCTGCTGCATGCGCCGTGTGTGCTGCGTGTGCTGCGTCGGCTGCGTGGGCTGCGTCTGTTTGCGTGTCTTGCGATTGACTGGTTTCTCACGGAGTTACTCGGCACAGGCTGACGGCTCACAGCTGACAAGTGGGCATGGCCAGCCACTGCGTTAGCGCTCAGTGGTGGATTTCCGGTCCGTGCGGCACCCAGGCACCAGAGTGGCCTGGCGCGTGTGAGAGTTAACTTGCGTCGTAGTCGCAGACGACAGGGGGGCCAAAAAAATGCGACGAGCATCCTCCCGCTGCGGCTGTTTCCTGTGCCGTTGTGCCTTTGCCTGTATCTTAGGTACACTCTTGACTGGCCGTCCAGGAAACCTTACCCATTTCGCGGTGATTTGGATCCGTTGATGTCGCGTGGTTCATCCGCGTCGGAGACAAACAGAAGACGGCGAGAGAATAAAAAAATGATTCAACATGCACCAAAGAAAACAATCCACCGAGGAGACCCCGGTCTGGAGCCCCAAGGACGCGGGGGCAAGCTCCATTCACAGTGTGTCCCACAGTGTTCAGAGAACGGAGAACCGCGTCGATTGGTAGGTTGCCCCGGCTGACAGAAGAGAGGCGCGAACAGGGTGGCAGGGCCCTCGTTTGAGCAACGCGTGGTAGGGAAGCTGTCCCGAAATGCCGACGCATCAACATCGGCCAAGTTGCTCATACGACTCCGAAGGCGATGCATTCACATGGTGATGCCGATACACATGAGAACACTTGGAGAAAATAAAAGAAATGGAAGAAGTAAAACGAATGGAAAATAACATAAAAGAGCACGGTTTTCCGTCTTGTTCCTAACTGGTGATGATCGCCATCGCATCGCCCACACGGAAAGAAGGCAGTTTACGTCGAACTTGACAACACACTCAGCAACACGCAAAGGACCAGCATGGCCAAAGAGGAAGTCGACGCGCCGGTGGCGACGGCCCCCGAGATTGAAACGGCGCCGGCACCGGCGCCGGCACCGGTCCACAGCGTCTACATTGCCGAGGGCACGGGCAAGACGGCGCAGAACGAGGGCGCCAAGTCCAAGGAAGTGCACAATGTGAGTGGCCTGCGCGCCGTGCTGCAGCAAAGACAAAACGGCCGCTAACAGGCGCCGCCCCTCTAGGCCGAGCTCTTTGCGGCCATCCAAGAGAGCAACATCCCGCGGTGGAGCAAGGCGTCGATGCACCTGTACTTTTGCATCTTCATCGCGTTCTGCTCGTCGTACGCCAACGGCTACGACGGCTCCATCTTCAGCTCCATCCTGGGCATGGCCCAGTTCCAAAAGGACATTCCCATTGGCACCGACGGCTCCAAGGTCTCGGTGGTGACGTCCTTGTACAACGTGTACGTCGCATGCAATGCACCGGCACGCGCCTGTTTCCTGTTTCGCCCGCTAACCTGAACCATCCTTCGTCCACAGTGGAAGCATCGTCACGACGCCCATTGCCGCGCTGGTCAGCGACCGCTTCGGCCGCCGCATCGGCATGCTCGTGGGCGCCATCTGGATCATCATCGGCAGCATCGTGACGGCGACCTCGGGCACCATGGCGCAGCTGACGGTGGGCCGCTTCATCCTCGGCAGCGGCGTGCAGTTCATGACCGTCGCGGCGCCGGCGTACGCCATTGAGATTGCGCCGCCGCACTGGCGCGGCCGCTGCACGGGCCTGTACAACTGCGGCTGGTTTGCGGGCGCGGTGCCGGCGGCGTGCATCACGTACGGCACGCAGTTTATCAACAACAGCTACGCGTGGAAGGTGCCGCTGATCCTGCAGAACCTCGCCAGCGTCATTGTGGTGTTCTCGGTGTGGTTCATCCCCGAGTCGCCGCGGTTCCTGTTTGCCAAGGCGCGCGACGACGAGGCCATTGAGTTTCTGGTGCGGTACCACGGCAACGGCAACCGCCAGTCGCGGCTGGTGCTGCTGGAAATCGAGGAGATCCGCGAGAGCATCCGCCAGGACGCCGTCGACAAGGCCAAGCCGTGGTGGGACTACTCGCCCTTCTTCACGCACAACGGCCGCTGGCGCGCGGCGCAGGCCATCATGATGGGCGTCTTTGGCCAGTTCTCGGGCAACGGCCTCGGCTACTTCAACGTGCAGATCTACAAGCTCATCGGCGTCGACTCGCAGTCGCAGCAGCTCGGCTACCAGATCCTGTACCAGGCCGTCGGCGCCATCGGCGCCCTGACCGCCGTGTCGCTGACCGACCGCATGCCGCGCCGCCCCGTCCTCATCTACGGCACCTTTGGCGTCGCCTGCCTGCTGGCCGTCAACGCCGGCCTCACCAACGCCATCGCCAACGACCAGGCCGCCCACGGCGGCGTCATCACCAACAAGAACAACGCCCGCGGCGCCCTGGCCTTTTACTTCTTGTTCCAGACCTTCTACTCCTTCACCTACACCCCGCTGCAGGGCGTCGTCCCCGCCGAGGCCCTCGACACCACGCTGCGCGCCAAGGGCCTCGCCCTCTACGGCTTCGCCGTCGGCGCCGTCGGCTTCATCAACACCTACGCCGGCCCCATTGCCCTCGCCAACATCACCTACAAGTACATCTACGTCTTTGTCGGCTGGGACGTCGTCGAGGCCATCCTCTGGTACTTTTTCTGGTACGCTGCCACACCCTGTTCTTCGCATTCATCTCCGCATAAACATGCACTAACCCTCGTGCTCTCCCAGTGTCGAGGCCCAAGGCCGCTCCCTCGAGGAGCTCGAGTGGGTTTACAACCAGGCCAATCCCGTCAAGGCCTCGCAAAAGGTCGACAAGGTCGTCCTGCAGGCCGACGGCACCGTCAGCGAGAAGATTGTCGAGCACGCAGAGTGATGACCACGGAGCGGGTGGACTCACGTTTGTCCCCGATTTGTTAAAAAAACAAATAACAGAAAAAAAAACATGTGTCTCCGCAGCAGGTGATCTTCTTTTCTCTATTTGGCTAAACGTCGCCAAACCAATTTCTTAATTATTTGTAGTGGAACGAGAGGCCCTCGAAAATGATAATGCTGCTGTCGAGCGACGGCGAGCGGGGGCAGACGGATGGACAGGATGGCAGCCTGCTGGAAGCTGAAGGCGGAACATGTATCACTGATGACTGGCCTGACGTCAGACGAAGACAACATACACCCAAATGACCTCGTGGTCATTGTAGCTTATTTTTGGCCATACACGTCGAAATATGACAGATCAGTCTCATCCCGGTCCTATTCTATGCATGCCATACACCATTTTGGAAACAAATTGAAAGGACTCCTTCACAGTGTGCTGACGCTGACCCAAAGCAAGACGGTGTCGGGCTTGGTCCATGTAGATGCCAAGTATGGCACTGTCCTCGTAGCTGTTTTAGTGTGAAATACATCTCATGAGCGGTAAGGGACCTCTCATCTTTTCCTGCTTTCGACTGGACGGAATGTCGTTTTATACGTAGCAAACGCGTTCTTGGACAAGGAATGGCAACTCACACGCTCCAATGGAACGAACAAATAAATGGCCATAATTTATATATACGTATACATATTAGTTCATAAAACAAACAAAAAAGAAGATTTTTTGATGTTTTTATTTGTTTAAAAATCACCAATTATGAATTAAAAAGTTGGAGCAGATTTTTATATGAAATAAATACAACAGAAGCAAAATATGACGAAATTTAAGCAAGAAGCCTCTACCGATCAAACAACACATTCACCCAAATACCCACGTGTTTCTTATTCAGCAATTTTGCACCCGAAGTGTCTTTGCACAGAACTGCCGCGCATCGTATCAAACCGAGGAACGGGTCCGGATTTGGGCGACTGAACATGTTTTGGGGCCTTTGTGCCTGATTCTCCACTCTCCACAGCTCAAGAGCTTCCCCGCGTTCTGCTCAGACCCTGGACCCTTTGTCGATACCCACTGCCGATCCCATCGCTCGCTCCTCCACATCCCGATATTTCTGGTCTGTCTCCCCATGGCTCCACGCCCACTCTGCAGACAGCTGACGGCCCGCCACGGATAATGTGAGCGGCAGCTGGCTGGATTTTGAAGACGGGATGGTACATTGGTGCGGTGGCATGGGTATCCGAGACGTTATCCGAGACGTTATCCGAGACGTTGGGTGTGAATTCAACATCGCCGTCGACATCGCCGTCGACCTCTTGACGTTTACAGCACCTATCGCAACCAACCAACCACGCCCAACGTCGCCATGTCCACCACCACCACAGCAACGCGGACAGGCCGGCCCACCGAGGGACCGTCGCCGAATCTTCTCCTGTCGGGCGTGCTGAGCGACTACGAGCTGCACCATTCGAGCGACAAGGATGCGAGCGACGACGCGGCACAGGCGGCTCCGGCCTCCATCCGCCGACACGCCGCGACGCCCGCCGACTGGGACACGGAGCACCGACGCGTGCCGGCATACCGCCCGATCAACACGGCGCGCGACCAGACGGAAGTGCGGGTGTACCTGAGCAGGGTCGAGCAGGTGTTTATCGGGACGATGTTTACGGGGGTGTATCTCAATTCGGTGAGTTGTTCCTTTTTTGCTGGCGAGGAACGACGCGTGCTAACATCTTGCAGGCCGCCTCCAAGGTCTGGCGGCAGACGCTGGGACGGGTGAACGGGGACATTTTCCGGTTTCGAATCGGCGGCGAGTTTTAGATGGGAGCATGTATGGGGGACTTATGGGACGATTTATGGGTCCAAGGGACGACGACAAGAAGTAAGAAGTACATACATTATGGAATGGCAGGATGAATTAAATCTACACGATCGCCTACACACTCCACTCCCTTGCGGCCACGAGCTGGCCCGTGCAGTCGCCCCATCCCACGCCCGAGTCGGCGCCACCCGCAACGGCCGTCATCCGCACGACGTCGCCGTCCTGCAGAAACGCGCGTGTCGATCCGTCGCCGAGGGCGACCGGCTGCGTGCCGCCCTCGGTCGATTCCAGCAGACAGCCGTGGTGGCCGGCCCCGGCCTCGCTCACCGTGCCCGTGGCCAGGAGGTCGCCCGTCCGCAGCGGCGCGCCCGCGCTGACAATGTGCGCGAGCATCTGGCGGAGGCTCCAGTAGAGGGACGCGACGCTGGCGCTGCCGACCGTCGTGCCCTGGACGGCGACCTGCATCTGGACGTCGTAGGTGGTGCGTGTCGCGTCGGCCAGCCACGGCTGCACTGTGGCGGTGGTGGTGATGGGAGCAGCCTGCACGACGTACGGCGCCAGCGCGTCGAGGGTGACGATCCACGGCGAGATGGTGGTGCCCGCGTTCTTGCCGTTGCACGGCCCCAGCGGCACCATCTCGAAGCCCTGGATGTCGCGCGCGCTCCAGTCGTTGAGCACGACAAAGCCAAAGATGTGCTGGTCGGCGTCCGCCGCCGTCGCCAGGCGCTGCCGCATGGGCAGGGGCCGCCCGACGACGGCGGCAAACTCCATCTCGTAGTCCATCTGGCGCGAGGGGCCGGCCACGACGGTGGGCGGGGTCGTCGAGCGGTCCCGGAACTGGCCCACGGGGCGCTCAATGGGCGTGCCCGAGACGACCACGGAGCTGGCGCGGCCCTGGTAGGCGATGGGGAAGTGGAAGAAGCCCGGCGGCGGCGTGCCGTCCTGGATGATGATGCGCCCCGCGTTCTGGACGTGCTCGAGACTGCACGAGAAGTCGGCAAAGTCGCTGACGTGCACGGGGAGGTGCAGCGTGACGGCCGAGATGTCTTCCACGCTGTTGTCCGGGAACCGAGACGGGCCGCCACCATCGCCGCCTTGTCGCCAGAGAGCGCGAACGCTGGTCCGCACGGCCGTGTGCACCGTCTGCGGCAGCGCAGCAAACGCGTTCAGCGTCGCCTCGGCAAACACGCCGCCCGGCAGACCGGCCACGCTGGCAAAGGTGCCGGCATGGGCCAGGTCGGCAAGAAAGACGACGGCGTTGCCAATGCGCGTGGCCGCTTGGTGCTGAGGATGGGCCGCCGACGAGGCAATGCCAAAGGGGATGTTGCGGTCCGAGAAGTGACCGGCGTAGTCGGGCGCTGCAGCCATTGTGCCGTGTGGTCAGGGGCTCTATTTACTCTACTTTGTAGACGAACGGTACGAGGGTTGGACGGTTTAACCATCAACACACACACATACATGTATATGCATGCTTTATATGACACTGCTTGCTGCAGGCTTCAGAATGTTTACGGGTCTCCGGATATACGTGTAGACCAGCTAAGACCAGCTAGACTGGGCGACTGGCTAATTGTCGGAGCAATAGCGGCGCTCGGGTTGGGTGGAGGCGCTTTTGGAGAGAGGGGAGGGGGGAACAGTCGGGTCGCTGCAGAGACCGAGCCGGAGAGTCTGCGATTCTGCCGTGGAGCGAGAGCTAGTATCGCACTATCCGTGGTATAAGAGAGTTGCTCAATGCAAGCAAGAGTCGAGTACACGACAGAGCAACACATGCACTCGCCGCAATACCCCCATCTCTACCCGAATTCCAGCATCTCTTGTCACGTTCCCCCCTCGTCATGGCCCACCAAGGAAAGCTCCGCCTTCCCAAGCGGTTCATCACCACCCACAACGAGGCCGGCCAGGCGGTGCTGCTCAAAGACAAGGACATTTCCGAGGACGCGCCGTTTTACCAGCTGCCGCACGTCCCCGATGTCGGCTTCGCGCAGGCCTACGTGACGCGGGGCTTCCCCGTCGCGCTCGGCGCCCAGGACGCCGCCAATGCGAGCGTCCACGACACGGGCGCCGACCTGGCCGTCTACCGCGACTTTCTGCAGGACGCGCCGGGCCTGACCGTCTCGGGCGGCACCGTCCTGCGCTACGTCGACATGCCGCCCGGGTCGACGTCGGCGATGCACCGGACCGTCAGCCTCGACTACGGCGTGGTCCTGGAGGGCGACGTCGAGCTGATCCTGGACTCGGGCGAGACGCGCGTCATGCAGCGGGGCGACGTCTGCGTGCAGCGCGGGACCATGCACGCGTGGCGCAACCGCAGCGACACGGAATGGGGGCGCATGCTGTACGTGCTGCAGCCGTGTGCGCCGTTCCAGATTGGGGGGAAGGACGTGGCAGAGGACTATGGCATCTTGAAGGGGGCTCTCAAGGATTCGCAGTGACGTGGAGGATAGACTCACATACAATGAAATACATCACATCAATCAAAGCCAATGACATACATTTAAACAAGACACGCAAATCTATCTGCTCGTACTGACCACTACACAAACCACCGGACTTGTCTGTACCCGAAATACAACAAGAGACCCGTGCCCGTGGCGACACTCGACAACAGAAGAAGGCCGCCTACGAGGATGCCCTGCTCGAAAAAGCCGACGTAGGCCGCCTTGGCCGGCCGCTCAAACGGCACAAGAGCGGCCGCCGTTTTGGCCTGCAGTTCCTGGAGCGGGCGCGCGGTGCCGCCCAGCAGGATGCTGTCTACCAATGGACGCGTCTTGGGCACGGCGATGAACTGGGGCTTGGGCAGGCTAAAGTGGGCCGTCGTGTAGCGGCCGGTCCACGGGGGCGACAGACTGTGGCCGGACGGGGCGACGGGGCCGACTGGATGGTGATGGTGAGCGGATGGACGAAACGAGCAAACAAAAGAAAGGGGGTACTCTGATGGCATCATACCTAGCAAGGTCGCCGGAAACTGGTTGACAACGACGAGGTCGGCATTCACAAACTGGCCCATGTACTTGGCCGCCGGGGCCGACGCCGTAAAGACAAACGCCGCCGACAGGGGGCGGTCGCCCAGGCGGTTGGCCAGGTCGATGGCGTCGTCGACGCTGGTGACGGCCACGACGGCCAGCAGGGGCTCGCCAATCTTGGCGTCGAGGGCGGCCGACGCGCGGTCCTCGATGCTGGTGACGGTGCCGTTGGCGCCCTGCGCGATGATGCGCGCGGCGGCGTCGTGTTTCAGGCGGGACAGGAGGCTGTCACTGCGCTGGTTTCCGTTTGCCGCCTTTGCCGCCTCTGCCGCCTTCGTCACCTTCGCCTTTGTCGTCTCGGTCTTGATCTCGCCCGCCGCGGTGCCGCCCTCGGCCGTGAACTGCGCGGCCGCCTGCGCCGCGGCCGCCAAAAAGTCCGTCTTGGCCCACTCGCTCACCAGCACAACGTCCGGCGCATACGGCGCGCGGCCGCCAAACGAGAACCGGGCGCGGACGAGCGCCGTCGCGGCGGCGGCAATGTCGGCATCGCGCTCGACGATGGCGACGACGCGGCTGGCATGGGACACGACCGGCGGCAGCGACGTGGGGGAGCTGATTGTTGCTGCTGTACTGGTTGTCGATGTCGATGTCGATGTCGATGTCGATGTCGATGTCGATGTCGACGTCTGCAGAACACGCACGTGGCGGTGGCCCAGGGCGGCGTCGGTCGGGGCGGCCGCGGCCGTCGTGCGGGCCCAAAAGATGTCGGCGTCGAGGGCGGCCGCGAGCGTCTGCAGCAACAGGCGCGGCGTCTGCAGCAGCGTCTGCGGCGTGTGCACCACGACACAGTTGCCCGCGGCCAGCGCCGGCGCCACGGCCGAGAGAAGACTAAACACGTACGTGTGGTTGTTGCTGCTGTTGTTTTCCGCCGTCTCGACGACGACGACGCCCACGGGCACGCGGCTCTGCGGCGCGTCCTGTCCGCGGGCGACGGCATACTCGTCCTGGAGCGCCTGCACCGGGTCGACGCCGGCAAACTGGTCCGCGACGCACTGCAGCGCCAGGCTGTACTCGACCGCCACCTCCGCCGCCCGCACGCCCGCGCTCTCGCCGTCGGCCAGCATCGCCGCCTGCAGGCGCTCGCCGTCCTTGACCAGCGCGGCGTGCAGCTTGGCCAGCTGCGTCTTGCGGAAGACGGGGTTGTGTGCCTGGCCGTCGATGGCGGCCGTGCGGACGCGGCGGAGGGCGGCGCTGGTCGACGCGTCTGTGTCGGACATGTTGTCGGCTGGGGCTGTGTCGGCTGGGGCAGTGTCGCTTGGGTTTGTGTCGGTTGTGTCTGCGATGTCGTCGTCCATTGTGGAATCTCTCCTTTGTCGCGTCAATATAGCTGCGGGCGGCACAAAAACATCGACCGTCTGTGGACCACCACCCCGAGTCAGTGCAATCACTGTGTTTGGCCACTTCTGACCCGCACGCCTGGCCCGGGTATTGTGTGCTATGCTGGGTCTCTTGGGTTCGCCAGGTTTGCTCCGAGGAGCGTCTCCCCGAGCGTCTTTGGGCAGCTCCTCCACATCCCGATCGGCACCAACAACCGTCGTGTAAGTCGGGCAGTCGGCGCTAACTACGCCCGTCGTTAATTTGGCGTCGACCTTTTTCCGTTGTCAGCACAGAATTCGCAGTTGGAAGTGACTGGATAAGCAATTCTGTTTGCAAATTTGACTGATTTCATTTTGAAAAGATGTATTGTCTATGTATGTGCCAAGAACATGTTTCAACTATCTACAAAACAGGCCAGAGAGGCATCAAACTGCTCATGTCTTAACACCAACCAGCCTCACTCTCACTCCTTCGCCGGAATCACGGGCAGGGTCACGTAGTTTGAAAACCCGGGACCAAAGTGGATGTGGTTGGTGCCCTGGAACACGTCGGGCGACCGGTCCGAGGGGTCGTTGTGCAGGAAAATGCCGGACCCCTGCGTGTCGCCCGAGCTGACCTCCAGCACGAGCCGCCCGCCCTGCTCCACCACGACGTTGGTCGGCCACACCTCGACGTCGACCGCGTAGGGCTCGCCCTGGATGACGGGCTGCACGTCGCGCGACGTGTAGTTGCGGTGCGGGAGGTACGCCCGGTGGCGCCGGTTCTGCGCGTCGACGGCCCGCAGCGACACGCGCAGCCAGCCCTTGGTGAGCGGCACGGGGTCGCCGGCGGTGCCCGTGTAGAAGATTTCGCGTCCGTCGGGGCCGAGGTGCCGCAGCGTGACAAACAGGTCAATGTCGCTGGGCGTCGGGCCGGCCGGGTCGGGGCTGACGGACACGTGCAGGTGCGCGACGACGTGGCCGGTGATCTCCGTCTCCGCGGCAAACGGCGTCGTCGTGAACTGCAGCAGCTGCGGGTCGTCCATCGTGCCCAGCGCGCGGTACGACAGCTTGCGCAGGCCAGACGCCGTGGCCGTCGTGGACAGCGTCTGCTCCGGGGTCAAAAAGACTTGGTGTACTGCGTGCGCGCCGGCGGCCACTCCGTCTCCTCGCGGCGCGCGTACGCCCGCTCGGCCGCGGCGTCGTTGAACCCGACGTCGCCCTTGCGCAGCACCAGACTCACGGGCGCCACCGTCCTGCCGTCCGCCGTCGGCCCCGTCCAGCCGTCGCGGTCCTCGCCCTTGAGGAACGCGTCCAGGAAGCTGCGCTGCACCTCGACCTCCTCGTCGTAGTAGAAGGGCAGGTCGTGGCGGCCGGTGATCATGCGCAGGAACTTGTGCCGCGCGCCCGCCTGCACGTAGCCCTCGACGTTGCCGCGCAGGTGCAGCAGAATGCCGCCCCAGTTGCCCACGGACAGCAGCGGCACCTGGATGTCGGCCATGTCGTACTCCTTGGACGCGTAGTACGCGTCGTCGCGGAACCGGTGCGCCGCGTTGTCGAGCGTCTGGTCGCGGCGGTTGGCCGCCAGCTCGTCCTCCGACAGGTCGCCCTCCAGCGTGTCCGGCCCCCAGTTGCGCGCCTGCCGCCCCGGCCGCCCGTACTGGTTCGTAATCACCTGCCGGTTCCACCAGAACTGGATGAAGGCGCTGGCCAAGATGCCGCCGTGCCGGCACCGGTCGCGGTAGTAGTCCGACATGCCCTCCCACGGCACGATCGCGGCCAGGCCCTTGGGCTGGCGCGCCGCCACGCGCCACTGGCTGCCCGCGTAGTACGAGATGCCCAGCAGGCCCACCTTGCCCGTCGACCACGGCTGCGCCGCCGCCCACTCCACCACGTCCACAAACGCCTCGCTCGTGCCCCGCGACATCGTGTCCAGCACCCCCGGCGACTGCCCCAGCCCCCGCTCGTCCGCGCGCACCACGGCGTACCCGTGCCCCGTCCAGAACCCCGGGTCCGGCGTCTCCCATGCCGCGTGCGCCGACTTGTGCGCCGGGTTGACCTCGGCAAACGACTTGGCGTGGAAGTCGCTGTACGCAATGTCTTTGCCGTAGGGGCCGTACGTCACGAGGACGGGCACCGGCGTGTCGGACGACGTCCTGGGCCGGTACACGTTGCACCGCACGAGGCCGGCGTCGTTTTTCAGCGTCACCGTCGCATTCTGCTCGAAGATGTACGGAAACGACGTGGCGTCGACCGTGTGCAGGTCTTTGATTTCGTTTGGCATGGTGAGCGAGGTGGCGAGGATACGAGGATACGAGGATACGATGATAGTGGCAGCCGAGTTCCTTCTGATAGCTTGGTAGACGTTGCAGGACGTTCCCCTCCTTCTCCTCTTTAAACTTAAATCGCAGTCCTACAACGTCGTGCAACTCTATATATGCACGGGATAATTTCTCCCGTCCTCGTTTGTACCCGCAATCAATAAGTCAGGGTCTAGCGTCACGTCTTTGACAATGACGAAACAAAACGTGGTTGCTGTTCCCCTCAATTCCGCTCTGGTGGAGCCGAAGCCGTCGGCCCCGTCTTCACCAAATGAGGCACCCCAAAGCCCCGACTCTCCGACCTCACAGTAGCGTTGCCCCTCACGTCTCGACCCCCGCTGTATATTGTCTTGCTTTTAATGTTCGCATAGGTGGCCAGCCGCTCTGTCGGGCATGTGAAGCAAGACGGTATCGCGAGAAAGATCGACACAAAAAGACGACAAAATTAAACAACATCACAAGCCCACGCCGTCGCACGCCACGTCCCGTCACACAATGTCGGACGACACCGCCCCCCTCCACGTCGTCATTGTCGGCGCCGGCATTGGCGGTCTGACCGCTGCTGTCGGGCTGCGCGCCGAGGGCCACCGCGTCACGCTGCTGGAGCGCTCCCAGCTCGCCCAGGAGACCGGCGCCGCCATCCACCTGGCGCCCAACTGCCATGGGCTCCTCAAGCGATTCGGGATCCAGCCGACGTCCTTTGGCGCCAACCCACTGGAGGGCATCGCCGAGTACGATGGTGCGGGCAACCTCAAAATGGACATCAACTTGCGCGGCGCCGGCGGCATGTGGCAGCACCCGTGGGTCCTGAGCCACCGCGTCAGCCTGCACAACGAGCTGAAGCGCGTGGCCACGGCCGAGGCGGGCGACGGCCCGCCGGCGGTGCTCAAGGTCGGCAGTCGGGTCGTGTCGGTGGACCCCGAGACGGCCACGGTGACGCTCGAGGACGGCACGACGGTGAGTGGCGACTTGGTCCTGGGCGCCGACGGCGTGTCGTCCGTCACGCGCAGCTGCATCGGCGGCGACGCCATCAAGCCCTTTCCGTCGGGCGGCAGTGCGTTCCGCTTTCTCGTGCCCCGCCAAAAGGTGCTCGACAACCCGTCGACGGCGCATTTGGGCGCCCGGCCGGCGCGCGACGGCTACATGACCATGTGGTACGGCCGCGACCGCCGCCTCGTCATGTATCCGTGCGTCAACAACACGGTGCTCAACTTTGTCGGCCTCCATCCGTCCGCCCTGACGTCGTCGACCGACGGCGAAAACAAAAGCAAGAGCACCTGGAGCGGCGAGGGCAGCAAGACCGCCCTGCTCGACGTCTACAAGGAGTTTGGCCCCGCCGTCCAGGACCTGCTGTCGCTCGTCGACAGCGCCGACCTGAAGCTGTGGACGCTCCTGGACATGGACCAGCTGCCGTCCTGGACCACGGGCAAGCTGGCCCTCCTCGGCGACGCCGCCCATCCGTTCTTGCCGCACCAGGGCCAGGGCGGCGGCATGGCCGTCGAGGACGCGGCGTCGCTCGTGGCCCTGCTGCGCGCCGGCACCCCGCGCAGCGAGCTGCCGGGGCGCCTGGCCCTCTACCAGGACATCCGCATGTACCGCGCCCACAAGGTCCAGGCCGACACCCGCCAGGCCGGGGCCGACATTGTCGACGGCCAGACGCCCCTCTTCAACGTCCAGGAGTTCAATTTCTACAACTTTGCCTACGACGAGTGGCACAACACCTCCCACCGCCTCCGCCAGTGGCTGTGGGCCCGCCACGGCCCTGCATACCGTCGCCAGCCGTCCGTCTTTGGGCCCGCGCCCGGCCCGCGCCAGGACGCCCTCGGCCGCCCAGTCGACGCCCCCCAGGCCACGTTTCGGACGACCAGCATCCGCTTCAAGACCTCGGCGACGTACCTCCAGACCCTCTTCCCGACCCCCGCGTTCAAATTTGCCCGCCCCGGCACCGTCGTCGAGGCCACGTTCAAGTGCAACGAGCTCGACCGTCTGCCCTGGCTGGGCGGCGGGGGGTACCGTTTCGCCGGCCTCTGGGTCCACGGCGTGCAGTACACCACGACCAAGGACGGCGCCACGCTCTTTGGCTCCTACCTGCCCGTCCTCTTTGAAGACCTCGCCGATCCCATTCTCAGCGGCCGTGACGAGCTCGGCATGCCCAAGCTGTTTGCCAGCATCGACGTCGAGACAAAGGACGCCGCCACGGACATTCGTCTGCGCTGGCGCGGCACCGAGTTTGTGCGCATGACCGTGGACCATCTCGAATCCGTTCCTGCGCCCACGCCTGCTGAAGTTGCCGCAGCAGCCGCTGCCGCCACGGCCCCCGTCTCGCCGTTTGCCCCCAAGCCGGCGCCCGACGACGGCGACTTCTTCTACCGCTACGTGCCCGCCGTCGGCCAGCCGGGCACCGCGGACGCCGAGTACCCCGTCTTCCTCCCGCACAAAGACAGCACCACCGAGCGGGTGGTGGAGGCCACGCAGGCCACGCAGCAGGCGTCCCTCACCTTCCAGGCGGGCAGCCGCACATCGCTTCCGACGCTGCACCACATTGCTGCCGCCTTGGCCGAGATTCCCGTCTATGGCATCGTCAAGGCCACCGTCCAGGAAGGCCACGGGGTCGACAACTTTGCCCACGCCCAGCGGATTGAGTAGGGTATGGGGCCAGAGACATACAGCTAGAAAGTACTCCCTGAAAATTGACTATTTGTTGAGCGAAAGCGTGTACACAATACGTAACCGGCCATGCTGTGATGACCAAGATCCCCTTCTTCACAATGTCACGTGTTCGTATGGTCTCGTATGGCCTTGTGCGGGCGCAAGCGGCCCGTCTACGCGGCTCTGTCCGCCCCGATTTTTATGTCGGTGCCTAGAGTCACGTGCTGCAGATATTGCAGAATATGTTTCTAATAAAAGCACGCGACAGCGGGGCCAATGGGTAAGACCAGCCCCTGCTCCCCCCACTGTTTTGGGGCGCCATGTCTGGCCACGGACGATCCAGAGCGGCCCATTGGTTCAGCTTGTTGCTTCTCCGCCCCCCTATTGAGCACCGCGGAGTTTCATTTCGACGCCGCCGTCCGACTCCCTAGGCACTCCCATTGAAGTCATTGAAGCCATTGACGGCTTGGATCCGCATCGCGACCGTATCCATCGGCCAACGGACCTGCGTACTGACCATCTCCTCGACCGCGGGTTTTGCAAACAGTCGACTGGCAATTCGTCACGCGACAGGACACGCGACAGCACACGCGACAGCTCTCACGCGACACGGCGACGTTCCCCGTCGTCCGTCATCCATCATCCGTCGCCCGTCTCCCGCTGGACTGCCATCCCGTCGTCCTGTCCCGGTTCGGCGACAATGCTGTATCCCACGTCTCTCGTACGGTCCAGGCGCTCGCGAGTCGCTCTCCTTGTCGCGGCCTGCTGGCTCGTCTGGCTCTGGCACTACCACGGGACCATCGCCGCCACCGCTGCCTCGGACCATGACGCAAGCACGCTGGCCGCCGATTTCCCCCTGGCGTGGAAGCACATCCACATGTTCAACGGCACAGGCGGCGCGTGGTACATTCCCGAGGCGTGGACGACCGACATTGACGGGCGGTACCAGCAGCCCCACACGATTCTCGAGGCCGCCACCTATGCCACGGCGGCCGCGTCGGGCAGCCTCGCGCGGCGCATGGACTTTGCCCAGATCCCGCTGATTGTCCACCAGACGTGGATGACGGCGAACATCGACGGCTGGACGCCCATGGTGGTGCGCTGTGTCGAGCGGTGGCTGACGTATGCCGTGGGCCAGACGCCAGCGGTGGACGAGGGCCGGCCCTCGGACAACCAGGACGGCCCGCCGATGGCGTACTTTTTCTGGGACGACGCGGGCATCGACACGTTCATGCGCACCTACGAGCCGGACTTTGTCGACGCCTTTTACGCCTTCTTCTCGCCCGTCGAGCGGGCCGACATCTTTCGCGTCTTGGTCTGCAAGTGGTTTGGCGGGATTGTATGTTCACCTCGCCCCCTTCCTCTTCCTGGCTACATGATGTATTGCTGCTAACCCCACCTCAGTATGGTGATGTTGACACCGAGCCGTTGCGGCACCCGGCAAAGTGGATCCACCAAGCCGACCTGGCGGCGTGGACCGACCCGGAAACGGGCGCCACGTTTGGGCTCAACACGACCGTCCAGGCCGCGGAAAATGAAAGTGAAAATGAAAGCGACCGCGACCATGCCGCCGACCAAGACCGCCCCGTCACGCTCCTGGTGGGCCTCGAAGCCGACGTCGATCCGGCGTCCGACGCCTACTGGCGCATGGGCTACACCTACCCGGTCCAGCTCACCCAGTGGGCCCTCGCGGCCGCGCCCCAACACCCGGCCCTCGCCCACTTCATCGACCTCGTGCGGGCGCTCGCCGCAGGCGGCCCGAACCCCGTCGGCACGACCGTCGTCGACGACCCCCTCCTCTGGACGGGCCCGCCCGCCATCACGGCCGCCATCAGCGCGTGGCTGCAGGAGCACTTTGGCCTGCGCTGGAACGCCGTCACCGGTCTCCACGACAACGGCAAGGCGAAGCTTGTCAGCGACGTCCTCGTCCTGCCCATCACCGGCTTCAGCCCCGGCCGCGGACGCTACGGCAACATGGGCTCGAAACCCGTGTCCGACGCCGACGCGCGGCTCTTCCACCACGCCCAGGGCTCCTGGCGCAAGTTTGACGTCAACGACCAGCTCGGCAAGCTGTGCCGCACACTGTTTGGCCTCTGTCGACCAGAGTCCATACCTTTATGAACGCCGCCGGGACGGCTGTGATTTTTTTTGCTTTGGTCTTTAAGTAGCACACGATATTCAATTTCAATTCTGGCGGTTTTACCACACACTTGATTGCTGCCGATGTGTGTCTCGGGTCTCCGAGCTCCATCCACACTTGTAAAGACCCCGTCACTTGCGCGCAGCAGATATTAATGAGGGTTTCACAGACAATAGAGAGACCAAAACATGCGTTAATTTGACTCCAGGAAACGAAAACAAGGTGCGACAGGGCAGTGCCGTGGTTAGCTGAAATGGCCAAACGAATGGCACAGATTGAGGGCGTTGATGTTGACAGTGCATATTCTGCATCTCAGGAAAGCTCTTTTCCCTCGGTACGTTCTTTTGTTCTTCAACACGATGATACGCAAAAGAGCGACATATGGAGACCCAGTTATATTTCTTATTCCTAGAAATGATTGTAAAGGTTTTGCTCAATATTGTAGGCGAAATGTGTGATTGTATTGACTTTCTTTTCAAGGAAAATTGGTATTTATTGCGAAACACGCCCAGTACAAGTACGGAGAGTCTCTTTGTATATGTAGGATATGTTTCATCAATAGGACCGAGATAAGGAGCCATATAGGCCCAATCGAAACAAAATGAATATTTACAATCCGAAATGGTGACTTTGCAGATCTTCTTGCACCAGTTTGAAGGTCAGTGTGTTACGTAATCAATTATCACGTAAGCCATTTAAAGGTGAACCGGTTCATTCAGGACTAGTGTCTGTTTCACCTGCCTCCAGCCGCTGCCAGAGTAGTCCTCGCTCTCTCTACCCCCTTCTCCCGTCCTCCCTGTTTCTGCACTCAAGTCCCTGTGTTGATCTATCTATCCCGCAAACAGAGTTCATTTGCTGTCTTTCCTCTCTCTTTTTTCTGCGTCTATCTCCCACCCCTTCCCCCCATTTATATATCTACTCGAACAGCAACGAACGACGACGATAACGCGCGTTGCCGCACCACAGTCTACTATGCCGGCACCAAGGAAATACAACATATTGTGGGATGTATACCATGGCAAAGGTATCAGCATAGGCCGTGATGGCGTCGTTTGTCATGGGCCGCCTGGCATGGTAGTCAAAGTACCGATCCGCTATAAAGACGACACATCGACAAGTGGCTACCGTGAAACGGATTCCGCTCCCTATTTTGAACACGAGAGGGCCATGGTTGCGTTGATTCAGAAGGAAACGAGGCAACCACACCCCAACATTATCCAGAGTGTGTTGTCGACTAGCGACGGTTTCTTCCTTCCTCTGATGAAAGGGAGTCTGCACGACGTGCTGGACCGCAATGAGCTCATCCCGGACGACGACGCCGCACGCTGGCTGGTTCAGATCGCATCGGCCACTGCCTGGCTGGAGGCCATGGACCATTTCCACGGCGACCTCCGGCCGCCAAACATCCTGTTGGATGCGGACAGCCATGTGAAGCTATGCGATTTCGGCAACATGGCGGCGCGGGGAACCAAAAACTACGGTGCCACCTTGCCCTACTACAAGCTGTACCCCGCGAAGGCGGGTCCGGCGAGTGAGCAGTACGCCATTGGCTCGATCATGTACGCTGTGTTTTCCGGGAAGGAATTGCTCCACGATGTGGACGACTACCAGACCAAGGAGAAGATGCTCAAAGACGGCCAGCTCCCACCAGTCGATCACCTTCGGGCCGAGCATGTGATGCGTGACTGCTGGGAGGCTCGCTACGACACGCTGGAGCAAGTGCACCGCACGCTGCTCGTTGAGTTGGGCCTGGGGTTGGACTATGCGAATCCCGCCGTCTGTCTCACTCCAGAAGAGTGTACTACCAAGGCCGGCGAGTGTGAGGCATGGGGGATGGAGCGACGTGCGTGGCTCGAGGACTGCAGAAAACGCCTCGCGGGAAATAATACGCCAGATACAGAAACGTCTTGATTGTATGGGCTGCTATAGCTATGTATATCCATCGATATCCATCGACAACCATGTCCATCACCATTCACTTTTCATCCTCGTCGCCAGCGGCGGCGAGACAGTCCGGGCAAAGTTTCCGCGTCGTAGTCCGGCCAAAGTACACGTCTTTGACATCGTCGCAGACCTTTCCCGTTCTGTCTGCCTCCTCACACGTTTTCAGTCGAGGATTCTCTTCGATTTTGTGCCAGCATTTGCCAGAAACCACGGTGGTGATCAAATATTCGCACATTTTGTTTGGCTTTTGGTGAGTGATTTTGCTATCACAGTATGAACGAACATGAGAGAGGTAATCTTACAATGTAGGTCGAAGTGAACGATGTTGGTGATTGTGAAAGCGCTTTCAAAATGTCTTCAAAGTTTTTGGAATGTTGGACGAAAGGGAAGTGGGCGGTGCTGGACGACGGAACTTCAGACTCGCAAACGCTGCGGACGAGGGGTAATTTATCTGCACGACGCAGGACGGCGGGGGAATGTATCAGGCAGTCAGGATGTTGGCCCCCACGGGGCATCATGAACTGGCTAGGCAACCGTCACACACGTTCCGGTCAAAGATTGCGCGACCATGAGATTCAGCGGAGCAAGTGTCGCTGACAGCATGACCTGGGAGCAGGTCACGGAAAATGCGACGTGGGAATGAACCAATCAAGTGATTCCAACCAGACCTGTGCGCTCATTCACGCATGGCCCTACATTGCCGTGCCAAGTGTGTGATGAGAAGCTCACGTCTGTGAATATGACGAAGACTTGTTCTCCGAATAATTAGGGGACCAACTCAATATATTTTAACATACAATCCTGCTAGCCTGTGTCGTTTCAGGGTTGGTCGCGCAAGTCCACGATTTTCCTAGGAACGTACCCAGCGGATACGCCGCAAATCTCGTGAGTGACTGACTCTTGCAAGATTGTGTATACGTATCACTATGTGGACCTGCCGGCTGTTACCTAGTTGCATCAACTCTCCACTGCTAGGGCGCATTCTTTTGGCTAGTAGGTTATGGCATAGATAAGTGCCACAGGGTCAATGAGCTGTTGCCGGCGCAAAGAACGAACGCGGGATTAAGAATACAGTTTTATCTTACGTTCACGAGTCGCAATCACACTGATACGATGTGAAAAAAAAACTAAATAAATAAATAAAAATAAAAAAATTGCACGTGGACAAGGAAAGGAGCATGTTTTATTGTTTATGCCGGGCTCAGAAAACAACATTGAAATTAAACCTTCCCCTATACTACGTGACTGAATATTTCAGAATTAATTCTCCTCTTGGTATCCCTCATTCACTTTAGATGCAGCCAGACCTTGGAATGCCGTGGACAAAAAGAGCAGCATAACCTATCATGACAATTGTGCGAGGCAGTTAACCTTACGACCGTGATCAACCACAAAGCCCTACTCTGACTAAAAAATTCTCAAAATTATCCCCAGCATGCCTTCCAAGCCCAGACGTGCTTGTGCGGACAAAGATGACCTGGTTTGGGAAGAACTGGACGAACGCATCGATGACTGGCTGGCCACGGTCAAAACCTGAGATGTTTATCGTTCGGTAGCGAACTTTATTTTGAAGTTCAAGCCAGGGAACGCCGTGGAGATGCACCGAGCATTCAAGGGTGGCTACAATGTTGTCTACCGTCTTGAATACGGTGACGGGACTTCTGTTATTATGAGAATTCCGATCAAAGGTATCGTCCCTGAATCCATGCCTTTGAATACTTTTGAATCCCCCGAATACCATTACGCCAAAAACCCCCGTCAACCCCAGACGTAGTGCCCGATGCATTCAAGAAAAGGTGCGGAACGAGGTCGCCGTTATGCGATACGTCGCGGCCAAAACAAGCATTCCGGTGCCGCACGTCTATCATTACGGTATCGCAGACGAGAATCCCGTCGGCCTCGGGCCGTTTATCATTATGGACTACATTGACCACTACGAAACCCTCTCGGTGTACTGCGAGACCCAGACCGGCCGGTGGAGAAGCATCCCGTCCTCAACCCAAACATTGAAGAGCGTCGTCTCGCTTTGTTGTACAAACAGGTTGCAGACGTCCTTCTCCAGCTGGATACGCTGCGTTTTCCGAGGATTGGCTCCCTGGTCGAGGATGCTGCCACGGGCACAATTGACGTCAAAGGACGGCCCCTGCTGGCAGTCATCCGTACCGACGTTCCTGCCTGTGGTATATTGCCGTCGCCCGACACGACGTACACCGATCCTGACGCTTGGTTTGTGGCCCTTGCCGACGTTTCTGTCCGCTCTGGAGGAGGTCGAGAAACAGCAACAGCAACAGCAGCCGGCCTCTGCGGGCGAACCGCTGTCAAAGCGCATGAGGACAAGCTGGACCAGCAACGCGTGGATGCGCAACTACGCGGCCAGGCGATCGTGGGCGTTTGACACTTTATGGTGGAAACACGTTGACGACAGCCTGTGCGGGCCAAACGAGGACCAAGACCACAAAACACGGCTCGCCGAGATGCCGGCTGCGTTCGACGAGACACGCAAGTCACTGTATGGGACGAAGATGCAGCAGTCGCGCACCTCGCACAACATTTTGTCGTCTTTGCCAAGTCTCCCAGTTAAGCCAGGTGGCTATCATTTGTGATGTAATTTTGAACATCTCGTCATGTACCTGTACTAGTTTTTCTTTTCATTTTTTATTCATTTTTCTAGTTGGATTTTCCAATTCAGTCATCCTTCTTCTATTTCCCAATATGCGACTATTAATATTCCTTCACTATTGCATATCGCTGGATGGAAGCCAGGCAGCTTATGTGTGAATCGCCGGCCTACCATTTTACACTTCTCACCCGCTCGACAGCACGCAAAACGGCAAAGCTGCATGCAGCACTCCTCGAAGCTGCACGTATTGAGGATGAGCCAATCGTCTGTCCACAACGTGTCAAAATAACGCAGGATTGCATATGCAGCATTTCAAAGAAAACCCCGCAAATCCGTCCAGGTACAGATGCATTTTGTCTTTGGAGGTCCTTGAGAATGACAAATATGGTGCCACGCCACTCCAAATTCTTCTCCCTTGTAAGATACCCTGTCCAATTATCTGCCGATATGGGAGAGCATTTGTCGTCGTCCGTCGCGCGGCCGGCGACCCTTCGGCAACGAGCCGTCAACTGGCGCATTCCAGGCGAGCGAACACCCCTGGATGTTGCGGGACTGCACGTGTCGGACGAGTTTTTCCCGGCCTTGAACGACCCGCACCTGCTGCGCATCGCGCGCGCGCTGCTCGATGCCGAGTCCGGCATTCTGGCGGCGCGCATCCGGGCGTTCAACAAGACCAAAGCCGACCCAGATGCATCGACCGACGCCAAGCGGGCCACCTTGCACGATGCGGAAGCGGCCTACGCGAAGATGGAGCAAGTGCGCAGCGGCGCGCGGCGCGTCGGCACGCAGTACTTGAAGGGCCGACACATGCTGCACTTCTGGACCGACCAGTACAATGCATGGTCGCGCCGCCTGGCCGATGCAGAGCGGCGCGCCGGTGTTAAGATGGACGGGCACATCATGGACATGAATGCCCTCGGCGACGACATTGTCCAGGCCGCCGCGGCGTCCCCCGTGCAATTGGACGAGGAAGTGGAGCGGCTCCTCGAAGAGCGCTGGCTGCGGTTCGAGGTGTTTGCACAGATGGCGGGCGACGCGGTGCCGAAGCTGCATTTGGTTCCGACGTGGTGCGTATGAAATACGAAAGTTGGGTCGCATGCTCCGTGCACGTGTTGACGGCTCACTAGGGACGACATCAAGAAACAAATCAGTGCTGCGCAGGGTCTGAAACCACCAAAGGGGCTACGCGTGCGTGTTCTCTCTGTCTCTCTGTCCCTCTGCCCTCTGTCCTCTGTCCCTCTTTCTCGTCTTGCCCTCATATTAACGACAGCAGAGCCAAAGCACCCTCTTGTGGCTCATCATGGTCACAACCGTGTCCAACACGGTGACGTTTGCTCTCTCGTACAACTACTCGTCGCATACCCCGGGCGCATGGAACGAGGCCGACTTTTGGGCTCTCATCCAACAGGCCATCACCCAGCTGATCGGTCTCGCCATCACCATTTTCCCCTTGTTCAAGAACAAGCACCTTACCCGCTGGGCATGGCAGGCCCCGAGCGTTGTCGTGAGCTGCCTGACCATCGCGTCCATCCCCCTCTACCTCTACGCCCCGACGGAATGGAGCTCCTGTACCATGCTGGTGGGCGGAGCCATCCAGACGTTTCTGACGCTGCAGCTGGCGATTCTTGGCGTGGAACAATGAGTGGGCAGATTTAAGCATGTTGGTCAATTCGCTATATTCATTCGCAGTATTCATTCGCAGTATTCATTCGCAGTATTCATTCGCAGTATTCATTCGCTATTCATTCTCATCATACGCTCCGCCCCGTCATGAACGTCACCCAAGTGCCTTCGTATCTCGTAAATCTGCCATTTGTTAGCGTACTTTTCTTCTGCTCCACACCTGTCCAAGCCACAACGGCGAAATTACCGTCGTGTTGTCGTGTCGTCATTCCTGTTATGCCGTTGTTGTCCCTTTTTGTCCGCAATTAGGTTGATCCATTTAGGTTGATCCCGACAACGGAAGGCGAGTCTCGCCGGCGTGGCCCCAATGCGGCAGCCGTTGCATTCTGGACGCGAAATACGACACTAGCCTAGTCATGTTCTCCGCTCGACCAAAAGGTCCAAAAGAGACGCTCACACGCTCACACGCTCACACGGACCTCGCTGGGGCGGGACAAGTTCGACCAATACGACGCTGGCGTTCACATGGCGCCGCCATCCCCACACACGGCAGTCGGAAAAGGCAGGTCACAAAAGCGTATTTGGACAGCATCCATGGTTGTGCCTTGTGGTTTGCCTGCCACCGGGGCACACTCTGCGATGTAAGACGCAGGATGTAGGACCCAGAAGCAGAAGCCCAAGTCGGGTCCCGGGCACCTGGCTACCACCATCCAAAGTAAGCAGCTGCAAAGGACAGTCCCAATGCCCGGTTTTCGTTTTCGACCTTTGTGTCATTCTTGTTTTGCCGGCACATATTGTTTTGCATATATATCCATATTGCATCACGCCCCTCGAAATGAAAAGCCCATAGTTCCGTTGGCTGCTACTACCGGCGATCCCATTTATCCAAATTTCCACCCGTCTCCCGTCTCCCGTCCATCTACTTTGCACGCTTCGGCCCGGCCATGCATTTGTCCAATTTGTGCCTCCAGGCACGCAACCGGCTGCCGGCCGTGTTGCGCCTTTTGCTTCTTGCTGGCGTGGCCCAGGCCGCGGCCCTGGCCCTTCCCAGCGAAAACGAAATCGTCGAGCGGTCGCTGTGGAACTGCAACGCGCTCTTCTTCCGGCATGCGCTTCCGAGCAACGCGACGCTCGAGCGGGTCCAGGTGGTGCCGGCCGGCGGCACCTTTGGCGAGAACGCGACCAACATCCCATACCCCTACTGGCCGACCAATCTGCCGCAGCTGTGCGCCGTCATTGTCAACGTGACCAGCTCGCCGTCGTCCTCGTTCCGCTTTGGCCTGCTGCTGCCCACGGTCTGGAACAGCCGCTTCCTCGCCGTCGGCAACGGAGGCTATGCGGGCGGCATCAACTGGCTGTCAGCTGTGAGTTTTGCATGCAGGATGCCGTATCCAAGCTCCTTACGTAGTCGTGTCACATAACTAACCTCTCCGGGCCAGGGCTCCGGAACGCACTATGGCTTCGCGGTCGTGTCGACGGACACGGGCCACAGCTCCAACGTGCTCGACGGGACGTGGGCGCTCAACGCGCCCGAAAAGAAGGCCGACTGGGGCTGGCGCAGCATCCACGGCTCGGTGGAGCTGGGCAAGACGCTGACGGCCGCGTACTACGGCGGCAAGGTGCGCTACTCGTACTTTAGCGGCTGCTCGACGGGCGGCCGCCAGGGCATGAAGGAGGTGCAGATTGCGCCCGACAGCTTCGACGGCGCGCTCATCGGCTCGTCGGCGTGGGACTCGAACGTGCTCAACACGTACGTCACGCAGCTGGGCATCTACAACCTGCCCGTGGGCGCGCCCAACTACATTGCCTACACGCGGTTCCCCGTCGTCGCCGAGCAGGTCCGGGCGCAGTGCGACGGCGTCGACGGCGTGGTGGACGGCATCGTGAGCGCGCCCGAGCGCTGCCGCTTCGACTACGCCAAGATCCAGTGCGGCAGCCCCAGCGTCGTGCTCAACGCGTCGGCCTGCTTCACGGCGCCGCAGGTCCAGACCCTGAAAAACATCTACAGCGACTGGTACGACAACCGCACCGGCGCGTACCTGTACCCGGGCCTGCTCATGGGCTCCGAGGACATGTGGCTCGCCGGCACGCTGCTGGGCTACGCGGAGCCGTCGCCCTTTGGCATCGGCTTTGCGCAGGACTTTGTCTACGACGACCCCACCTGGCAGTGGCAGACGTTCAACGACAGCATCGTCGACACCGCCCGGCGCGTCAACCCGGGCAACGCCACGGCCGACCAGTACGACCTCTCGGCCTTCCGCCGGCGCGGCGGCAAGATGATTATGTACCACGGCCTCGCCGACGGGCTGGTGCCCACCAAGGGCTCCGAGCTGTACTACAACCGGACGCTGCAGACCATGGGCGGGGGCCATGCCAAGGACAGTGCCAGGGGTCATGGCAAGGGCAAGGCGAACGGCGTGGACGACTTCTTGCGCCTCTTCATGATCCCCGGCATGCAGCACTGCTACGCCACGGCGGTGGACGCGCCGTGGTACATCAACGGCGAGTTCCAGGCCGACCTCATGGGCACGGGCCTGTGGTCCGTGCCCGGCTTTGCCGACGCCAAGCACGACGCGCTGCTGGCCCTGATGGAGTGGACCGAGAGCGGACGCGCCCCCGACGAGATCATCGCCACCACCTGGAAGACGTCCACCAACCCCTTGTCGGGCGTCCTGCGCCAGCGGCCGCTCTGCCCGTACCCAAAGACGGCCGTGTGGAACAAGCGCTCGGACGTCAACAAGGCGAGCAGTTGGCATTGCTCGGATTAACGGCCGGGGATGGGGGCAGGTGGCGGGACTGAGGGCGGAGGGTAGAGGGCGGAGGGCGAAGGAATGAGGACTAGGCTTTCACAGAATTGGGTAGGCTAGGGATCGGGGATGGTATGGACAGGGGATTTGTGCATGCGTAATTCATTTCTCATTCGATACATTTAATACTGTAGTGACCGGAACAATATCCATCATACGCCATCAGGCTTTCGAGCATTATCGATTAGACGTGTCTTGTCCCGTAAGGAATTCGGCACATTTTCCACTTTGCCCCAACCTACGCCAAAGGATCGCCGGCGGCATCATGGTTGGTGGACGTATGATGGTCCCGATGTGGCCAACGTGGTGGCCAGCGACAAGTAAACAGGAAGGTTGCGAATAGTGGTAGCAAGAAATTCATGTTTATTTCAACTGCCAGGGGATACTGGTCCAAAACATACAGCCCAATAGAAGGTCCCTATGCAATCGTCTGTTGGAAGACATCACCTACAAAATCGCCGACCGTCCGCATGAGCAAATCAACGTCTTTGTTATCCTTGAATTGAAAAAATGTACAAGCGGCGTACAAGCTCACCATGGACCGCAGCCGATCTTTCGGATCCGGCGGGGTGTTGTCGTATATGTATCGTACGAGCCAAACAATTCGCCCGATGCTGTCGTGGTTCAGCAGAAAGTGCACGAGGATGCGGTGCAGCTTGCACAGAGCGAGCGTTTGCAACGGCGCAATGCCGTGGTAGTCTGCAAACAAATACACTTGGGCGTGAACGATGAAAACGTCAAAACCATCAATCCAACTCACAGCGTCATGATTGCAGAAACCACCAGGGCACTGCTCCGTGAACCACCTCGGAAGCAGCGGGGCAGCAACCGAATACGGTTCGTCGGCCACGGCCAGCTTCGGTGATTCTCCGTTCTTTTCCGGCGTTGGCCCCGGTGTTTCCCAGCCACCATCATCGTCTGCGGCCGCTTGCTGCTCATATTTGGGGAGAGCGTTCGTATACCATTCTGGGCCGTTGTAGTCTCCCGTGTAGGCAAACTGGGAGAAGTGCACAAACGTAGTCTCGTCGGTCCCGGACCATTCGACGCGGCACTCGGATGCTTCCAGCATGTGTCCGTTGACGAGCCTTCCGAGAGAACGCGACTGGGCGGCGACGAGGGCAAAATGTATGGTAAACTCTTTCCTGCCAGGGCCGACCGCAAACGTGAGAAGGGCGGACGAGACAATCTTGGTGTTGAGTAGTGTTAGCAGCCCACACGGTGCAGAGAAAGCTTTGCCGTCACTTGGGATCATGACTTGCGTAGAATAGGACACGGTCCCCATCGCGGCGGTACTTGATGTAGGCCGCTGGACGGGCCCGTCAAACTTGATCCTTGTGGTACACACAAACAACAAAATGACACCCTAGCAGCGGTGGACTCTGTCGGTAGGCGAGTGGGTTGTTGTGACAGCTTTGACTTGGCCACAAATAAATAGGCAGCTCATCGCCCCGCTGCCAGGAGGGCTTTCCTGTCATGAGAGGCGGTGCCGCTGGCATTCCCTTTTATTTCGCCACGTGTATTGTACTGTAAGGTATAGACCTCTTCGCAGCAGTACATTTCAGCCTACTTGTCAATCGCCGCATCTGGTATCCGAGCATTCATTGGCCACACGAGCTCGTTGGTGCCCGACGTACGAAAAGCCCACGACGATGGACGAATCACCGTGCCAAACGTACAGACGTCTCCTATGTGATGCCTGAACCACTCTACGGGTTCCTCGAATGGAAATATTGAGTCCTGATTCGACTGATGCACTCGTATGGTAGCGGGAGATTCAATGATTTCGCGGCGTCGCGTCGACGGGCGTCGTTGTGCAGCTTAGCCCTATGTACGCGTGTGTAGCGGAACAGCGGCAGGTTGAGACCGTCGAGCCAGACGATGGGCCCGCTGTTGTCGTCGCCGTGGTCGTGCGTGCCAGTGCCATGGGGGCATGACGACGACGTCGCCGCGCTGCAGCGGCATATTTTTGCCTTTGTCTACACTTTACGAGCAAGGGACGATATAGACTAGATAATGCAATAGACACACAGAGCACGAAGGGCGCTATCCAAGAGACACTTTGGCTGGTTGTATGGCTGTGCATGCAAACTATTCTGCGCAAGAATTAGCTGAAAATCATCCGACTTCCTGTGATCTCCCTCATTTCCTCCACGACAAGACAACAAACTGAACAAAATGAGCAAAACTGACAGTGACGACAAGAGCCAAACGAAAAAATTAATGAAAGACATTGTGACCGTTCAAATGTCCTCGGAGTTCCCGGAATTGTCCAAGCCCGTCAAATCAATATACTTGTACCACCCACCACACTACTATAGAGACGGGCCAGGAAGGGTGACTGCTGACGGCCGCATTGTTTGACGACTCTGCAAAAGCCACCAGATCAGGGGCCGAGGTCCGCAGGTGCTGAGGTCCGGTCAACAGGCCGAGCTTGTCCAGGATACGATGGCGACCGTGAATGGTCTTGTGGCCTCTGCTGTTGCGCTGGAAGTGCGTACGGATGCATTGGCGATACCGGTACGTTGCTACTGGATGTCGGTACGTAATTTGCAACCGTGGTAAATTGGTTGGCTGTCACAGAAGCGGCTTCCATCGAGGGCAGGGCGTAGGTGCTGGTGGACAGAGACTGTTCCTGTGGATGCTGATATACCACCGGCCAACGCCTCGTTGGCAACTGCTGGTATAGATGGTTGGCTGGCTCCTGCTGTTGTTGATGTTGATATAGCTGCGGCTGAGGCTGTTGGTGCTGTGGCTGCTGCTGCTGTTGCTGTGGCTGTTGCTGTGGCTGTTGCTGTGGCTGTTGCTGTGGCTGTTGCTGTGGCTGTTGTCTAATTGGCAGCTGCATCGTAGCGGGGAGGCGGAATTCATGCAGAGAATTTTGCATTCCTCCGTGTCGCCCGCGACCTTGTCGCCCTTCCCGGTTGAGACGCCGAGACGCATCGTCGCTAGGATGTTCCTCCCCGATCATTTCCACGGCCCGGAGGCCAAGCTCCTTGGCCCGAGTCTCTGTACTCGTCCCGTGCACGTCCCTGAGGTAGTTGAAAAAGTCCAGGTACGCTTCTGACACGCGCTGAAAATGTTCTACTTTGAGATGCACCCTGGCATTCTCCTGCGCCGTCAGGTCGAATTTTTTGTCCGATGGCTGAGCATCATACTCTGCAAGAGCTTGCGCCGTTTGGCACGCGTTCCGGATTTGCCGGCCGTTCCAACGGGCGGTGCTGTGTTTGCGCCAATGATTGCGAATGTGCTCCTCAATGGTGTCACTATCAATCTTGATTTGGCGTCCGGCAGCATGGTAGCGCTCGCGGATCATATTCAAGTTGATACGGCAGACTTTCACCGTAGGCAACTCCTCCAGTTGCGGATAGTGGAGTATCATGTGAATGCGGGACGCGAACGCCTCGTCGAGATCGCCGATGCGGTTCGTCGTTAGGAAGAGGATTCCAGTGTAGTATTCAAGGATACGAAGAAAAACTGCATAGTGTCCAAGTATTTGCTTTTGTTAGTGTCTCAATAAAAGAGCATACGGAATGCTGGACAGTGGACACGTGCACATACCGGCTACCAGCCCGTTCCGTGTAAAGTCATTGCGCCCGCGGGCCGCGAGAAACACGTCTGCCTCGTCAAGCAAAAGGATGGCATCCCACCGGCTGGCCAAGGCAAACGTGTTTTGCAACGAGCGCTCGACTTCTCTTGCAGCGGTCCCGAGGTCGCCTCGAACCGTCAGTCAGTGTCTCAACAGGACCAGGTGGCGGGAATCGCATCATGGGAAGCCATACCGCATGTTATTTGCATCAGAGGCTTGCTGAACGTTTCGGCCACACCCTCTGACCTTTGTTAGAAATTGTGGGGCAGTCTGAAGGAAAAAGGAACTCCGCGTGTCTTACCAGCGGTTGTCGTCTTTCCAACTCCTGGCGCTCCATGGAGAAGAATAACCAACCCCTTCCCTGCCGATCGAGTAAGCTTATGTTTGCAACGAAACGGAATATCTATTGTAGCGAAGTCGTACCTTTGCCTTTTACAATGTCCAATCTATTCTTTCTGTGCGTCTGGGATGCTTTGTTTCGGAAGTGCTGGGCCACGAGAGACAATACCATGCGTTTGTGTCCTCGAGGAAGAACAAGGTTTGAGAATGCCATGCTGCCGACGGCCTCGCCCATATCATCGTTATCGCTGTCATAATTATCACTGCCTGTGGCATCGCCGTCAGTGTTGCAATTATCCGTGGCAATGGCTCCTGCAGGTTCGAATCGCCTGTCAATGTTGCTAATGAGGTCTAGGTCCAATATTGCTGCGACGTGAAGGGTTAGCCTCCATTCTCTGGTTGTCCCTTTTCTGTCACGGCTCGTTTTTACACTGCTTACCCCAAGAACGGTCACGTAGCAAATAGCCGTAAACACGGTACGACATGATCATAAAGTCGATATCTGTGAGGAGACTGGGATCGGCTGTGATCTCGGCTACTGTGCGTGGATGTAGGGATACGGGTATTTGAGTTGTTGGATCCCTAGCACCGGCGCTGTTGTAAGTATCCCTCCCTTCAGCATTCAGGGTCCTTTCAATATAGGACTCTTTCGCCTTTCTCTCTGCAAAACCTTCATCCAGTACATTCTGATGAAAGCAGCACGAGGATCTGCAAGGGTGTTCAATGACGGCGTCGTCCGTGTCAGTCCCAACAACAGAAAAAAGGCTGGGTGGTTTGCCACGATTGAATACATAGCTCAAGGCCTCCTGCATGTCAATCATGACTTCGCCCTCGATCTCGCCTCGATAGTCCAACCTCCGGCCAGTGTAGTACGCGTGCTTGATGCCCATTGTATCCACAAACCGGCGGCCACGCTCAATCAGCCGTCGCTGGAAGGCCTCCGTCTCGCTACGGACGGCCGCCTCTGCGGCTTCGTTTCCATTGTTATCATCGGTCAGTCCAGCGAGAGTCTGTACCAGTTCCGGACCTCGAAAGTGACGTAGAGGAATTACTTCCATGGTGGAAATCTTTCTCTCACCGTTAAAGTTCTCGATAATGATTGTGCGAGAGAGAGGACCGATAGATGTGCCGTTGTAATCAACAGATACGCAGCTTATGACGGCATCCTGGCTATTACCAGATTGTTCCTCTTCATTAAACGCACTCAAAGAAATATTCTTCTTCCTCTGCTCGTATCCCCTGTGGGTTCCTGCGTGAACAAACACAACCTGGTAGGCTTGCTTGCCATTGGTGGACACGACCAAGTCGCCGGGTTTGTAAAGGTGCCAGATGTCGGAAAAGTACATCCTCTCGCAACGTGAGGACTGAAGCCAAGAAATGCGCTTGGCAATGTAGTCGTCCATGAAGCGAACAATGCATCCTGTGTGCTCCATTTCTGATTTGACCTGATCGTAGTCTAAAACAATTTGAGAAGCATTCGAATCAGGAAATCTAGAAGAAAAAGGTGGCGACGAAGGGGAAGCATAAGTTGACCAAGAAGGGGATACAGGCAGAGGAGGAACATGAGGAATGCCAGAAGACTCAAGAGACATATTCCGGGACGGGGCATTATTGGCGGGAACAGCGCTGTCTTGCCCTGTCCCTGGACTGAAGTTTTTCGTATTGGGTTCTTGTGGAGTAGGTCTCATACTGGATTCCAGTCTTATGAGCGCCTGGTGAGCTTGACGGATCGCGCCATTGTAGGATGTAAGGAAGCGATAAGGACGAAGCATGGTGAGTTTGAGGAAGCCAAACTCAGCGACTGATGTCATGTGTGAGCCAGAAATCCTCTTGAGAACGGTGATCAATTCCGTCGAGCAGATTCGAATACGCTCTGGTAGCTGTGTGTGACCGGTATAATTGACGGCGGTGTCACCGTCCGTTTCTCTCAATCCGTCTTTGTTTTTCAGGTGGTTTTGGGCACCATGGCGTAACGAGTGGTTCTCTACCGTCGGCTCTCCCTTTAAGATGTCAATGACAAATGGCGAATGGTCTTGGTCAGGCTTGAAAGACACGAACGCATCCCATTCTAAACATCGCAGGTCAGAAATGGGGCGTTCGTTTGGTGAGTGGTTCGAGGGGGATCCATATTCGTGACCATAGTAGGAGGGCCCAGGGCCGTGGTAGTCCTGTTCTAGCCTCCTTTTACCGAGGCTCGCCCCCTTGCTAATACAAGACGTGTATTCACCCCCATCTGAAGATGTGTCGCTGCCAGGGGATTTCCTAAAGAAGGTATAACGCTCGTCGACCGCGACCGCGTCGGTATCCATAACGGTGTTTTTGCAAAAAGTCGCTGCAAGTGGTTCGACAGTACGTTGTATATTTTTGGTGATGTCAGTTGGTTACGAACGGTCGGGTTGTTGCCACTCCCAGGAAGACTTTTTATCTGGACATCAAATGTCACGAATGAGAGGGATGTCAGATCGTCAAGAAGAAGGTCCTTCGGGATGCGGCTTGCGGGTCTGAGACACGGTTGCCTAATTTCAAGTCACTGTGACATCAACGAACAATCGTGGTGTCTGAAGTGCAAGACCGGTCAAGTCGTAGCGAATCATACTCATCCCCCGCCCCCCTCCTCGTATCTCTGACCAGAGGCACCCCGCGAAGAAAATGCCTACGATGCCGAACCAACGAAAAAGGGCACAAAGTTGCACTTACGCCCGAGAGGCGCAGCTGCGCCCAGAAGCAGAACTTCTTTGGAAGCAATTCTCGTGGCAATTGTGCCAGTATTTTGCGCAGAGTACATAAAGGCAAGGTGACAGTGAATGACAAAATCTGGTATTGAGTTTTATACAGCGGTCGAATTAATGGCATGCTTGACGACGACACAAACCTACAATGTTTATTACATTCCTCAAATGCGACGTAAATCCACCTTGACTTCCGGCATTGCAAATCATCAAGGGCCTCGAATTTGACAGCCTAGCGAGGACGACCCGATCCTCGACGCTAGTAATATGGCGCTAAATAGTGGAGCCTGAAGAGGCGGCAGGCGGGGTAAAGTCTGCCGTTGACGAATTCAGTACAACATATATGGCAACTAGATTGGATATTGCAAAGTTCCTTAATAGTTGTGTTCTTGCTTGCGTTGTAGAACATCGCCATTATTTACCCAAAACCTCCTAAAATCCCAGAGTTGTCATCTCGCAAATTAGTCACACAATTTACCCCTATTTCCTGCACATGATAAGGCACCTGACCAACACCTCCCTATGTGAGGCATATTTCGTCAGCCGTTCCCATGCTCGTATTTTTCTAACTTGAAAAAGTGAACAATTGCAAAATAGCAGGGGCGTTGACAGACCCACCGGAGACGGGGCTGAGCTGAGAAAAACGACGACAATGAAAGGCAGAAAACTGTAGACAATGTTACACCTTCTTCTCTCGTTATCTATCCCTTTTTCTTCGTCTTCATTTCTTTTTTTTTTTTTTTTTTTTTGTAAAAAACAATGTTGAACATTCAATCCTGCTATTTCTCTGGCGATAACTTCACATTGCTCCCAACACCAGTGCGGTGCCATGGCTTCCCCTGGACAAAGCGACATCCCAGAGATCCAAATACAGTCAGCATCAGTGAATTCCGTGGGAAACGACCTCGAAATGTCTTACACAGGATTCGCAAATCGCGCTTCATACGACGTCCAGCTGCAACAGCAAGTGCAGGCCGACCGGGTGGCAGGAACAGACGAGCAGACCTTGGCCACGTCCAACGGCGGGCACTCACTGCCTGTGCGACGACGAGCGGAGCCCATGATCGCGCTACGATTTTGGGACGATTTATTCACGCCATCGATGCATCGCTTCCTAGCATCGCACCCAAGGGAACCGAACGAGGTCAAAGAAAAAGGCAGCATCCGCGGTCAAGGCGACTGGGTCGGTGTTCTTGACAAACTCGAGACTGCCAGAAATGAATACAGCCTGATCGATTCAGGGTTCAAGAGTACCTTTCGCAAGGTATACCGCAAGTCGGCCGACCATGCCGGTGGGATGCCACTGTCGATAGTCAAGACGGCCAAGGACGTCGTGAACAACGACTACGCGTCGCCGGTGCTCGGGGTTGTCAAGTTGGTTGTCGAGGTAAGCGGCCGCTCATGTTCCGCACATACATTGGCGCCGTACAGTGACAAACGGGAGGACCGCTAACTTGTTACACCGGTATCCACAGGCTGCAACAAAGGCGGCCAAGCTGCGACAGGACATGATGGGTGCCTTGGACAACCTCGACCGTACATTTACAGAGGTTGAAATATACCGGCAGGCGTTTCCCGGAGACGAGAACATCCGAGAGGCATCTATCGACCTGGTTGCCTCGGTTCTATACGCCGTTGAGTTGGTTATTGGCTTCTTTGTTTCCAAAACTTGTGAGTTGCTGTCCGGATAAGTTGCACCAACGACGACGGCAAGAAAAAATAAAGAAAATGAAAAAAAAAAAAAAAAAACGTAAGCCATCCAAATCCCGATACTAACTGCTCTTCTATTGACAGATAAACGTTTGCTTCGAGCCACCTTCACAATTGACGAGTACCGACAGAAAATTGACAACGGCCTCAAAGACGTGGACGACAGAAGCTCTGGCCTCCTCCGGGAGGTCAATTTGTCTAAAATGGAGAGCGACAGACTCTTCCAGAGCCGGACCATACATGGCACGTTCTTTTTCTATACTGGGGCTAGAACCCAGCTGTCTGCTAACACCATTGTAGATATGTCCATCACCCACCTAGGCTTGGCCCAACTTCAGACGATGGTCTACGACATGCAAAACTCGATCAACTTTTTTAGAAACGAGTTGATACAGGGTGGGCTTATTACGTCTCCAAGACCCCGAGTTCTTTGTGTTGCTATATGCCTTTTCTGACTCCACATTGTTACAGGATTGGACAGCAGCAGAGCACACATCACCGGCTTGTCTCCCTCCCCGCGTGTGCCGACCCCTGTGTATATAATAGCTGCGGCCCCACCAGCAAGATCCGAACCCGAGCACCGCCATATCACCCCCCAAACCCTCCTTGATTGGATTGGCATGCGTGATTTAGCACGACACGATCTCGACTACATGGCGACACGCAACCACGACCACATCACGGGTGCCGAGCAAGGCGGCGCAGGGCATCTTGTTGCCCATCACAAACTACAGCTGTGGCTGCGCGTGCCCGCGTCGTCCCAGTTGCTGATCCACGGCACCAGCGATGGACGCGGCCTGTGGCCTGTGTCGGGGCTGTCTTTGTTCTGTGCGTCTTTGGCCATGACCCTCGGCAGCCATCCGCGCATCATCCGACTGCTGTTCTTCTGCGGACTGCATGCAGACGACCGACACAACCGCGGCTCTACTTTTCAGTCTGACGACGAGGCGCTGCATGTCGGAGGCCGTGCCATCATCTCCAGTTTCATATGCCAGCTGCTGTGCGCATACGACTTTGGCCCAGAGCTGCTCATCGACGCGACGCGTGAAGGCGCCGTCGTCGATGGCGACCTGGACGAGCTCTGCCGCATTTTCGGCGCGCTCGTGTCTGGCCTTCCGCCGGACCTTGTGCTTGTCTGCGTCGTGGACGGCGCTGCGTACTACGAACGGCCCGAGTTTCTGGCGGATGCGTCGGTGGTTTTGGCATGCATCCTGCGTTTGTCCATGGACGATTCGGTGCCGGCGGTGGTCAAGATTCTCGTTGCCAGCCCCGTGCCGACAACGCACATCCGCCGACCGTTTTCCGACGACACCATTTTATCCATGGCTGCACTTTACCACACACAGTGGGACCACAGTCCTGCAAGAATCGAGCGCATGCTATTGGATGACGAGCAAGTTATGGGACTTGATGAATACGACATGGGCCATTCGTAGTTTTTGCTGTCCTTCAAAGCAAGACTTTCGTTAGCCACACTGCATTTTACAGTTTAAATGAATCATAATACTAAATATTTGAAGTAAAATGTTGCATGATCTACTCCATGTCGTCTCAACTTCAACGATGATAATATTTATGGATTGCCCTCGAGCTCGACTAATTAAAAAAAATTCAACGTTATTTTTTATCAAGGACATACATATTGCAAACACCTACTGCTCGATGTTGCTACTTTCCCTGAACAAGTCTCCAATGCACCTTTGCAAATGGAATCTGCCCACCACTCGACACGGCCGTAAAGAACTGTTTTACGATGAGGGTGGCGGGGCGGTCGCCAAGGCAAACAGGGCTGTGCCAAGCAGGGCCACGGCCCAGAACGAGGTGGCAGTCGCTTCCTAGGCAGTACACGACCAGGCCCGCGACCCTGGAGGCCGCCGTGGGCGCCAGACTAACCACCAAGCAACCGATGATGGAAAGGACACAGCTGGTGCGGTAAAAGAGGCGATACTTTGTTGGTCGCATGGGCATGTCCGTCAATGTCGTCTGTGCTCTCCACTGTGACAGGACCGTGATGACCCTGTTGAAGCAGGTGAATGCGCGGGTATCGGTGCCGGTAGAGAACGAAATGTGTGTCTGGCGAATGTCCTGTTCCTCGCATCGCTGCGGTACAGGAGGTGCCGTGTCACAGAAAGCGGCCAATCGGTGTCCAAGGCTGAGCAGCCAACTGACGACACAATGCGAGCAACAAAGCGAATCAGCCCAAGTACCAAAGGTAAGCATCTGGTCATGACACATCTTGACGTTCTTGCTCATCAGCAGCCTCGTTGGCCAGCGTCTCCCGCGCCTTCATCAGCGCCTTTCCCAGGCGGTTCTCGCCCCACCGGGACTGGTCCTTGTGCGTGCTGGCCTCCCTGGCCGTAAACCCAATGCCCCAGACGCGGTCCTGCGATGCCGCCTCAGCCAGGAGGCGCGTACCCGTGTCCAGCAACAGCTTGCGCAGGTCCTTGTTCTGCCCAAACTTGCACACATTGCCCAGCACGACGACGTCGCTCTTGTTCGTGTCCCACACGGCCGCATCGAAGCCGCGCGTGGCACGGCCGAGGCGTTTTTGCTCTTTGGCGTCGTCGGTCGCCAGGATGCGCTTCTGCGTCTCGGTGTCGTGGAAGCAGCCGGCTTTGCAGTACATCATATACTGCTCCGCACAGTGGAAGTAGATGGGCATCCAGCCCTCCGGATCGTCCGGGTCGATGGGGTGGCCCACGATCGCCGACATGTCTGCTTTGCTGACGGTGAACGTGGCTGGATACCACTGGCAGAACTCGCCAAATGGCTCGTTTGGCTTGAAGAAGAAGAGGGGTTTTGTTGCTTCCAAGTCTCGAGACTCTGCATTCTTTGCGTTTCCTACCTTGTGGGCCATCTTCACGTCCTTGGCAGACGCTTTGGACGGAACGGCCTTGCTGGAATTGTTGGCCTCGGTGCCTTTGGGGCCCTTGGGGACCTTTGCAGGAGTCTCGGCGGGAGCCTTGTTCATCATCTTCATGGTGTCGGTTTGTATCGTGTCGAAGTGTTCAAAGCTGACGACAGAAATACGTAGAGTAGTGTATGTGACGTGGCGATGCAGGGCAAGTTTTGGGTTGAAAAAGGAGAAAATAATGAGGGTGAAGCCGGTCGACGCGGAGAAAGGACGACGCATTTAAATACGCGAGTCCGGGTGATGGTTGATTGGGACGCCCCTACGTCATATTTCTGTATGTAGATATTAGTCATTATACCTAACCGCGTGCTATGGAGATGAAGTGTTTGCCTCCAAGCACACTTACCACCCCAAGTGCTGAAGGAGGAACTAGTTTACTGTTTCCTTTCTATGAAAGCGCAGGTTGACTGGGTTTCGGAGGTTTTGTGACCCCCCAATACCAAATCCTTTCAGATTTTACCCCGGCAAAAGTAACCCGCTTTTCAAACATGAATCCGAGACGAGGCACCGGCCAAAGTGACAGGCGTTTAGACGACACCGTCTTGCTGCCTTTTCATGGCAGGGCCTCCAAAACCCCCAAAGCAACAGTTGTCTCGTTCTTGCGAATACTCCTTTCACACGGAGGTAAATTTCCAGAAAGCTCGACCGCGTTCGCTTGCATGATGAACTTTATTTGCACGCGTAGCCACATCTCTCAGTGCCTCGCTGCTCGCAAAGTGGGTTAGAGCGACTCGTGAGGGACCCGAGCGTCACAAGGCAAGAGTGAGGCCTCGATGATTACACAAATACGGAAGACACTGGGGGAAGATAGCATCTTATTTGACGAGGTGGCGAAAAGACAGTCTCTGTGTGACCACTACGTGCTCCACATCGAGGCCTTTTTGTGGAGACCTGGCTGTTCTGCACTGTGACCGAAGCTCGAACTCGTGACCACGACGCACCAAGCTTCAAACTAAGTTCACCTCAGTGTGCCTCGCGTTAGCTGCTTCACGCGAACTTTTTGCTCGACTCTCCATTTCGACGACTGCTATTTCCATGCCTGCTGTCGCTGGTCGATCCACAACCTTCTTTCTTCTTTGCCAACCATCGCTGCTTGCCTGCCTACAAACTCGCCTGAGCTCCGTATCTTTCCCTTGCTGCGTTTTGCTCGACCTCGTCTAAACGCTGTTACTCTTTTACTGGCCGTTATCGACTCGGCCTCACCCAACAAAACTATGTCGAACAACATCCTCGCCCCCGTCGACGCGGCCCGTCTGAACAAACAAGGCCTGGCGCAGCCGGCCGAGCTGCCCGGCTTCACACGGCTGCACAAGCGACGCCTGAACAGGTCGAGCGACGAAGAATACAGCGAGCTTCCCCTCACTGGCCTGGACGGAACGAGCGATGCCTATGTCACCGTACCAAGAAAGCTGATCTCTTTACCCACTCTGCTGTATCTTGGCCTGGCGGAAGAGGTCGCGCAGGCGCTGTGGCAAAAGTGGGAAACGTGGCCGGCAACAGGCCCGCAGCGCGAACTTCTTTCCGACGATGACGATGACGACGAGGACGATGGACCAAGCATCAGCAGAAACAACAGATGGGCCGGCGGCCTCCTCGTGCCATTTCTGGATTTTGTTCTGGGATGGGTCTTGCCCAGTACCGCACCGGATGCTGACTTTGAGCACGAGGACGACGAGTGGAACAGCTGCCTCGATGCGTATGGGCTTAACGAGGAAACCAAGAAAGCCATCATGGACCCAAGCTTCCGCTGCATCCGAATCGCCGATACGTGCAAGAACTGGGCCAAGGATACGATCGAGATGCGCTGGCTGGGCCTCAACGAGATACAAAAGACGTCGCGCCTTCGCCTTCAAGATACCGACGATACCGACGACACCGCCGGCACCCCTGTCGATTCCCACTCCTCCAGAGGAGGACCGAGTCGCCATGGGTCTGGCCCGTCTCGGCCGGTGTCGAACGCCACGGCAAGCAACACTAGACAAGACAAGCGCCGCCGTCTCCAGTCCCACTCGGAAATCCAACGAGAGAGCGAGCCGGGCATATCAACTCAACGCTGGCACAAACGCAGCTCGCGCGACGCGACAGAACCGCCTGGGTACCTCGTCTTATACAAAGGCATCGCCCAGTCCCGCATGGCTGGCTTTTGGGCCGTCGACGAGGACGCCGACGATGAAGACAGCCACACTGCCGGCAAGCACCGCGTGGAAAAGTTACTGAGCAGTCCCCCTACTAACTTCAGTGGGACCTATCCTTTGTTCTACTTTACTCCCGACCCCAAAGTTGCCGAGTACTATGCCGGATATGCCAAGCGCCGGCACGACGCCGAAACCATCCTCATCGTGACAATGAAAATCAAGAGAGACGTGCTGGAGCGATTGGAAGCCAGCGACAGCGACAACAATGACAACAGCACGACTGCGGGTCGAGTGGTCCGTCTCTACTACCCGTCCCCGCAATGGAAACAACTAGTTTGGCGCTCCAAGACAGTCCGCCCGTTCCCCAAACCGCTAAGAAAGTACCGCGACGTCCTGCTCATCATCGGGTCGGCGTCCAAGGGCGCAGAGCGCGTTTTCAACGCCATGGCCTCGTGGGAGGAGATTGGAAATGAATGCATCTTGCACGTTCCAGAAGACAATCCAAATCCGGCTATCCAGTATGTCTTCAACGGAAACGACAGCGGTGCAGACTTTTTGCGCGACAATGGCATTTTTGATGCATTTGCAGTTGCAGATGACGTTTTGCGCGCTGTTCGTGTTCAAGCGGAGTGAGAGTGTGAGGCTACTTATGTGCTTTTTGCATGTCATGGACGATGGCAAGAACGGAAACTGGTTTCTATGAGCTGGTGACAAAATGAGCGTCATGTGTTGGGGTAGGGTGTGTTGGAAACCATAGCTCGAATAACAGTTTAAAGCGAGAATGTGCTGTTACGGCCGTAGAATTTAACAGAAATGGCCGCCGCTTTTTACGGTTTTGTCTTCGCCGTCCATTATGTGTCACATCCTGGTGGCTGATGGCACAATCACCTACAGACCAATCGCCTGTGAGCAAATCGCTAAACCAGACACACGTCGGTGAATCATCAAGTCGCTGCTGCCTAAAAGTGCCTGCGAATTCAACTCGTTCTCTCCCGCGACTCCTATTCTGACAGCATACGTCGTACTGAATCCTCTGAAAAGTCGATGAACAGACAGCCATTTCCCCCATTTCCCATCGCCAGACCAAACACACATTGGTGGATCGTCAACACAAGACAACAAAGACAAACAGACAAAACGAATCGAGATCCAATGGCCGAGACGAAGCAGACAGAAATCGTCGGGGTGCGGTGTCCAAAGGGGTGCGAGACCATCATGACCGGCAGCACGGGGGCTGTCTATGGATTTGAAGACCGTCCCGATGTCGTGGTCAAGCTGCCGTACGAGACAGACCGGCACAAGGCACGCTTCGACACGGAAAAGGCCATCTTCCGCCGCCTGGGGTCGCACCCGCACATTGTGCCTTGCCTCGGCATCGAAGACAACGACCGAGGCGGCAGGATCTACATGGCCCGCGCCAAGCACACCGCCATCCGGGGCTACTTCCGCGAGGGCGGGACGGCCTCCCAGGCCGAGCGCGTGCGCTGGTGCCGCGACCTCGCCGCGGCTGTCCACTACATTCACGACAAGGGCGTGCGCTGGGGCGACATTGGCGGCCGTAACATTCTGTTTACCGCCGACCGTAACATCTGGATCTGCGATTTCGCCGGCTCGGGCCTCGACGGCGCACCACCCATCGTCTGGGGCGAGGACGGATTCCGGCACCCCGACGACGAGTCCCCCGAGACCTCGACGGGGACCATGCCCTGCGAGATCCACGCACTCGGGTCTGCCATGTACGAGCTGATCACATCCAAGTGTCCGCACTGGAAAGAGGAAGCGGAATGCCGCGGCCGAGCAGCCGGCCTCCTCCGCCGCGGTGTGTACCCCGACGTGTCGGACGTGGCGCTGGGCGACGTCATCCAGCGGTGCTGGAAAGGCGAATACACCTCTGCTCGTGAAGTGGCTGAGGGCATAGAAGAAAAGGTGCTCCTCTCTCTCTCTTCGCTCTGGGATTCTCAATAATTGACCTTGTTTGTAGATGCCACAATATGAGAACGAAGACAAGCCGTTTTGACGTTCTGGATTACAGTTAGAATCCATTGAATGAAAACGGACATGTTCCCGTCTGTACTGGAGTATAAATGAATCGAAGTGCTCGATTCTCGCCCTTGAAGTTACAATGCACATTCGATACTGACAGACTACTTTCGATACATTGTATACAACCATTTCAACGTCAAAGCAAGCCTTCCTTCGGCAACAAATCATTGTCGTTTTTTTTTCACGTATCACTAGTTTAACAGAAGAAAACAAGCACTTCGACGGCGTCGTCGTCTACACCTTTTCAAGTTATTAGAAACTTTTCTTTGCTTTTCACAATGGATAACTACAACTGCAGGTTTATTCAAGTCGTTCTTGCTGCGCGGAGAATCGGCGCTGTACCCATCCTTCAATATCCACTACACGAAATCCGTCGAGTTGAAAGAGGCGTGAACTCCGTGAGCATGACCTCGAGGCTACACGGTTAGCTATACGTGAGATGTTGAATTCGATGGTGTCGTTCGATGTCCAGAAAGAAAGAGGAGTGTACGTCATTGAAAGCGATCCACACCGCATATTCCAAGAGATTGCCCAAAACCCGCGGACGGTGAACGTCGCAATTATGCGCTGTGGTAGGTGGCCCTCTTGTGGTGGCGTTTATCGGATATGTGCATTTGATGCCAATATTTGTTTTGCGTGTGCGCATCAAGGAAACAACAGCTACCACTAAATTTGTTATGTACATATGACTCTGTTTAGGGTTCGGTAGCCGTAGTGGCAAACGAAGATTTTATTATTAGCACCGAACTTTGTGTCAGTCGATACCGAAGCACCATTACGCGTGTTCGTGATCATAGTATTGTGAACCCTACGTTGTTAGTCAAAGGTTGGCAACTCCAGGCGCAGGTATTACCCTACGCAATTTAGAGGTCTCTCTCCGCTGGAAATTCTGTGTATTTTAGTCTTTCTCGGCTTAGTTTTGTAGCTGATAGTTCGCTTTTCGCTGTACTCATATTTTCGTGCAGGCAATTACAGCAGCGTGGCAGAGTTGCCCGGTTATCATGGCCCAACACCAACCGCAGGTGTGTCACTCATGGTGTTTGTTATTGTTTCCTGAGTCAGCGTCACGCAAATCTAATCACATGCGTTGCGCACATTGTTGGAAGAACAGTTGAACCTTATTTCGTTCATATAAGAACGATTGGCAATATGCCGACAATGTCACCTTTCAGAAGAAGCCTCGCAAACGAACGTCAGACCTATCGTGAGGTTCACTTTTTTAGTACAAGTCGTCAGAATGCACTTTGGTATGTTCGACGATATGGTCGCAGCTTGCATTTTCATAATGTTTCCTGGGTTCACAACAAAGAAGCTCATATCTGACACGGTATGACAGGTTCATCCAGCCCCGGATCGGAACGGACAGCAACGACTCTTGATACGCCACGACGACCACAAAACTGGTCACCAATCGTCATCTCGGGGCCGTCCGGTGTCGGCAAGGGCACGCTCCGCCAGAAGCTCCGCGAGAGGCACCCTGGCCTGTTTGCCACGACGGTCTCGCACACAACGCGCGCGCCACGACCGGGGGAGAAGCACGGCCGCGACTACCACTTTGTGTCGTGGGACGAGTTCCGGGCTTTGGTCGAGAGCGGTGCTTTCTTGGAGCACATGGAATACAACGGCAATCTCTACGGCACAAGCAAAGCAACGGCGACGCTGCACCACGAAGGTCAAGTTCTCCTCCTGGACATTGACGTCGAGGGTGCAAAGAGTCTGAAAAGAGAGGCGGCGATCACGCCTCGATACGTTTTCATACGGCCACACGATCTGACGGTGTTGGAACAGCGCCTACGAGGACGAAACACGGAGACGGACGAAGCCATCCAGCAGCGCCTGGCCCGGGCACGCGTGGAAATGGCATTTGCTGCCAGCACAGAATCGGGTTTCGACAAGATCATTGTCAATCACAATCTCGAGGAAGCGGTGACGGAACTTGAATCTTTTATTTTCGAGCGAAGTTAGAGGTAGTATTTTATTTATGGATCTGAGCTAAAGAACGACTATGATCAATCAACAAATATTCACTTGGTGTAGAGATCGTTGGACGCAACGACTGTGAAAAGCGGCAAGAGTCTGGTGCGCAGTTGGTGCAGGCCGAGTTCGTGCTGAACAGACGGAATATGTCGTCTCTGTGGATGAGGCGACGTGCGGACGTTACGACCTCAATAAAAGAACTACCTACGAGCGGAAATTCGTCAATTTTGACATGGCGGTTCGCAGCGTGCCGTTCTTGCTTTTCCCTGTTGTAGTTGTCACTTTTGGGGCGGGTACTAAGGTCAAATCTTCGATTGGCGGGGACAGCACATGACCCCTGCGCCTACGACGAAGTCTGGTGCGGAGCGAGTTTGTCCAATTTGTCTTGACCTCCTCCGACAGTGCGCTTTTTCCAAGCGTAGTCGCCGTACTATGGAGCTTGGTAAATAATTTACCTTGGGCCTCAACGTCCAGCATGCCAGAATTGTCCTTAGCTGGCAACTTGCCAGTATCGGCCGAGGGGTGGATATCGGCATCTGGTAGCTGTTGTAGCCGCGCTTCCAAAGTTTGGTCTTTGCGAATAGTTGATGGCTCGGGGTGGCAGCCAACGTTTTGAGCTCCGGCCGCGGATGATACCTAGGCATCACGGCTTTTGTCCATTTCACGCCGAAAACCTTCCATTTCATAGGCCTCTCTATCATAGTCGAATTCGGAGAAGTCGTCGAAGTCATTCGGTCCCGACGCGCCAGACATTGCAGCAAGTCTCACGCAGCACCATTGCATGTCGATCATCTTTTGCATATTCTGGGCGTCTTCAAGTGTGTCGACGACCACCCGAAATTCTTGACCGGTGACAATTGGGCGAAAGTTGTCGTGCCGTATAGCGCTAGGCAAGCTTTGCGAGACAAGACCAGGCCGGTGTCCTTCGCTGCTCTGGGGGACAATTCTCACCCCGTCCATCATGTCCTGGTAGTCGCTTGTGCCAGGCTGTAGACTGATATATCGATCAGGATCAGGATTGTCCAGTCGGGGAAACATCCAGTGGAACACAAGAACAACTGCATGTCTGCTGCATGTACTGCTGGGTGATTGAGGCTCGTCGGATGATGGTTCGATCCCAATGCACTGTATAGCCCAGAAGCCCCGGGACCAGAAGGCATGCAGGGAAGGGTCGATGCACAGCATGTTCCATGATCTATCGCTACAACCCAGACCTGAAGCAACCAGACCGTTGCAAGCCAAGGCGTCTTCGGAGGCGAAAAACAATTTTGCCATTGTAAAACAGAAATTGGTCGTATATGTTCTCAAGTTTGTCGCGGTCGAGCTGAATGCGAAGGGTAAGATGTGACACACTTCAGGGTTGATACCGTTGGTGAAAATGCATTTGTTTTTGTCACGTTCGAGGCACTAGGATGTTAGAGACGAGCCCAAGTAAAAATGACAAATATGAAAAGGTATGTAAGAGGACGAACCAGTTTCTTTTCATGCTCGTTTCTTCTAACATATCCTTGCCCAATAGCAAGATCTACATCGCGGGGTTGTTCGACAGGCTGTGGTTCTTGCCCGGGCGTCTTTCTTTTCTTAGTTGCGGCGTCGGGGTGTTGGCCTTGGAGGACTGCAAAAATGATGTCAGGCAAGGATGCGCGTCGGATAGGGACGGCTGGTAGAAAATAAAACCGATCAGGACCACTTACAGTAACGAGTCATGTCTCTCATACTGCGAACCATATTAAGATATCCTTGAGAAACAGCTGTCCTGGTCAAACTGTGCGTGTCAGGTCCAGTGTCGGCGACAAGTTTTTGGAGAGTGCTGAGCGGCATCAGGACCAGGGTCGATATCTGCGACGCGGTAAATAAAACATCTTGTCCGAGCGATTCGATAAAGTTCTTTTGTAATTGGCAGACGAGGTCCAGACGCACTGCTGCCTCATCCGCAGGCGGCGCCCATGATGCAGGGTGGAGAGTCGGAAGTGGAGAGGTGAGAAACTTTTCCAATGCGTGGGTGAACTGCTGCGGCGGGCTCTTGGACAAGAACTGGTCCAGCAGCATGCGTGTCTTTGAATCCGACGTGCCATCCATCGTTCAATGTCGTGAGAAAGCGCGATAATGCGGCCAGTTGTCAACAACGAATACGGAGATAGAGAGAAGAGGTTGTAGCAGAGTAAAGCTCGGCGAGAAAACAAAGAGGCGCGGCGTAGACGAGTGCGCGAGCAAGCAAGCAGTGCGGGTGGGTAAAGAAGGCTGCGAATCGACCAGAGGGCAACCAGGCACAGAAAAGGTGATCAAATCAAGATGGGCGTGAGAGTGAGAAAATTCCTGTACTTCGTATGGCAGCCAGCAAGCGGGAAACGCGCAGCAGCAGCGAGCGGCAGAGAGTGGGTGGCCAGCCAGAAAAAAAAACACCCGAGACGAGGGCCAAACGGAAATGAACGTAGAGATGATGGAGAATATGAGACAAGGATTATGCAGCAGCCAGTCAAAGTCAACAAGCAAACAATCGGAGCATGCCAGCACCAGGGCGCGGCCAGGACTGGACAGAGGGAGCAGACAGGCGAGTGAATGAACGCATAGACAGCCGGGGTAAGATACTAAAAAGCGTGAGCAGCAAACAGCAGGGCCGAGTGGTGAGACTGACGGATTGACGAGACGAGACGAGGAGACACAGAGAGACGACATGACAGAGACAAAGAAAAAGAAAAAGAAAGGAAAAGGAGAAGGAGAAGGAGAACGAAGACGGTGAGGGCAGAAGATAGGGCTGGTGGGGTGAACTTGGTTCTGAGGCAGGCGCGACCTGTCGTGGTCTTGAATTCGAGCTTGGAGCTCTTGAGTTGGGCGGGGCAGTACAAGGAGAGCTAGGCTCCTAGGGCTCCACAGAAAGGCCTCGATGTGGAGCATTTAGTGGAGACACATAGGCCTTTTAGTGGGACGTTGAGGCCTTAGCTCATTTCTCCGCCACCTCGACGAATTAAAAGCTTCCTCACCTCACTTTCTTCTATGTCTGTGTAACCATCGAGGCCTCGCTCTTGCCTTGTTCTGTTCAAGTACCGGCTTACGCTTTCGCCGGCTTTTCGAGCAGCGGTGTGCTGAGAGGCGTGACTACACGTGAACTAAATTATCAAGTACAATGAAACTTGTCGATGCTTCCTCAAATTTACAAGGGCGCGCTGAGACTATTTGTGGAAAAGGGCGAGAAACTGCTTTTACATTTGACACATTTGGCGAAAATCGAATTTGTGCCCGAAAGGAAAGAATGAAGATCATGGTACGACTCATACGTAGGTAGCCATGTACATCCGTTCTACAATAGATGGGGTATATTTGTTTAATTCGACGTGGTGCTTACGGATCTCACATACGTAGCTCCAATTCGGCCGTTCTAGACAGTCGACTTTGTCACTCGGTAATTAATTTTTTTTTTAAAAAAAAAAACAATAAAACGACTCATCACAAAATAAAGCCAACAGACATTGACAAGAAGTTGGAATCTTATTGGGTCGACGCGCTTTTGCAGTGTCTTTGGTCGAGTACAGTAGAGAAACCGCAATCACGTCGCGTACGCGTACGTGTATGTCACGTCTGGTTTGAGAACATTACCGACCCCTTCTTGCATGCTCACTTTTCTGATTTTTACACCGTGGCCATGCCCCGCCTGGGTCGACCAACGCCAATCGCTTTTCAGCTGTTGAGTAAGTGCCACAGTGCTTTCTGTCAAGGAGGAAAACGAGTGAATTGAAGCTACGTGGAACTAAACAGGCCATGTCAGGGCTAAGACTATGGATCCTGGGTCAAATGACCACGATCCATCCTTGTGGCCCTCCGCGTATGCATGAGGCATGCCCACTGTACTTTGACGTGATTCTGTTGTCCTAATGTGGCATTTGTTGCCACCACATTGGCAAGGGATTGGAGCAGTCGTGCCAGAATTCGGTGCTTGAGAGCGGTGACGTGTTGACGCCTAGTCCATCTGACAAGTTCTGTACAAGTCTCCATGAGCCCGCAACTTAGTTTTTTTTTTTTTTTTTTTTTTTTCTTTCCGGTCCTTGGGGAAGTTAATAATCTAACAAGTCAACTCGCTGATATCCCTTCATCTGCTCAGGAGAGCAGCAACTCCGCTCCCAGATATCTGCTTGTCGTTCTGGCCTTCTGCGTCCTTCTGTTTTCCGCCGCCGTTGGTCTCCTTCTCGCCTCTTGTTTGTCGGTCACAATCCACCTGCGGTACATCGACGTCTCTTTGCGGCTCGTGTGAATCGGACCGACACCTCAGATGCTGGCGGGGAATGTCGCCGCCTCGTCTGCTTCGTTGTGGTGCTGTCCGCCGTCGACATGACGGGCGTGTCGCTTGCAAAAGATTGTCCTGGGTGTGCTTCTTCTGCAGACTTGTGTCCCTCTCGCGTATTCCTGTCCGTGTCTTCCTTTGTATCTCTGTCCCGCTCTCGAGCCGCCTCAGACGCCTCTCTCGTTGCTGCATCGTTTGCCGACTGGATAAAGACGTCCCGATGCTGTTTGGCCAAGTCCCTGGCATTTCTGAACGCAGTGACTCCTTGCAGGAACGTTTCGCGCGTGTCAGTCATGTCAAACCCGCGTATCTTGTTTACGTGGTACTCGGGTCGTTCGCCTTTGCTCGTTGGTGCAGTGACGTGATGGGTATAGATTTTCAGCGTTCCGTCGTGGTACGTCGTGCTAAACGTATACGCACGGCCGTCGTGCTTTGGCTCCTCCTCTCCGTAGTTTTGCAGGCAATGAATCGCGCGCGACCCGATCGCTCCGTCAAACCGAGCTTGTCGATTGGCCACCGCTGCAGTGCCATCGGGGCCTTTCACTACGACGAAGAAGTTTGGTGCTATGGGCCTTTTTTGTACAGTCGATGGCATTATATGATTATTGAGTACGTCACGAACATGGCGCGATAGATCTTCCGGTTGGGCTCCATAATACACATCAGGCTTTGCGTGCGCAATAGACCCGTCTGTCAAGGTGGCGAGGTTATTGAAGAGCATGTTTCGTCTGGACGCCTGGCGGTCGGTGTGAGAGGCACATTCGCCTAGAATGGTTGGGAGACCGTCAACCATTACGGTGTCCTCATTCGGCGCGCAGTTGTTCTTGTCTTGGAACGTTTCGAAAGCACTCTCGGGGAATTGCGTTGATGTGAGCGACGGCCGCCGTTGATTCAAGACGGCTCTGATCTCGACCCAATTCACTGGCTTTTGCGAGTTGTAGGTGGCTTGCACATTGTGGTCGTTCAAGTGCTGCTCAAAGTTGGCGTCGTACGGCGTCGACCTTTTTACCTTCGCATCCGTTACTGTTGTCGCATTGGAAAGAGACGGCTCGTCGTTGCCATGCTCGTTGGCTTGGGGCGGTTTTGGCCGTACGTGCTTTTTTCTGTTAATACGCTTACTACACACCCGACATACTGGAACGCCGTATTCTTCCAGTATATGAACCACAAAATAAATCATCTCACATTACGGATGTCCATGAGATCCGGACCGCCGTGTCGCGCAAACCGACCGATATCTTTCGTGTTTTGCGCCGTAGGTGGACGAGCCGAGACGACGTCCTGTGTCCGATGGCGACCTGCGATATGATTTTGTGTGAGGCGGTTACGGCGATTGTGCTCCGCAAGAGACTGTTCAGTTAAATGGACCGCCGAGAGACTGTCGTAAAATTCTGGAGGGTAGACCCAGTTTGCCCACGCCGTTTGGTCGTCTTCCGTGTTTTCCTCTGCTCGTGTCTTTTCAGGTTGGTTGTATGGTTCGGTGGTCGTCTTCATGGGAGGTTGACTGTCTTGCAGACATGGCTGGATGCCCGTAATTTCGTTCCGCCTGCGGTGCTTGTCGCCTTTATCTGGGCCGAACTGATTTCCCAGCAGATCTGCCATCGCAGTAGACAAGAAGAGAGATGAGAGGAATATGGTACGGTAAGATCGTTTGGAGTGCTGGGTTGAGTCTGTTTGTAGATATGTGTTTGTCGAAACTTGCCCCGATGACACGTCGTTGGTTGTTCGTGGGCAGGGGCAGAGAGCGCTGTATTTCATTTTGACGCTTCTCGCCGTCGCGTCTGCAGTGTCGTGTGAGAATATGCGACAAAGGAGAGCCAGCTGCAGACTGGAATACACCGCCAAGGACGGAAAACGGCACAATCTTGCAACTAGGTAATATCTGCATGAAAACAAAGAAGAGGCACGCATTCCCAAATGCGTTGGGGCTACGGCGACTATCCGCAAACGGACAAATTCCTTGTACGAGGCGACCAAAATAGACACACAGCCATATACCAGCGCTTTATTGTTCCCTTTGCCTTCTCCACTATCATTCAAAGAAACCTGTAGATACGGTGAAGTCTTCACAGCTATTTTGTTATTTACTTATCCATGAACACGGAATCAGCGCCGTCGTAATAAAAAATTGAAAGGAACGACGGAAGATAAAATTAGTATACAAGAAACATTTACAAAAGGAAAGAAGTAATGAAGATTTGTATTACAACCCGATTGGAACCAGAGTCGACCCCGGTATCGAACTCAACAAAGCTGCCCCAACACCTTCGTTTGCGCCATCACCACCTACACCAGAATGGCCATGCCCTCCGCGTTCTTGGTCAGTCCCAGGGACGCCACCGACACGTGGTCGACAGCCTGCTTGGTCAGGGCGTTGAAGACGGTAATGGCGGCATCCGTGGTGCCGTTGCCCGGGCTCAGTGCATAGACAAAGCTGCCGGCGGCGCGCAAGTCCGTCAGGCCGGGGTCGACGCCGCCGTTGCTGGCCGACAGGTCAATGGGCGAGCCAATGATGCTGGCGTCGGTCAGGGACATTTCCACGAGACGGTCGAGGCCCGCGTCGGTGACAAAGGCCGTCTTGGTGGCCGGGCTGATGGCGACCCAGCAGGTGGCGGCCTGGCCGGCAATGACACCCTTGCCGACGGTCGCGGCCTTGCCGGACGCATCGACGCTGAGGACGGCGGCACCAAACGACGCGTCCGTGACAAACAGGTTGGACGAGCCCTTGATGGTGGCGGAGCCGAACAGGACGGCGGTGCCGCTGGGCGAGCTGGTGACGCCAGCGGCAGCGACGGAGGCCGCGGCGTGGCAGGACGAGCGGGTGTTCTGGACGGGGAAGGCGGCCAGGAAGCCGGTGTTGCCGACGGTGGGGTCGCCCTTGACGGTGACGTACAGGGTCGTCTCGTCGTCGGAGAAGAACACCTGCGAGACGGTGTTGAGGGGCCCGGCCGGGGGCGTGGTCTGGCCCAGGTTGAAGGGCCGCAGCGCGTCGACGGCGCCAATGCCCGACGGCGAGTACGGCGCACAGGCCACGCCGGCCTTGGCACCCGTCAGGCCCACGCAGACCAGCTTGTACTTGTCGGAGGCGGCGACCGTGGTGGGGAACTCGCCGGGCAGCGAGGCCGACTTGCCGACGACGGTCAGCTTCGCGGGGTTGTGCTTGTCAATGGCAAGCATCGTCACCGTGTTGGAGCCGGCATTGACGGCGAAGAGGTACTAGTGTGGGACGTTAGGGCTGTGTCTTTCTGCAATTACATACACCCGACCACCGGGCAGCCGGGGGAACCTACATCGCCTGCAATGGCAACGCCCGACTGGCTGAAGATGGCGTCAGGGCCCGAGGGCTTGCCGCCGTCTTCCAGGCCATTGGCACCAGCGCCACCTGTGGCCGTGGAGCTTCCCTTGGCAACCTGAAGCGAGCCGTTCTCGGCAATGGGCACGGCGACGACGGCGTTGCTGGCCGCGTTGGACGCCACGTAGATAGCCTTGCCGTTGACACACGCTTCCGGATCGGGATTGCCACGGATGTCGATGGTCGATGGACGCGCAGAGGCAACCGAGAGGACGGACGCCAAGGCGAGGAGCTTGAGCTTGTTGTAGTAGTGCATGGTGGGCGTTTGTAAGGGTGCGTCCGTTGCTTCACGCGTTAATCAGACAGCAAGGCGGATTGGATGTCGAGAGAAGCTGGCATTCTGTGACAGAAGAATGCAATCTGGCGTGAGGCTCAGGTAGCAGACAGCAGTCTTATAGTCCACCTATTGGAACGTCCATGTCCTCCCAGGAGGTCCGACGGTTGCGACGTCACGGAGCTCCCTTCAATTGCGCCGATGGAGATCATCATAATTGCCACATTTGGAACTGGCATGCGCCGTCCAGGTACAGAAACTTGCTCGACCTAGCCCAGGTTCCGACGCTGTGCCGGGTCATAGTCCAAAAGAGCGTGGTAAGATGGGTCCGAGACGACCGACCGACACGGCCGGATTGCCAGGGTTTGGATCCAATCTCCTGGATCGCATGGGTCTGGTGTATCAATAGCCTCCAAGTCCGAACTATTTTGTCGTGAGCGAGACGGGGAGACGGGATAAGATTAGCTTAATAAACGGGTCTGTGTCTAACGGCGTACGACGTACGACGTACATATGACAGGCCAAGTGGTGTGTGTCGGGACGGTCACGACGCCGCAGAAAGCAGTTGCGTCGGATGTGGGTGTATTTAATTCCGGGATCATCAGAATTTCCATATCCGGGTCAACATGCGCAAGGACCTCTGGAGGTGCAATAGCGGGGCAGACGTACCGGGGACAATAACAGAGGTGAGACGACAAAGAGACTGTGCCAAAAACACGGAGCACGGCGTAATTAAGCGTCTGCCATTTGCTGGAACCACGGCTCGCCTGGCTCCCCTGGTTCGCCAGGGTAATCAGAAATGCCATTTCGGGTATGGCGTCGATACACGACCGGGGATGTTCCACTTTTTGGTCCACTCAATCGTGCTCACCAAGTTCAGCGGGGAAGGAGTGAGATGACAGGAGATTCGTCTGTCACAAAACAGAACTTGAGATGTGACCCTTCGAACCGCTTTCGAAAACAGAAGTACGCAGACACATACGCAAAGAAACAACAAAGGGGAAAAGCATCCGAGCCGCTGACAAACGCAGACCAGACACGGCCTGAACGGCCAATCTCGCAGGCATCATTTGGCGAGACGTACAACTGACGGCCCGGCAATCGACTCCTCGTGCATACACACCTGCCTACTTCGTAGACAAAGACTGCGATACCCACCGCGTCCAGGCCCACGCATACGTTGATTACATGCCTGCCAGCGGCCTTCTCTCACTTGGATTCCACATCGTCCACAGACGGCACCATTCACAATCCACAGGACAACGCGCCCTCGTCCCTATCTGATAGACAGACCAACATACGACCGACGCCATGCCGAGGAACATTTTCCGGGTGTTCAACCCAAATGGTAAGTCTCATGTTGATGGCCCCCCACTCAGCCCGTGTAGCTTTGTGGCTTTGTGGCTTTGTGGCTTTGTGGCTTTCTGGCTTTGTGTCTTTCTGGCGTGCCAACAGCACACAGCACGCCATAGTCAGACGGGCCCTGTGCTGTCTGCCATTGCCATGCGGCCGTTATAATCACCGTCCTGCACCCTTCGCTCTGGGTTCTGACCATTGCCAGCCACACCAGAGGACCGCGCTGAAAAGCGACGAGCGCAGCTGCGCCAGGCACAACAGTACGTCACGGCCTGCCATTGCTGTTCTGTTGTTTTGTTTCAATCATTGCACAACGTCCATGTCCTAACGTAGCAGGACATACCGGGAACGAAAAGATCGGTATACCAAGGCGCTCGAGGCCGAAATCGCCGACGGCCGCGCCCGCGAAGCCCACCTCGTCCAGGAGAACGAGCGTCTGCACGACACGGTCAAGGAGCTGCGCGCTGCCCTGGCTCTCGCACGCGGCCAAGCCAATGGTCACGGCCAGGGTCACCAAGGTCACGACCATGGACACGACCATGGACACGACCAGAGACACGATCACGGGCACGACCTTGGCTACGACTTCAACAGCCTGAGCCCATGGTCTGCCCAGCTGGAACCCCCAACGCCCCTGGCCAAGGACAGCCAGTACGTCAAGGGCCACGCCAACAGCTACTCGCCGGCGATGCTCCCGTCGCCCGTCAGCGCCAGCGACGCGTCGGCCCCGGCCCCCGCGCCGCCCTCCGACACCAGCGTCGTGGGCTGGTCGCCCACGCCCAGCGCGGCCGCGCGGGTCGGCGACTTGGACCCCACGGACGTCGGCATGGAGTTTGTCCTGACGCTCGAGCAGCCCTGCCTGGCCCACCTGCACGGCGACCCCGCGTCGCCGCTCGAGTCCAACAACCACGCCCTCACCGTCTCCTCCAAGCTGTGCGCCTACGCCTCCACCACCACCCCGTCCCCCCAGACCACGCCACACAACATCCTCGAGGCGATGCTGCGCCTGTCGCCCGCGCTCGGCGTGCCCGACACCAGCCTGACACCCGTGCAGGCGTGGCACAGGGTCAGCGCGCAGCCGCAGTTTGCGCGTCTCGAGCTGGGCACGCTCCAGGCGCTGGCGACGACGCTGCGCGGTCTGGTGCAGTGCCACGGCTTTGGGGCGGTGATTGCGCAGGACGTCTTTGCGGACCGGGTGGAGGCGTTGCTGGTAGGATCATGAGAGAAGAGAGAAGCGCGGTCTGACGGGAGTAGATTCAGTGTGTTTTCTGAAGTTGGCGTGCTGGAAAGCCTGTGGCTGGGAAGCTGCAATGGCAGTGGTCGCACTTTCCTTAATGATGCACGTGGGCCGTTGTCGGGAACGGGACAGGAAAGGAAGGGGCGACTCGCGAATCAGATTAGTTTTGTCGCGACGTTCAAAACCAGGCAAGATTACCCGTTTGGGAAATTTCCGAATTATCAGAGTGAATTTAGTGGAGTCTCGAAATAGGCAGGTCTTTGCTAAAAAAGAACAAGAAAAAGAAAAAGAAAAAGCAAAAGCAAAAAAGTACCGAACTGATCCGCTCTGACTCCCAAAACTCCACCACAGAACGTGAATGAGACACTGCCACGGCCCGATCTCGGTCGGCATTGGAGCGCGATAGGGCTTATCCTGCGCTAGCGTTTACTGCAAGACAACGTCATTTCCACGAGCTTTTCTTTTCTTTTTCACCCTGACATCTCTCGTCGACAAACACTCTGGAGTCCAACACTCTGGAGTCAGAAACCGAGCAGCATGGCATCACGGCCGCGAAAAAAAAGGCCCGTTCCCGTTACGGCCTCCCCGGCGACCGAGGACAGCAACGACATGTGGCCCGTCGCCAAGGACGCCGCAGTGGCCGTCAAGCTCGTCCTCGTGTCCGACTGGCGGCATTTTGTGCGCTGCTTCGTCTACGTCCCGACGGGCATCTTTGCCATTCTGGCCGCCTGCTACGGCGTCGACCGCCTCCTGGCACTGGGCGGCGTCTCCTTTCCTGCGTCTGTGGCCTGCCTCGTCCTTTTGTTCTTGTCGCTCCTCTTGGCCGACGTCCTCCTCGGCCACCACAGGACCAAAGCGCTCGTGCAGGCCATCAATGTCCCAGGGGGCTGGTCGCTGCGCTGGCTCAACCTGTTTTTCACGCCGTCGTTTGTCATGCTGCCGCTGAGTCCGCCCATTTCGGCGACGGAAGTGGGCAAAATGGTTGCGGTGTTTGTCGTCGGCTTTCTGGTCATGATGGTCGCCACGGCGTACATGACCCGCTGGATCCAGCTGCTGACGAGCCCGCCGCGCAAATCGATCGACCAGCAGACGGAGGGCGCGCGGCGGGATGTTCTCCCGGGCGACGGCGGCATCGACGACCGCCGGGACGACGACGAAGAGCTGGCGCCGCTCCGAACCGATTTTGGCGGCGACCGTCCGAGCACAGACCGCACAGACGGCATGCCGCCGCTGCCGCCACAGTCGCACGCCGCCGCCTACATTACCATCCGCGGGCAGAATTTGGACGATCCGCTGAGCTCCTTCAGCGACGTACCCGCGGCGTCCTCGCGCATGCAAATGCATCTGCTCCGGCAATCGGCCGCGGTCCTCATGGCACGGTCTTCGCGGCGTCCACAAAGTGCCGCGACGAGCGGCACGTCGTCACCGACGCCGCCCGCCCGCGCCGACCGCTGGGCCGCGTGGCTGGGCAAGCACGCCGACACGCTGCTGTGTGCAGGGATGGGGTTGTTTGTCGGTGCGCCCATCTACTACGCGACCGGCTACGCCATGCCGCTGCAGCTGGCCGTCAACGTCCTCATGTTCTTTGGCGCCATGTCGCTGCCGGCCGCGTGGCGCCAGATCCTGCACCCGGTGCTCGTCTCGGCCTTTTCGACGTTCCTTCTCATCTGGCTGCTGGGTCGCGTCCGTGGCGACGGGTTGGTCGAGACGCTGCACCAGTACCGGCCGGGAAATACGTATCTGCAGGTGTGGTCTGCGGCCACCGGTTCCCGCAAACCCGGCGCCGGCGATGTGCTGGCCAGCGCCCTGGACGCCAGCATCGTGTCCCTGGCCCTGCCCATGTACCAGTACCGCCACGAGCTGAAGCACCACTTCTGGGCCATTGTCGTCCCCAACATCTTGCTGTCCGTGGCCTCCCTCTTTGCCTACCCCGTTGTCTGCTACCGCATTGGCATCAGCGCCCAACGCAGCCTGGCCTTTACATCGCGCAGTCTGACGCTGGCGCTGGCCACGCCGGCGGTGCGCAACCTGGGCGGCGACGTCAACACAGTGGCGGCGGTGGCCATTTTGTCGGGCGTCCTGGGCGTGCTGATTGGGCGCAAGGTGCTGGCCTGTTTGCGGATTCCAGAAGGTGAGCCATGCGTCTGCACAATACTATTTTATCCCGTACGAGGAGATACTAACTTCGCAGACGACTATGTCACAAGAGGCGTCACGTTCGGAGCAAACGCTTCTGCGTTGGGAACGGCCCTCTTGCTGAGGGTTGACCCTCGCGCGGCCGCCATTTCCAGCCTGGCCATGGGGCTGTTCGGTGCTATTACCGTGGCCTTTTCGTCCGTCCCGCCCATGGTCCACATCATACGGTCTCTTGTTGGGTTGGAATAATTTGCGTCACTCTGTTCATTTTCATGCTTCCAGACTCCTACCTAGGAACGGCGACTTTGATAGATTCTGCAATAAATACAAAGATACATCGTATACAGATACAATCCATCAAGTGAAACCCAAGTGACAAGACATCATTGTCAATGCACACCGTCTCGTACTCTTACAACCCCTCGTCATTGGGTACGTCAAAAATGCCGTTGCGCCAGCCATCGTGCACATACGCCCCGCTGGCGGCTTCTTCGTCAATCCGCGCCTGTGCCTCCTCGGCCTCTTCGCGCCACACGCGCACAAGACTGCCCGGCGCGTACACCCCGTCAAAGACGCCTGTAGCGCCCTCTTGGAAACCAACCGACACATCCACGTCTGGGTTCTCCTCGACGGACGCCTTGTACCGGGAGAAGACGGCCCGGATCACGGGCACAATCGTCTCGAGACTGCTGCCTCCACCCGCGGCAATGGTCGCCGCTCGCAGCCGCTCGCGCGCGAACACGAGCTCTTGGTTGATTGTGCCGAGGCTGTCGGCAATCGACGACGCAATCTGCCTCTCCAGGGTCGTCTTCAGCAGCGGCCGCAGCAGCGGCGTCAGCAGCCACGCCAGCCACGCAAACTTGCTCTTCCGGAGCGTGAAACCGAGGTGGTGGATGTGCACACGCACGCGCTTGAGCTGGAGCAGGCGGTCGGCCGTGCCGCGGACAGCATCCACCTCCAAGTGCACGTCGACGCCCCGCTCGTCCAGGTGGAACGACGCGATGCCCTCGTCGTGGAACCGGAAGAGGCCGGCGTGCACCCGCACGACATAGCCAAAATCGTCGGCGGCGACCGACAGCCCGCGCACGTGAATCGACGCGGACGTGCCGACCGCGGCGCCGGTGGTGTGGCGGTGGCCGACGTGCGTGCTGTGGATGTCGACGTCGTTGCGGATCTGGACCTGGAGGCGGTGCGGCAAAAAGGACGACGGTTCGGTGGGCGCCCCGCTGTGCAGCACGGGCGCATGGACGTCGTGGTGGCGGCCGGGCTCGAGCACCAGGCCTTCCAGCAGCAGGTCGACGTCGCGGGACACAATCTCGAGCCGCGGGACCGGGACGTACTGGACGGCCTGGACGAGGCGCGGGACGTACACGGACACCGCGTCGCCAAGCAGGTCGGTGTTGACGTACCCGTCCGCCGCGGGCCACAGGATGTCGGCCATCCGCGTCGACGTCGACACCAGGGATGCCACGTCCTGGTCGTTTGCCACCGACTGCAGCGTTGTCTTGAATTGCGCCAGCAGCGCGTCCACGTCCTCGCGAATGGACGTAGACGACGTCGTTTGGGACGACGACAGCTGCTCGTCGAGCTCGGCGCCCTGTGTCTTGAGGGCGCCCAGCTGGCCGTCAACGTCGTCAAAGAACGCCGGGTCGGTCAGCATGTCTTGGAGTGTCCGGCCCGCCGACCGCACAAACGCGTCCACCTGCTGGCTGTCGCCCTTGGTGCGGTCCAGCAGCGCCCGGAACTGTCTCTCGAGCTTCGTCCAGTGCTCCGGGTCGCCAAAGGACGTGAGGAACGACCAAAAGTTGCGCAGCGCCACGTCGGCCTCCTCGTTGGTGGTCACCGTGCCCGTCGTGCCGGCGCCTTCGCGGACCTCATCGACGGCCTCTTCCACGGCATCCACGACCTCTTCGGCCGCGCGCACGTAGGTCTCGGCGTACTTTTGGATCAAGAGCGTCAGCGTGGACACCGACTCCGCATAGTCGGGCCGCTGCCGCAGCGACCCCACTGCCTCTTTGAGGCGCCCCAGAAGCCGCTCTCGTGCGCCGCCGTCGTTGTCGACCAGCTTGGCCGCGACGCTCTGCTGTGCATCCGCCGCGACTTGCGAGGCGCCCGCCACCACCTCGTCCGCCACCGCCGCCACCGTCTCTCTGGCCGGCTCTGCGCCGTCCACTGGTTGTTCTTGCTGTTCTAGTTGCTCTGGCGGATGCGCGGTGGCCTGGACGGCGTCTGCCGGCACTTCTGCGACATTGTCGGCCGCCTTCTGCGACGCCGCCGCCAGCGACTGCGCCGTGTCCCGAAACACGTCGCGCCCGACCGCCGCCAGGTCGGCCAGGAACAGGCGGAAGGGTGCGTTGGTCAGCAGCAAGGTGGCGACCGTCTGCAGGCTCTGGTAGGTCGCCGAGGTGTAGCCCGCCGCCTGGCCTGCGCGGTACATTGCCCGGCTGCCCAGCTGCCCGAGGTCGTCCGCGTCGACGCCGACGTCCACCGACAGCCGCGCCCTGCGCACACACCACGCAAAGTCCTGGATCTGGTCGCCGCCGTTTTTGCGCTCGGCGAGCGTGATGAGCTGGTCCACCCACCGCTCCGAAAGCGCCGACAGGCGCTGGCCGGCGGGACTGAGTCCTGCGTTGGGACGGCTGTGGCCATTACCCCGTTCGCCTTGGGCCTCGCCAAACCGCTTCAGCCGCCGCAAGTTGGCCACGGCCTGGGTGGTCGACGGCAGGTAGCCGTTGCCCATGGCCCGCACCATTTGGTACGTGTGCAGCTTCTGGTGCAGCGTCCGTTGGTGCTGTGTTTCTTCGTCGCCGTTGGCCAGCAGCGGGCGCCGCTCGCCGTCGTCGCGCGCGTCGCCATCCTCGTAGTCGCTTGCCCTCGACCCAAGTCCGCAGAGACCACAGCATGACATGGCGGCGGTGGTATGACGAAGTTGAATTCGTACAGTTTGAATAGGAGCTTTACCAGAGCTGTACGGAGCTCGTGGAGGGTATTGGTGACCTTGGACACGGTTTGGAGACGCGGTTTGGGGAAGCTTCACGGTGCTGATCTTTCTATGCTAATTTGGAGCTTGAATCCATGACGTCGTCCATTGTCGGTTAGTTGCATGTATGGTCGCGTTTATGTATATAACCGATCTTATTACCGCAAACTGTTTGAAATGCACTCTGCATATTTACAGCTAAAAGTACATTTAACTCACCGAAGAATTGAAAACAATACCATGACATACAGAAATTACACGTCGACGACACATTCGATTTATTTAGAGATTATGAAGAAAGGATGGCCCGTCAACAGATTCGGTAGGGCAGACTGTTAATCGCATGCCTATTTTACGAACCCATGTCAGCCAAAAAATATGCATAAAATGAGACGCTGAAAGGATTATTCTTGGTTTGTTTTGTGTTCTTATTGCTTATTTTTCGGCGTTTTTGGCCATGAATATTTCTATTTTATTAATAATATATAATTTTAATTAATTTGTTTTTTAATTTTGCATGTAATCGAAATCGTGGTCTTGAAAAAGAATCAGAGCATTTACTGAGATTTTTTTTTGTAAGGGAGGATTTAATGGTAATTCGACGGCAATCCCCTTATTTGCGATCCGCGCCCCTCTTGACAAGGAGAGGCGTAAGGATTAGATTTTGCACATAATACCACCTACGTTCGAACTACGTGCTCGTGATCCTCTTTGATTGATAACCTTATCCCTAAATCTTCTGACACATAGATCCGCTTCGCCATTCAGTTAGTGAGTGTTGAGATGGCTGGGCAGGGCATCCTACCTTATTTTAATAAACCCCAACTTTAAGTATGGCTTTCTTCTTCAGTAATTAAAAAAGAAGAAGAAAAACCAGATTACATCTTTTATAAAACTATTTTCCGTAATTAGCGCGCTGTCAAAAAAGTAGCTGTGTCACTTGTACGGAGTATTTATGTTGGCAACTCCGGCTAGTCTGTCCGCCGACCTGGCTTTAATTCCCTTACCTCCGTAGCTTGTGAGCCGCAACAAATTTTAGCGTGACGATATGTGGAGCGTCTCTGGCTCAATTGTATACGAAGCCTCCCATACTTCCACCCGACACATTTTGAAATGTAGAAATATCGGATCACACAACTGTCACCAAAGCTATGGAGTTTCTCTTTGTCGATAGTAACACCTCAACCGACCGGCGCTCACAACGGCTGATCCGCAGCCATGGAATGAAAGGGAAGAATGCTGGTAAAGTAATCCCAGCAAGAGGCCACCGATGGCGACGCGAAGATGGACAACCTCCCAGTTGTAAGAATACGAAGTCGACGCGCACGGACAGTGTTGGGCGAGGCAGACAACTTCTACCTAAGAATCCCCCACCAGACACCGATGGCGAGCGAGTGCGGGCGATGCAGGCCGCATCACCCGCCAACCCTTTCTGCGGATTCGAATTCTCTTATTTTTCGACTTCGGTGCCAGTCACCGCATCCAGCCGACAGCTCTTCCACGACCGTACGTGACTGTATTTACGCCGATATGTGAAAGATGAACAACCGCTCATCACTTTGGTAGTTCACAATGCAGTCTCGGAGGAGCTGTATCCTCGTGCCTTTTGCCGCCAGTCGAATGAGATCGGCACACGCTGGTTTGAGACCGTGATGACGAACCCATGTCGTACGTCAAGCTCTTGTTTTGACACCGGGCTGCGCTCTGTGCTCTGTGCTCTGTGCTCTGTGCTCTGTGCTCTGTGCTCTGTGCTCTGTGCTCTGTCCTCTCATACTGACAGCAAGACAGTCTTTCACTGCGGCCTCGCCGTTATGGGCATCCATCGCTACCAGCTCTTAGGCCGACGGGACGAGCCCCTTGACTCGACGCACCATCTGCTCCAGGCCATGCGCCTGCTCCGCCGCGATCTCAATGCCGTGTCTACGACACAAGAGACCAGTGTCATCGCTGTCGTCATCTCGCTCGCCATGCACGCCAACTTTGCCGACGCGGTGGCCGAAAGCCGCACGCACCTGCAAGCCCTGAAGCGCATCGTCCAGCTGCGCCCCGGTGGGCTGGTGGCGTTGTGCGCGGCCGTTCCCGAGCTCGGCAACAAGATACGCCGCACGGATGCAGAGTTGGCACTTCGATCTGGGACGCCGACAATCTTCGGATCGCGCCATCTGTCTCTTCCTGCGCCACTCCATCATGTCTCGCTCGGCGACAGGTGGCAGCCTATCGCTCTGCCGTTCCCGCTCCAAGACGTGTGCATCGAGCTTCAGCCGGCTATAAGGGACATCCTTATGCTGTGTAGCTATGCTGGCCGCAGTCAGCTCGGCACCGTTCAGTACCAAGACCTGGTGATCTCCATCGTCCAGCGCCTCGTCGACTACGCCCCGCTCGACGGTGCCCGACCGCCACGCCCTCTTGACGACATATGCCAGCTGGGGTTCTTGTCTTTCATGACGACAGTCGTCCATCGCGAACCACGTAAGAGGTCTACCTACTTCGGGCTTCTGTCTGGCTTGTTTCGGACTCGATTGGGCGAATTCTACAGCAGCACAATTTCGTATACAGCGAGCAAGCACCCCGAGCTGAACTTGTGGCTCCATTTCATCTATGCTATGTCCGCATCGGACGATTCTGCGCCTTTCCGTCGTGTCGATTTGCCCACAGCCGACCGCATCCGTGTTCTGGGCGAGGCGCTCGCAATCAGAACGTGGGAGGTTGCTGTGGCTCACCTGCGCGTTTACCCCTGGGTCGAGGCGTTTCATGACGAAATGGGCAGGGATATCTGGGAACAGACTACGTGTAGATGGCAAGATTGAGGACAACAAACTATTCATTGGTGGCGAAATACGTACACACCGAATCTATCACAAAACTTCCACGTTAGACTACACTGCCGCTCTCGGCGCTGTCAGGGCTGCGACATCCACTCCATGGCCCATTGAGTCGAGCCTCTTGAGAAGGTCCTCCCATACACGCTCCTGTGTGATCTTGCCGCTGGAGTTGGTTATCCAGGCAGGTACATCGTCGCTACCATGGCAAGTTAGACTCTGCACGCCCATGAATCGCGGCAACACAGATGGGATATGGCAGCGTGGGAAGGGACACGTACTTTTTAACGCGGCATTCGGAGCAGTAAGCGCCATGGCTGTCTGGCCCTGCGAGGGCAGCGTGAAGAAGGGTCCGGCTGCCCTCCTCTGCGGTTCTGGCGAGCAGCATCCGCATGGCAGCCAGCACCAACCTGGCGGGACGCGATGCGTTGCGGTCGAGGTCCGTGTAGCACAAGCCGGGACTCACGGCGTTGATGACGACGCCCGTCGTGGCTATGGGCAGCAGCGATGCAAGCTGACGCATGGCATATATCTGGAGCAGTTTGGTCTTGGGGTATCTGGCGAGGAAGGACGATTAGCCAACTCGCTACGATCTGTTATCTGTCGTATATCTTGCGACACGTACTGCGTAAAGGTTCCAAATTCCTTCTCCTCGCTGAATTTGTCAAAGACGTCACCGCAGGCCGTTGACATGGCGTCTTTCATGCTTGACTCCAGTGCCGAATTGCTCGATACAATCACGAGGTGTGGCGTGGTTTTCAAGTTGCGCGCCGACTCGAGAAGCTTCGGGAGAGTCCGGAAGGCGAGCAGCATGGTCGAGACGACATTGACAAGAAGGGACAACTCTATGCCTTGGACAATCTGACGGCTGGTCATCACGACACCGGCGTTGGCAATAAGGGCATCCAACCGGTCGAGAGTGTCGAGACGTCTACCAAAGCTCTCCACAGAGTTTAGTGACTGAAGATCCAGTTCCCAGACCTCGCCAGCATCGTGGCGACCCGTCTCTTGTCTCATCGCTGCCAAGGCGGCTTCGCCCTTCTGGACGGACCGCACACCCAATATGACACGGGCGGCACCCATGCTGAGCAAGTGCTGGGCACATTGAAAGCCCAGTCCAGTATTTGCGCCTGTCACGACAAATGTTTGCAGCGTAATGTCGGCTGGTACCGGGGGCATTGGAAGCGCCGTGTATTGGTCGCGTACAAAGCCGAAGAACCTGGGCATGTTTTCGGATTCTGAGAAATTTGGGAATGTGGTTGTATGATATAAAAATGCAAATGGAAATTGGGAAATGTGCTTCTCTAATTACCACAAGGGCTCCCGTGCCTTTCTTTTATACATATACAGCTCATCGTTTACTCCCATCGCAGCCGTGTTACTGAATCTGCCGTCCAATCATATTCACCGACCAATCAGAGACTTTTGTTCAAATGCGGTAAGGTGCGTTTCGGGGCGGAGAGCCACGAACCCCGGGCCGACGATGTGATGGGCCAATGCCACAGGATGAGACCCCGGAAAATCACAGGGCCTGTTGAGTAGATAATCCCTGTAGTGCCTACGTTTTGTGGCTTCTTCTCTCTCTGTACTTCTTTGTCACTAAAGCCGCCAAAAGAGGCCAGTTCCACCAGATTCTGCGGTCACAACAGCACATTCTTCGAATTGTTCCAGCTTTGATATTTCTCCATTTTTCAGTGGCTCAGTGGTTGGAGTCTTCCGCCTCCGCAACGAAATGTGGCGCCGTCACTTACACCAAAACGGCACCATCCCGAGCTAAGCCTTGAGGATTCAAGCAGCAGGAAAAGAGACCCTGAAGCTGCTCTGCGGCTTCATACACACTGTGTCTGCCCTTTCTCCACATCTGGAAGAGGATTTCCATCTACCGTTTTCCTATTTACTCTATATCCAACGCCTCACTCTCTACTGTCGTCTTTCACTTGTCAATAGCCATAGCATTGGCTTGTCGGTGTATTCTTTTTGAGCTTGGTTAGCTGCCGAGTGATGGCCTATTTAAAGAAATAAGGTATTTGTTACTGGTACATTCATCCAGTAACAACGGAGAGTTGTCCCGTAACAGACCGGTACAATTACCCTCGTATGGGGTCGGCCTGGTGGCGTCAAAGTAAATAGTTGCAAAGAAGAAAAATAAAGACGAACACAAACAAGAGGCCGTGGTTCGGGATCCGTAAAACCAAGGCGGGGTGGATGCGTGGGGGCTTAAGAGGCAGCTTAATAGCGAAACGTTAAGCACAACGGAAACGTTGTGCTACAATTCTCGTCTCCTTTTCACGCCTCACTTTCCTACCCATGTCAAACCGAAACAAGCAAGAAGACGCATACAATACACCAACAATGGACGTCCAACTCGTGTCCGACTTGCACCTGGAGGCGCCCAAGGCGTATGACGTGTTTGAGATTGTGCCCAAGTCTCCCATTCTTGCCTTAGCCGGCGACATTGGCAACGTCGAGGCCCACAAGGACGACTTTGCCGCGTTTATCGATCGACTGCTCCGCCAGTTCAGGGTCGTCCTGTTCGTGGCCGGCAACCACGAAGCATACCACTCAACATGGCCGCGCACGCTGGACGTCTTGCAGAAGTTGGAGGCGGATGTTCACAAGCGACGAGTGGATGACGATACGCTTGGTGAGTTTGTGTTCCTCGACCGCCGTGCGTATCGATTGGCAGACAGTAGCCCAGGCACCAGCTCTGGCACGGTGATCCTGGGCTGCAGCCTCTTTTCGCACATCCCGCCCGCCCGCGCCATGACCGTCAGCATGGGCATGAATGACTTCTACCACATTGGCGACGGCTGGGACGTGGCCTTACACAATGCGGCCCACACGCGAGACCTAGTGTGGCTCAACGAGACGGTGGCCGCCCTCGAAGGAGACGAGGGTGTGCACACCATCCTCGTCCTGACACACTGGTGCCCGACGCTGGATGCACGCGCGCGCGACCCCAAGCACACAAGCGATGCGCTGACGAGCGCCTTTGCCACCGATTTGACAGCCGAGCCGTGCTTTCTGTCGGCCAAGGTCAAGACATGGGGGTTCGGACACACACACTACAATTGTGACTTTGAGATGGAGCGCGCAGGACAACGGGGCCCTCTCCGCCTAGTCACGAACCAACGTGGCTATTACTTTGCGCAGGCCGCGGGCTTCGACGACGGCAAAGTCCTCCAGATAAACAATTAGACACCAGGTCACAGCTAATGGGATGTGATACCACACTTTGTAGATGTACGCCGTACAAACATACTTGTTCATTGTTCGTGAGGTTCCAAACTAATCCGTGATACCGACAAATGGTGCAGGCCCAGGCCCTAAGCGCCTCTTCACCTCCCACTTCCACTGCCGAAGCGGTTTGGATCGGTTCCGGCGCTGTTCGTACAGCGCACGCACGTCGTCCGGCAGCTGCCGCGCATCCAAGAATCCGTCGTCGTCCACATACATCTCCATGTATGCGATTATGGCCAGAGAAAAGGACCCGGCCGGTGTCCCGTCGTCACGCGCCAATATGCGCATCAGCGCCTCCAGCAAGACGTGCGATTTGACCACCACCACGGGGCCCTTGCCGTCCCCCGACGTGAAGACGCCGGACCCACGACTTGGGCGCCAGGGGGGGAGCGCTGTCGCGTCGGTGGCCAGCACGAACGGTGCCGGCAGGCCGTCGACCCGGGGCGCCAGCAGCCGCTCGCGCACGACGGTGCTCTGAAAGGGCGGAAGGAACCAGAGCGTGTCGCGCTGCAGGTATAGGCCCACGCCCACCTCCGTGTCGTCCTTGAGATGCACGTGGAACGCTGGCGCCGGCGAGGGCCGGTCTGGCGCCGTTATGTCGCACGTGCCCAGATCCGGGCACGGCGCCAGAAGCGTGTCTTGGGCGAGCGTGATGTCGAGGAGCGCGCGGGAGCCGATCGTTAACGCATCGTCGGGGATGGCATAGTCTATGGACTGCAATGCGTTAGAAGAGCAGAACATAACAGTGCAAATCAGAGCCAGGGAGACCGCGTTGCGTGTCGTCTTATCGTGATGATACGTACGCCCAGGATTGTAGGCACTCCGTGTACTTGCAAAAGACAGTGGCCCCAGAGAACGCAAGGGGTTCCAGACGCATTCAAAGCCTGTGCGATCGAAGCAACCAGTGCCTCCAGGTCCTCGGTGCGCATAGCGATCGTGATCAACGCACCGCATGCGATGCTGGGGTATTGTTTTTAGTGTGCGGTTGGTCGTTTGCTCCACACTTTGTTGCGGGTTGGGGAGAAAACAAGAAACAGCACGTGACCTTACTTCACCACACTTTCAAGGGGCTCGTCACTTTAATGCACTCTCCTATGTAACGACGTCCCGTCTTATGGTGTGCATTAAACGTCTTCTTTCATTTTTTTTTTTTATAAAAATTATCGTATTTCACTGTCCATAAACTACAACCTCCAGTTGCAGTGGTATGCGTGTCCACCTTCCTCTGCTCTGCCTGTGTTGGTGCGTCCCGTCTCACTGCTCCAGCTTGCAAATTGGACCAAGAAGCGTGACGCAGGAGACATCGCTGGTAAAGGCACTTGCTCGAGTCACAGCTTGTCCTGACCGTCACAATTGAGTCCCCAGTCTCGAGCACCGGGAACGGCCCGCTCACCCGTTGACTCTAAATGTTAAGCTCTTGCTCCTCACTCACCAATTCTAGTCGTGCCGGACCTCGTTGAATTTAGGCACGGCCATCGGGAATCGGTAAATTACCAACAGAGTGTTAGGCAGTCGGTCCCGGTTGCCATTGGGGAGAGTTTTCTTTTATTTATTTGGGTTTCTTTTCATTTGTAGGTGGTTATCGGTAGAATAAGCATTGCCAGCCGACAGCAGATGCAATTATTGTCACGCCCAATCCCCCTTCAGCTGTGTGACATCACCAAACAGCCACACGCGCACCTCGGCGAGGGCATGCAGATCATTGTCTTCCTCTGCTGTGGCCACGTCTGGGTCATGCCAGCCGTGCGTCCGCCCCGCACTGGACTCATGCAATGAGGTCCCCGTTGGGCGGCAGCTGTCGAAGTCGACGAGAACCAGCTTGACAGTGCCGTCGGCACCGCCCTCGGAATCCACCATAATGTTTGCCGGGTTGATGTCGTTGTGCACGAGGCCGAGGTGATGCAGATGGCGGATGCCGGCCGAGAGGCCGTCGAGGTGTCCGGGATGTAACTGCACATGATCCGGCGCGGTGCTGGTACTCCGCAGGTCCCCCTGCGCGACAAACATTTTCTTGTTGAGCCGGCCGGGGTTGCACAGGTCCTGGAGGGAGACACGGTACCGTTGTAGGCAGAGCCCGTCGACATGGCCGCTCGCAGACACGCAGCATCCGTGATACGTGGCCAGGTGGGGATGTGGGTGGCCGCGGAGGCGTTCGTAGACGGCAATCTCGCGGGCAATTCGCTCGCTCAGGTCGCCGTCGGTGTAGTCGAGCAGTGTTGGTTTCTTCATATAGAAGAGAGAGTCGTCAAACCCACCCTGCGTGACGGAGAAGCGCGTCCATTCCGGTCGCATTACCGGGCCCCGGTCATGTATCTCAAGCGGCCGAACATCATAGAGGGCCGAGGCATCGTCGCCTTGTGGCTTGGGCGTGCGCGTCTTCCATCGGGCCGTGACGAGCTGGCCGTCGCTCATGCGCACAACCCCTTCCATGCGATAAAACTGGAACCGTCCATCAATCGTCTTGAATGCTTCCCACGCTTTAATTGTTTCCATGGCGGGAAGGTTGAGGTGTGTGCTCTGTCTGATAATATTTGTACATTAAGAAAGTGCGTGAAAGAGGCAGCTACCCAAAATCAAATGAATTTGAGTTGGTGGAGCATTTGGTGGTTTATACTGCCATCCTATTGGCCAGTATCTTCATGTGGCTTATCCTCACAACGACCTCAAAGTACTGAGGTCGATTTCAATCACCTCCTCATTATTCGGCAGATACCTGGTTAAGACGTATAAAAGAAACGAGAGCTCAAATTTGGTATAATGGATGAGTACAGAAATAGTATGACAAATGGGTTTTATTTGGCTATCTAACTACCAACTATTCCAGCTAAATTGATTCCTCCTATCCACCGAGGGCGATGTAAACATCCTTACGGTCGCTTTGGTTGAGTTCCATTGGCAAGATACCGTGTGTATCTATTTGGTCTTTGGCGGTTGGTAATTAACAGAGTCCTCGCAGTTCTTATCGCCGCAATCAAAAGTTTTCTTGGGGGTGCCATTGGGCTGGGCGGAATTCCAGTGGCATTTGTTCACGCCGACAAACGGCTGGATGGCGGCCATTCTGGATACTTTAGCATGGTGGTTAAGACAAAAATACGAAGTTTAAAGGATTGGACCCGTCCGAATACCTGTGCTTACCTTTGGTATGTTCTCTTTTTTTATTTTCTGTGGTTTTGAAATGGCTGGCAAGGGGATATGAAAATGGATGCTTAATGTTGGATGTGATCTTGAAAGTTGAGATGGGCAAGAAACAAAAAAAAATGCCGTCTAGAATGGACGTCAACATCTCTTAAATATACAAATCAAGGAGGTCAAATTCTCAGTCCTACAGTATCTTGTGAGTACTTGAGATAACAAACTGTCGCCTTTCTATTCAGACGAAAGTCGCCTGCCGAATATGTGTCGTCTTGATCGGTCGTCTGGTCCTTTTTGTTCCACGTATGAAGGCGCCTTTATTAGTACAGAATAATCGGCCTTGTCGGCTTAATGACGGTCCAATACAAACGTGTTCGACCGGGTCTCTACTTTGGGCCGTTGTCTTCATTGAAAGTCGAGGCCACTATGAACTGCGGCCAACTGCCCAAGCCAACGACAAGCATGGCCGCCAAATAGGAGGCCAAATTCAAGGCAACAGGCGGAGGCCGAGGCGAACGTTTGTATCGTCTTTGCAAAAGACGTTCGCCTTTTTGCATTGCAGTATTTGATTCTTTCGCCTTTTTGTCAAAAGCGCCTTATTGTACGTCTTGACAATATGCGGGCGGTGACCTTTTACAGATCGTGAGCCCATTTTGGCGGCCTCGCATCGATGCCTTCATTTAAAACGAGTGTAGTTAGACGGTGCGTCTTTGCTCAGAAGTCATACATAATTTCTTTAGGCAGCAACCGGCAGGCTGTAACGCAAATACATTAGCCTCGTCTAGAATGAAATGCTCCGTATGAAACACATGAGGCTGTCCGACAGCGTGTCTCGTGGTCACTGGCTTAAGATCACCAAGAGACTTTGCGTGACGGCCAGTCTGGCTTGCCTCACACCTAGCAATCGACCGGGGCCGCTGTTACGGTTGTGGAACTCCAAGACTTCGCAGAAGTAGTCTTGGGGCGCTGTCAGAACAAGTCCGCGTTCTACAAACATCCCATCAGATTGATAATTCAGAAGCATCGTGCCCAGCATGTAGGTGGCTCTCGTTTCGAAAGTGCGCCGCTGATGACTGGCGGGCCGATACCTTTTTTGACATCAAACATACCGATTCACCGCATAGCATACGACACTTTTGCACCGGATAGTGCAGCACATGCTTGGCCGCCAAAGACGGTTGACGAAAAAAAGTTACCGGGCCTCTTTCCAAAATGTATTGCTTATGGATTTCCTTCTGGATTCCCTCTGGATTACCTCTGGATTCCCTCGCATACGGACTGCCCCGCGCGTCCGTCCCCAGTGGACTCTCCATGTTTACCCGGTCAAGCGAAATGGCTACTGAATATAAGGTAGATTTTCAGCCTGGACCTGGTCCCTCGTGCTGTTTCTTTGAATGACACCGGCCACCATTGGCTAATGTGTGCCGTGTAGGGAAGGGCAATATAGGGTTAGAATAGCCGTGTTTGTCCGACGATCAATGTCCGTGTTTACCTTTCCCAGCAGTATTTCTTTAAATACGACGCACAGCGGCCACAGAAAGATGCGATGCCTTGGCTGTTCCCACGGATGCCGCATCTCTTCTGCCCGCCAGCCATTATCTCCTCTGTCCCTTCTCGTCACGATGGTATCTTCTAGCGCACTGGCAGCCGCTGTGGCTGTCGCCGTCCACGCTACCACAACCTCTGCCGCCTCCTTCTGCGACGCGTCTTTTACAGGCAGCAACGTCTGTCTCGCCGTGTTTTCGTCCAGCAGCAGCGTGACCTACCGCATCGGCGTACAGGAAGCGAGTGCGGCTGCATCCGCGTCCTCTACCTCTGACACCCTCCTCCAGATCGTCGCGCCCGTGGCGATCGGCTGGGCCGGCGTGGCCTGGGGCGGGTCCATGACGGGCAACCCGCTGACGGTGGCGTGGCCGTCGACGGACAGTGCGGCGGTGGTGTCGTCGCGCTGGGCCACGGGCCACACGCTGCCCGCGGCCTACGCGGGCGCCAGCTACCGGACGCTGGCGTCGTCCAAGAACGCGACGCACTGGACGCTGTCGGTGGTGTGCACAGGCTGCAGCGCGTGGTCGGGCGGATCACTGAGTGCGTCGGGCAGCAGCACGCTGGCCTGGGCCTCGAGCACGCGCGCCGTGACGACACCCGCCAGCAACACGAGCGCGTTTGGGTACCACAACGCCAAGGGCACGGTGGCGGTGGACCTGGCGGCGGCGCGGGTGCCGGCAGCCGTGTTTGACGCGTATGTGGCGTTTCTGGCGGGTGAAGGTGGAAATGGAAGTGGAAGTGGAAGTGGGACCGGGGCTCCTCCTTCGCCGTCGACCACTGCACTGCCGCCTTCGCGCCCGTCGACGTCGATTACGGCACCCCATCACTCGTCCACGCATCCTGGCCCTCCGCCAAGCAGCAGCGCCACCGCCTCCATCACGACCGTCGTCAGCACCGTCTTTGTTACGGTCACGGCCCCGACAACAACATCCAAGGCTGCTCCCCCGCCGTCGTCGTCAACGCATCCAATCGGCACCATCATCCCCCCCTGGGACTCGGTGCCGTCCAAACCGAGTCCGACGCAGGGCAGTGGCAACAATGTAGGCGACGGTGACGGCGACGGCGACGACAACGGCAGTGACAGCAGTGACAGCAGTGTCCCCGTGCCCACCATCACCGTCACCGTCATTGAAGGCGGCACCGTCCCATCGGGATCGCCCGCACCGCCCATCAGCAGCTGGCCGACGGGTGTTCCCATCGTTGGCGGCAAGAAGAAGGGGCCGCCGTTTGTGCCGCCCTTCCACCACCCTCCTCCTTTTGGTGTTCCCGCGTGGGCCTAGGCGAGGTCGTCGATGTGGGTGGACGGTCAGTGTCGGTCGAAGGCGCAGTCAAAAAGAATACACGACATATCGCGAATGATCTTGTGTTCTGCGGACGTACGTGGATCTTGGCAGATAGTCTCGCATACATTCAGCCGCAGATGCTCTTAGAGTTAAAACAATACTCGGTCCTGTTCCCGGCGAGTCTCCGGTCTAGTGTGCGACGTTCTCCGTAAATGTGGTCGATGTTCAAGGCCGGCGGTTCCCCGCAGCCGGCTAACCATACAGCCATACTGCGGTCGTGACCATGATGGGGTTCTTCTATCAGTCTATTTAGTATGTTGTTTACGTTGTTTTATGTTCTATTATTGAAATTGGTCCACACGTCGAACGGCGGTTCCCCGCACAAACACAGGATGGAGGCATCCCACAGAGGGGCCCACTGACAACCCACGGATGAATCCATCCGCTGCAAGTTGCTTCACGTAGATGCAAGCGCTGTCGATCAGTGAATTTCAAGGGCGGCCAAGAGGACCTTCCCCATCCTCGCTGTCGGTGCACATCTGCACGCAGACACTGCAAAAACACGGAAACACGACAGGCGTCCACTCCTGGATGCGTTGTTCCGCGCCACAGTCCATCCGCTCTTCCGCCACGGCCACCGGTCCACTCGTCACTGCTGCGTAAATGCGTCCATGGTGCATGCTGGCACATGCGTCCTCTGTTCGTCATATTCGTCATACGTCGGGCGGCCCGGGATGGCGTGTGAAACGTGCACATTCGTCAGTGGCTGCCATGCGGCACTCGCCGGTCGATTGTGTCGTTCCTGGAAGCTCGAAGCTCATTGGAGCTTCCAGGGCTTGGGGCGCGAGCGCGAGACGGAATGTCACAATCGCGATCGATGTCACTGGCAGCAGCCACGGACGAAGCCTTCCTTGAACCGAGTTCTCGGGACAGTTTGAGATACCTTCCCATATCTCCATTTGGCCTTTTGTCTTCCGTCTCGCCCGAGTACTGTTATTTATAGTTAAATAGCAGTCGACCCGGCCTCGGCTGCTGCTCCAAGATTCGGCCTCCGACTAACCGCAACCCGACAAACATGGTACGTCTCGCGTCTCCCATCTCCCCACCCACGCTTGCCTCTGCAGCACCACAACTGACCCCCGACACCCAGGAAATCATCGTCATCGGCGCCGGCCTCGCTGGCCTGACCGTCGCCGTTGCGCTGCAGCAGGCGGGCCACAATGTCACTGTTCTCGAGAGCGCGCCCCAAATCACCTACATCGGCGCCGGCATCCAGGTCTCGCCCAACTCGTCGCGCATCCTGCGCCGGCTCGGCGTCGACAAGCACATTGCGCCCTACTGCACGGAGCCCGTCGACCTGCGCATGATGCGCTGGCAGGACGGCCAGGTGCTGGTCGAGTGCCCGCTGCAGCAGCCGGCGCTCGACGAGTACAAGAGCCCCTACTGGCACATCCACCGCGCGGACCTGCACCGCGGCCTGATGGCGCGGGCGACGGAGCTGGGCATCGCCGTGCACCTGGACAGCCGCGCGCAGACGGTCGAGCCGGACGTGCCCGCCGTGACGACCAAGGGCGGCGTGCGGCACACGGCGGACCTCGTCGTGGCGTCGGACGGCCTGCACTCCGTCTGCCGCAAGATCGTCCTGGGCCACACGAGCCCGCCCAGCCCGACGGGCCAGATGGTGTACCGCGTGACCGTGCCGACGCGCAAGCTGGCGGGCGTCCCGCAGCTCGAGGACCTCGTGGCAGTCCCGCGCAACAACCACTGGATCGGCCCGCACGCCACCGTGCTGTCGTATCTGCTGCAGGGCGTCAACGAGCCGCTCGTCAACTTTGTCTTTACGTGCGACGCCGCCACCTACCTGGCCGACGGCGTCAACACCCAGATCGGCACCGCCGACGACGTGCGCGCGCGCTTCCGGGACTGGGACCCGCGCCTCGACGCCATGCTCGCGCACGTCGACGAGGTCCTGGCGTGGCGCCTCTTCACCCACCACGAGATCCCCCGCTGGGCCCACGCCGCCCACCGCCTCGTCCTGCTCGGCGACGCCGCCCACGCCATGACGCCCTACCTCGCCCAGGGCGCCGCCATGGGCATCGAGGACGCCGCCGTGCTCGCCGGCATCCTGGCCCGGCCCGACTTCGCCGGCGTCGACCGCCTGCCCGCCGCCCTCCAGCTCTACGAGGCCCTGCGCATCAAGCGCGCCGCCCGCGTCGCCGAGGCGTCCATCACCAGCCGCTACTTTACGCAGATGCGCGACGGCCCCGAGCAGCGCGCGCGCGACGCCTGGATGCTCGCCCACCCGGGCATCCGCGAGGGCCACATCAACATCCGCTCGCGCAAGGAGTTTCTCGACGAGCTGTTTGGCTACGACGCCTACGCGGCGCTCGACGAGGCGCTGCAGACGGCGCGCGCGGGCAGCGTCGCCGACGTCAAGGCGCAGGTCGGCTCGTCGTCGGTGTCGGCCATCCCGGTGGAGGCATAACGAGGAGCCCAGCGGGCAAAGCGACAAGGTAGAGCGTGGTTTGACCAGAGGAAAGACGACAATGTATGCAAGAGACTACATAGCGTACTGGATTTGTAACGGATACTATCACGGCATTGACAGAGTGAACATTCGGTTTCTCTTCGAGTTGCACCCAGTCAGTCGAAGCAGGCCCAGCAACAGATATCATCCGTAAAACGATACATCGCCACAGCTACAATTCTGTACGAACCTTGGAGAGTTGTTGAGTAAATCAACATAAAATAAGGCGAGAAGCAGCCATCGTCGCCCTACAAAGTAGACAACCACATCGCCCAACATCCACGGCGACTCTCCGGATGCTAAAAAGGGACTCGTGGCCGATGTAGAGGCTGAGTTCGTCTATGTGAAACAGCTTGGCAACTTGCAGTAGCTTAAATGCAGACACTTCAGTTTTGATTCTACCAGTGCTCTTGGAAATGAATGAAATAATATTGCAGCTTTGAGAATGTTGGTCCTATCCACAAATGCTCGCTCGGGTAAAGGTAAAATACAGACACGAAGAGAAGAAAGTAATAAAAGCAGTAAAGAAATACAACATATATGAAAACAGCACTCGCGTTGACAGCACTCGCGTTGACAGCACTCGCGTTGACAGCACTCGCGTTGACAGCACTCGCGTTGACAGCACTCGCGTTGTGTAAACAGCACACACGACTGCCGCTGAGAGCTGAGAGAAACACAATGTCCTCCCATGTGTGCCTTGACAATGTAAAAAGAAAATCAATGTTGTTGTAGGCGTAGGTGTCCAACAGTCCCCCTTTCAATTTATTCATCCAGTCGAGTGCTCGCGTTGGCGTTGACATGGACATTCTCGATGTACTCGACAAGTCCCTCGCCTGCTCGGGCAGGTTGCCTCGCTCTGACTACGAGTACTGGTGGAACGACGGCTCGCCCAGCCGCTTCCGCCAGCCCTCACCCTTGATCATCAGCGCCAGGATCGGCAGCCAAAACACCAGCAGAATCAGCGCCTGCGACGACCACGTCCACGCATAGCCGATCTTGGCGACCATGGGCGACCACCAGAAGCCGACGACAAACGAGAGCCCCCGGCCCAGGTTCATGAGCACGGCCGACTCGGGCGTCTGCGGGCGGTAGCAGTCGGACAGGTAGGCGTAGAGGCACGTGGACGTGATCTGCAGGCCGCACACGCCAATGGCCAGGCCGACGAGGGGCACGACGTAGTGGTAGTTGTGCTGCAGGCAGGCGCCAAACACAATCATGCCCACGGGGCCGAGGACCGCCGAGATGCAGGTGAGGTACAGGCGGTGCTCGGGTGTGGCGCGGCCGCCGTTCTTCTTGGCGAGGCGGTAGACGATGACGTCCGAGAGCTTGCCGCCCGAGATCTCGCCGACGACGCAGCCCACAATCAGCGGGATGCCCGTGCAGAGGCCAATCGTGCCGCTCGCAAAGCCGTACTTGGCGCCGTAGATCTTGGCCATGCTGATGGCCGGCAGGATGTTGATGAACGTCCAGCTCAGCGTGTAGAACCAGAACGGCAGGGCCACCGACGGGTAGCGGAGCATGTACAAGGACGTCGCAAAGTCCTCGCCGCGCAGCCGCCGCTGCGGGATCAGGTTGCCCCGGAGGTCAAACAGCATCGCCCAGTACGCGCGCTCGCGCGTGCGCTGCTGCAAAACCTGCGGGCCGCGCGAGAACAGCGTCTCGGGCAGGCACACGAGCGCCACGAGGAACGAGACGCCCGTGACGATGGCCGGCATGTAAAAGTCCCAGCGCCAGCCGGCGTACTGCCCCAGGAAGCCGCCCGTCAGCACGGCAATGTGCGCGCCGTTGGTCACAAAGATGGTGTAGACGCCCGTCATGGCGCCGCGCTCGTGCATGCAGAACATGTCGTTGAGCACCGGCGTGCCCAGCGCCATCATGCCGCCAAAGCCGATGCCGTTGACCGCGCGCACGCCCACGAGCTGCGCAAACGTCGTCGTGCGCGCCGTCGCAATGTGCGTCGCAATCGTCACCAGCTGCGTCGCCAGACACAGCGGCCGCCGCCCCAGCACGTTGGACAGCGGCACCCACACAAACGGCGACAGCCCGCCCGTGATGATGGCCGTCGTCGTGCTGTACGTGACGACCTCGACGGGCCGCGCAAAGGCCTTGGACAGCAGGGCCAGGCTCGGGTTGGGCACGGCCGCGTTGAACGGCCCCAGCAGCGCCATGAAGCTGACCTGCAGCAGCACCATCCACTTCATCCACCGCGGCCAGTTGAGCGGGTCGTCTCGGAAATCCGACGGCTGCGGCTGCAGCGGCAGGCCATGTGGGTCGAGTTTGGGGCTGCCGACGCCGTCGGCGCCATCCGACGACGACGACGACGGCTTTTCCAGGTCGATGGGGTCATGGCGGCCGCTGCCGACGGCGCTGCTGGTGTCGTGTATCGTCTGTATCTTTTCGGACATTCTGCTGATGTGAAGGGGGGGCAGGCGGGGGATGGAGGAGAGAACACAAGACCTGCGGAGGAAACAGGATGTGACTTATATCAACATCAAGACAAACTACCCCAAGGGGACGGGAGTAAAGAGTGGGGAGAAGGCGTGAAGAGGAGGGGGAGGAGCAGAGGAGGAGAGGAGGAAAAGTTGATGGGCGAGGAGCCGGCAGTTGATGAGAAACGACAAAAAGTCAAGAGACACAAAAGACTGTCATAAACAAAAGTCGGCTATCAGCACCGAGTGCAGCTGGGCAAGACAAAAGGTGATCAACGGCAAGCTGCTGGTCTTGGCTGGCCCCCATGGCAATGACATTGACGCGTATCCTGCAATGCTCGTTCGAGTATGTCGTATGCCGCACGGAGGAGGTATGATATGTCGCCAAGAAAACACACAGCAAAGCTACTCCATGTACGGCGTCCAGCCACTTCCTTCCCCAGAGCCCGGTCTTGCTTTGGCGTTGGCGGTTTCGGCAAGGCGAACAACTCTGCGTCTTGGGTTGAATCGTCTTTGATTCTAGCGCTGGCACGCCGGGAATCGAAGTGGGTGGACGTCAAGGGTGGTGTGGACAAGGGAAGAGCATTGGGGGGTTGCAGGGGTCGCAGGGGTTGTGCCAGAAGAAATCCGATGGGAGAGAGGTCAGAAGAAAGGAGGCAATGGAGACAATAGGGGGAACGACCGTGGCGACGTTCATGGCCAATGTCCCGGCCGTCCTCCGGACTAGGAAACGGCGCAGAAAAAGCAAAGGCAGTGGCGGAAGAACCAACCAGGCTGAAGCCAAGAAAATAAAAAACAAAAGAAGGAAAGCGAAAACGGAATCAGGGAGACACGTTGTGGACTCGTCACACACGCACTAAACTAGCAAATCTGGGGGATTCAAAAGACTTCAGGGGTCTTCAGGCGTACTGAGGACACTCACTACTTCGTAGGACGGCAAGGACGGCCTATCGTCGCTAACACGTCTGCCAGTCAAGCGAACAACGGCTAGTCGGCAAGCCGCGCGCATTGCCCTTTTGGCTTCTCGTGGCAGAAGCCCAATGAAAGGGCTGAAGAGCCCGGAAAGTCGCCGGGGCCACAGACCAGGGAGCCAGGCTTTTTGTCGCCATTCTTCAGTGGGGACTTGGCAGCGGGCGAGAAGGAGGTGTGGGAACGATGGATCCGCGAATGGGCCAACCAGCTTGACTGAGGCTGCCGTAGCTCTGCAGGAGAACTGTTTATTTACTGTTAACAAAAGAAACGCGGAGCCTGGTTGAACCGTCAGCGTCCGCCACTCCCCGTTCCCTGGTTGCGCGGAAATTGATAGGAGGGACCATACTCGAGTCAATAAACAAGGAGACAAGTATCATCACATCGAAAGACTCTCAGAACATCCTTTCGACATGCCAGAGGCAGCCAAACAAAGGGACGGCGTACGCCCAGAAAGATCGACGTTCCCAACCACAAAATGGTACAATGGACAGACGATATGGTCACCCAAAACGGCCATAAGTGGGGGGCAGCGTTGTGTCGTCAGGTTACCAAGAAACAAAAAGGGTTGCATTGGGGGTGCAACATGCTCAACGAAGCACTGGCGGAGCCAAGCCGGGTATTCTGATGCTGAACAGAACAAGCATTTTAGTACGAAGTTTGGTATCCCAGCAGCCCAGCCAGAGTAATTACGACATTCACCCGTGTGATTAATCTTAGCAACGGCTGTCGTTAGCAATGGAACGGCGCGCAAACAAATGCATGCAATGACTGACGAGATGGATGCAATGAGTTGTTCCTTTCTGGCTTGGGAACCTCCCGTGTAGGAGCCTGGGAACAGTGCACGGCATGCTCTACGCAATAAGCAATAAGCAATGCAACTCTACACTTCAGACGGCACACGAGAACAAGGGGCGAGGAGGTATCGGTGTGTTGTACAAACAGGCGCCCACGCAGAAACGGCCCAGAGTCCGTATTTGGCATCCCACTCGGCCGTGCTTCGCATCCGTCCACGACAGAACGGGAAGGTCCGAAAGGAGAACCAGGAAGATGCAGTGAGCGGTTGGCCATATGTGCGCATGTATTCTGTACAGTTCAAGAGATCTGCGCCGTACATATATCACCATGCGGTTGGCCGTCAGCTAAGATGGGTTGCAGAGAATGAGCGTCGACAGATGCTCCGTCGAGACGAAATGACCAGGAACATGGGCCAGTCAACAAAAGGAAGCGAACAATGTATTCTGTCCGAACGGCTGACAATGCCATTGATGTTTTGTACTTACGTCCCAGCATCGCCAGCGTGGATGCACAGGAAAATATGACATACGACGTACAAGTATTTCGACTTTTCCGCGGGTGGTTCCGCGCCAACTCCGTCGTCCTATCGACACGATACGCCCCTTTTTTATGCTCCAGCACTCCATGTCTCCATAGCACGCCAGAGTGCCCAGCAGCCCAGCTGGGAAGGATCGCCATTTGCCACCCTGGCCCACGGATCCACCACCGCAAGAATACGATGTACTTTTGTTCACCAACACCCACTTTCTTCCCGTCGCGGACCACTTGCATCTGGAGAGATTAGGACAACCCCCCTCCCCAGAAACCCTTCCTCACCGTTGCTTCATCGTTCCTTGCTTCGTCTGTTTTCCAGATGGCTTCCGTGTTCTTCCACGGCGATCGCTATGGCACCGGTCTACGACGTACTCTGTACGACATACAACAGTTCTCCTGCGGAGTTGTTGGTATTACCCCGATTCCCCGAATTGAAAGAAGATTGCGCTTAGCACTCACGAGCACGAGCAAATCCCTGGCTCCCACATCGGTCCCCAGTTCTACATTCGCCCTAGCCCTACCCATTCGTTTCTATTGCATTCATGAGCGCCGTTCCCGGTGCCTTTATTCTTTTTTTTTTTTTTGATTTACCTCGCCCTTTCTTGCTTCCTTTTCTTGTTTTCTTTTGCAGAAAAAAAAACACACAAAGGATGATGCCCCATGCTGCACCGCCCAAGCGTCTCCCGTTGATCATTTCTGTTTTGCACACTCAAGTATTTGTCAAAAGGGGGTTGATGTCGAGCTGTCCCTGGCTCCCAGTTTCAAACAGCAGTATCTTATGTCTGTACAAATACGCATTACATTTATAGCGCCTCTGCCTGCGACTTCCAATTGCTTACGCAAGTTTTGTTGATCAAAGCAACAGGGGCAGGAGCGATCAGTACAGCCATAAGTCGCGCAAATGATACAGGGAAGGTGCAACAGGTAAGGAATCGTAGGTGCACAAAGAAAGCCACGACATGTGTTTGCTCCTGTGCTACGGATTGATACTCCACGATATGTATATGGCAGCAACCACCCTCACTTAACTGTCGTACAGTACGGCGTACGACACGCCGTGCAATCCTGACAGTCGCGCTTTCCTGGCAACAATCTCCGTGCACTTGCTCGTTGAAGTCCGTCTCCATCGCGCCTTCCTCCATACGCCTGCGGGTCCGCGAAACCGGCCCCTCCTTCCCAGGCATCGGCCGCTCCTGCCCTAATCCTTAAAAACCCACTCGCATTTTAGCTTCGCACTTGTCTCCGCGTTTCGCTCTCGCAATGTACCCCTCTCTTCCTCCGTACCTGCACCTGCCTCCGTGGCGCCCTGGCTTGTTCTCGCCTCGCAGCCCAGATTTAACCATTTCCACGAGTTGATTCTTCCTCCACCACTTTGTCCTTCTCTTCGCCTTTCCACAGCCTCACTCGCCCGAATGATTCGTCCGTGTCTGCCTCGTCTCTTGTTCCCCGTCACTCCAGCCTCTTACAACCCCACGGAGCGCAAACCCTGCTCCCATTAGACACAAGTCCCCAACGGCTGCCAGTCTCCAACGCCCGCCGTTCTCCGTTCTCCATTTTCCATTCTCCATTCACATTTCTCCATTCCCCATACTCCACCCGCCACCATAGCTGTCTTTCTTATCCCTTGCTGTCGTCCATACGGAGCGACGTATGATGCCGAACAGTTTTAGGTTTTGTGACAGATCCCTTTTTTCTACACCCTTTTTCTCGTCTCCACAATAACACTCCGAGCACGACAGGGACCAAGCTGCGCTGTTCTCTTTTACCTCACACAAACTGCCTTTGTCAGCCTCGTCTCCTGTTACTTATTGTACCACATAGGCGTTTAGCTGTCGTTTTGTTTTTGTCCCGGCGGTGACCTCTGGGCGAGAGGAGAGCTCTGGCCGAGACAGGAAGTGCTGGACGCGAGATCGAAACGGGGAAGATTCGTCCGATGGCGTCGGCAGGTGGTGCCCCGCGATCGGCCCCCGGCGGGACCCCGTCCTCGCCAAACACGTCGAAATCGTCGCAAACGTCCAGCTTTGCCCGCCCGTCGCCCGCCCCTGCCCGCGCGAAACGGGTGCCCGACAGCCAGCGGCGGCGTGCTGCCGTCTCCTGCGACCACTGCAAGCAGCGGCGTGCCAAGTGCATGCGCGCCTCGCCCCGCGATCCCTGCTCCAACTGCATCGGGAACCGCATCAAGTGCCAGTCCACCCTGCCGCGCAAGCAGCGGGTGTATGGAAGTGTCGAATCCCTCAGTCTGCGGTACCGCGCCCTGGAGGCACTCGTAAAGGGACTGTTACAAGATGAGGAGGAAACAGAGAGCGGGCCAACAACTGGTGCGGCCATCGGCACCGGCGCCGATGACAACGACAACGACAATGTCATGGTGGACACACCTACACACCAGCCCGCCCTCGACCTCGACGCCCTCTACAGCGCGGCCGCTGCCCGTGGCATACCCATGCCCCCGCGCGAAGACATGACACCCGTCAGCGAGATCTTTGCCTCCTCCGCCGACGGCATGCCCGGCCCCGCGCCAACAACCATTGTGCCGGCACCCCTCACGTCACCCGGACCAGCTGTCCCTTCGTCGTCCACATCCTCAACACCAACACCGATATCCCTGCCCACAGCGACGTCCATGCAAGCCGCCGCCCGCCCAACTGCACCGATGCCGCTGCATGCACTCCACCCACTCCCCCACCAACATCAGCTGCCCACGACCACGACGCTCACAACTCCCACCGCCGACGAGAAGCTCATCCCGACACCACACGGCGTTGCCCACTACGTCGGTCCCTCGAGCTCGTTCCGTTTTGTGACGTCCATCCGTGCACTGGTGGCACAGTGCGGCGACAACATCGGCGGTGGTGACCTTGTTGGAGGTGACGGCGTGCGGGCGAGCGATGCGGCTGGCGAGGCCAGTCCTGCCACCGGTAGCGAGCCGGGCGCCGGTGGTATCTCGGGGGGTGATGGGACACAATCCTCACAATCAGCACCCAGCGCGTCAGGGCCAGGAGCATCGACTGACGCCAATGCCGGTCCAACGTCGGCATCCATTCGCGACGAGTTTGTCGGCTTGAAAACGAGCAAGGCTCTCGAGGTACAGGATTCCTCGGGGGGTGATGAAGACGAGAGCGACGATGGCAGCAGTGCGGAGGAGGGCGGTGAGAGCGACGGTGAGAGCGCTGAGTACGGCTACGGCGGCGACGCCATGGACGACATTGTACTAGAGGACAAACACCACCCTCTTCAGTACCAGCCCCAGCAGTCACCGCTTCAGTACCAGAGTCCCGACGTTCCATACCATGCACCGCAACCGCCGCATCAACACACGTTACCAGCTCGGCAATACACACCGCAATCCGGTGGTGCAAGCGGTGGCAGCGGTGGCAGCGCCGGTGTTGGCGGCGGTCCGCTCTCCGCCCCGTCTCCTGCAAACAGTCGCCGTTCCCGCCTCGAGTTTGACGACGCCGCCAATGCTGCCACATTCTTACCGCCACGCGAAACCGCCAACATCTTTGTGCGCGTCTTCTTCGACCGTGTCCACCCCAACTATCCCCTGTTCCATCGCGGCTCGTTTATGCTGCGGTATGAAGCTCTTTGGCAAAAACCACCCAACGAGCAGACCCCCCTTCCCCAAGGTGGCATGACGCCAAGTCCAATGACCAATCCTCGAGGCCCGGGTGCCGCCGACATTACGACCCACCCCCAAGAGCGCCAGGACGACTACGGCTGGAACTGCTGCCTGGCCATGGCCTTTGCCTTTGGCGCCCAGGTCCTCGAAGACCACGACCGCGCCCGCCGTGCCGCCGCCGGCATGCAGCGCCGCTATCTCAACCTCGTCCGCTCCTCTCTCAGCCGCCTCTGTGGCACCACCAATCTCGCCAACGTCCAGGCACTGCTGCTGCTCCAACTCTACGAACACAATGCTGGCCAGCGCAATGCTGCCTGGACTTTCCTGGGCTGTGCCTCTCGCATGGCTGTGGCGCTGGGCATGCATCGCGACGGCGTGGCTATTCCCGTTACACCCATGGGGCCACCCGAGCCAGAGAGCGGTGGCACCAGCACGAACAGCTCTCAAAAATGTGGCGGCGGTTCTCTACTCTCGCGTGCGGCTGCCGCCGCTACGCTTCCTGCGTCGGCCAGCACGCCTGACCAGGTCACCGATCGCAACGACCGTCGCCGGGTCTGGTGGACCCTGTACCAATTTGAACGAGGCCTCTGCATCATGCTGGGCCGGCCGTCTGCGCTTGACGAGGCCGAAATTGCCGTCGCCGCACCTACGGACGACTCTCAATATCCAGAGCTGCCCCAGGGCCATTCTGCCAGTCTCTTGCGTCTCATCCGTATCGCGTGGCGAATCAAGCAGATGGTTTTTCCAGCACCAGGAAGCGCTCATAGCATCAGCGGCAACACGAACGCCGCCTACAATGCGTACTATCCCGGCAGCACCGAACCTACGACAACACCTCGCATACTGCTTGCCGAGCTCGACGCATGGCGTGCGTCCTTGCCCGCCCACCTCCAGCCGGGCTGGAAGTCCACGGACATGTCGCACCGTCGCGCCGTGCTGCTGCTGCATGTGGAATACCAATATGTGCGCTCTCTGGCTACACGCCAATATGTCCTGGAGCGCGCTGACCGGTGCAGGATCAAAGCACAAGCCCTGTCGCCATCGACGGCGACGACGTCGTCGTCTCAGGAGACCAAGGAGACGGCGGCGGCGTCAGCATCGGATGAAGCCGTCGACGAGCTCGCCGACATTTGTCTCAACGGCGCTGAGCGGGTCCTCGACTACTGTCGCCAACTGGCCGACATTGGCCAGCTCGACGGCGTGGCCTGGATCGACATTTACTTTTTGTACCACAGTGTCTTGGTCATCTGCCTCGACTTACTCGCGCGTATCGTCACGGCATCGGCCGCGGCCAAAGCCAAAGACAAGGACAAGGATGCAGCAGCCGACAGCAAGGCGGATGTGACTGCTGCTCGCCGCCGCACGGCCGTCCGGTCTGTGTTGCAAATCACCCAGCGCACACGCCTCGCACCGACGTTTCGCGTGCTGGTGCTGGTCGCGTGCCAGCTGGCTGCTATCGTCGGCGCTCTGGACGGCCTGCCGAACCTGCCCGCCGCGGCCTCGGCCTCGGGCAGCACCAACGCCACCACGGCCGAGGCCGCCGAACTGGCTGCGTCAAACAAGCACCACCGCCCGTCCCATGGATCGTCGGCCCGCAGTGGCGGCTCGCTGGCCACGACGTCGACAAAGCGCGGCCGCGGACGTCGTCGGCGCAACAGCTCGAGCGTGTCACGCGAGCGGACCACGTCGCGGTCGCGGGGGCCGTATCCATCCACTCTGTCAGCCATGGCTGGCGGTGCAAGTGCTGTGCCCAATGCGTCCATGGCGCCGCCCCCGCCGTCAGTATCAACTGTGGGCCACAACACCGCCTCGACCATGTCCGATGCCTCCTCGCCTGCCAACGTGTTTTATTCGCCAGTGTCCCAGTATCAGCCGCAGCAACACCAGCATCAGTTCGGTCAGCAACAACAACAGCAGCAGCATCAACAGCAGCAGCAGCATCATCAGCATCAGCACGGCCTCCATGTGCAGCAGCTCCAGACCTTTGGTGGCGCCGACTGGTTTGCCTCCGACCCAGCAGCGTTCCCCTGGCAGGTCATTGACGCCCGTTCGTTGGGTATGGGCGCTGGAGGCGGGGCGGGTGCCTCTGGCGCTGGCCTGCCACCGAATGCCAATGTCGCTGCTCCAGTCGGCCCCGTCAATGTGGCTGCAGCGGCCGCCGCCGCCGCCGCTGCGCAGTTTCCGGTTGCTTTCTATACGCCGCAGGGCATCGACTTTGGCTTGACCACAGACACATCGACCTTTGGCGAAGATCCGTACGTGGCAGGGCAGCAGCCGCCGCCACCACAGCAGCAGCAACAACAGCAACAACAACACAGCATGTACCGGGCCATGGACCCGGCCGCGAGTAGCAGTGGATCAGTTCCACCGCCGACGGCAGCCTTTGCAGCAGGGATGGATCTCGAGCCGGGGCAGCAGCAACAGCAGCCACACCATCGCCACCACCCTCATCGACAACAACAGCAGCAGCAGCAGCAGCAATTGCAACATCATCAGCAGCACCAACAGTACCCACAGCAACCACCACAGTTGGACAATAATGAATGGATCCAGATCTGGAGGGAGGTCAAGAACCGGTATCAATAATGTTCAAAAAGAAGTAATGGACTTGCGTAAATAATTGGTGTGAATGAAACTGGTTTAAAAAGGGTATATACTTTATTTCGGGTTCATCAGCGAGGGGTTAACTTTACATTTTCATTTTCGATGATAATACGTTAGTGTCTTATTGTTGTTTTACTACGACTGGCATGCATAACGTCTACAAATGTCAAATTAATTGACGATTTCTACGTAGTGGAAAACATTGTCGTACAATTATTACATGTTTTTATTGACAATACAAGTGAATTTTTACCATATTCAGTTTCTTTTCGTTCTTTTCTTTTTTTGGGGGGGGATTTAAAAAGCCCTAAGCTCATAAAGATTCAAACGAAATTGAATTTTAATACCACTATAAAATTACAAGTTTCAAAATATGGCAAGCCAAGCCGAACGAGGTCAGCAATTAATTTAGTACGTCAAGTCTCTCGTGTTCTCAAAAATATGGAGAGACAGTGGCCTGTACCCGTCGAGGGTGTGCTATAGTTTCGCAGTGAAGAAAAAAACGTGATGAATCCAATCCCACGATGCACCCAGTACTCGAAATATTTGAACTCCATAACCGCCCCATGCCCAACCGCCCCATGCCCAATAACGTATCCCAGTTATTGAAGAAAAAAGAAACACAAACGACCAAAAAGCCACACCAGCTCCTAGAACATATTCTTCAGATGCTCGTACACCGCCTCGCCGGACGGCAGGCCTTCGGCGGCCAGCTTGGGGTCGACGTTGGCATTGCTGGTGGGGGTGCCGGCAGCTGCTCCAGCCGCGGCCTCACCACCCTTTGTGCTGTCCGTGACTGTCCCGGCCGCCGGCGCTGGGATCCCGCTCAAGCCCAAATAGCCCTCATATATGCGGGTCATTTCCGTCTGGATCTGGACGCCGTTGGCCGTCTCCTGCTCGGGCGAGGAGGTGGCGCTCGCGCCGGCTGTTGCTGAAGTTGTAGTTGCGGTGGTAGGTTGCTGGCCTGGCTTCGTAGTATGAGACTGCTGCTGCTGCTTCTGCTCAAGCGGCTGCGGCTGCGCAGAAGCCATGCCTGTCGACGGCATCAGTGGCGGACCATTGGCAACAGCGCCGGCTGCCATCGTACTAGGCGACGCCGTATTGCTACTATTTCCGTTGTTGGCGGTGTTGGCGGTGTTGCCGCTCTTGCTGTTGGGATGGGCAAGCGGGGGTGGGCCTTTTGACTTTGGCTCGGCCCATTGCTGCTGTTACTATTCGGGTAGCCGCTGCCGGTGCTGCTGGCAATGCTCCCGTCACGGCGGGGGGCCGACGCCGCCGCCGACGCTGACGCCGATGCCGATGCAGACCCTGATGCCAGCCCGCCGTTGCCTACGTTGAAGCCGGACATCTTGGTGGCGAACGAGTATTGCGAATCCTCGTCGTTCTGCTGCAGGCCCAGGCCCAGGCGCGGCGCATAGGCCGTGAGGGAGCGGATGGTGCGCCACAGGCGCTGCGAGACCCAGCTCTTGGCCGACATGTCCTTGACCAAATTCATGGCCATGTAAAACTCTTCACGGCAGTCGGCGCTGAACTGAACGGGCTGGTGGGTGGACGCCAAGAAGAGGACGGCAATGGCGGACGTCAAGAACTGGTGGTAGAAGACCTGGATGCGCCGGTACAGGTTGCTGCTGTTGTTGAGGCGGGAGAGGTAGCGGATGGTGTCCTTGGCGAGGTCGACGACTTTCTGGGCCTGCTCCATGTTGTCGTTGATGCTGCTGGCGCTGTGCAGGACGGGGGTGTTGAGCCAGATGCGGATCTGGTTCAGACGCAGGCGCGTCCAGATCTGCAGGCGCTGCAGGTTGTAGGAAGGGGTGGACGGCAGCGGCAGTTCGCGGTCAAAGTTGCTGATTTTGACGGCGTCGGGGCACGAGTCGTACCACTGGAGGATTTCGCGGTCGAGCGTTTCAAACTCTTCGCGCTTGAGGTCGCGGATGATGGCGGGCTCGAAAAAGTCGACGAGGCTCCAGATCTTGGCACCCAGCCGCGAGTACGTGATCATGGCGACCAAGTACGGGTACTCGTCGGGGAAGGGCAGGTTGGGGTCGATCTTGTCGTCGTGCAAGACGTACGGCAGGCCGGTGCCGAAGCTCCAGCGGCGGTCGAGCACGTAGGCCGTCCAGAAGGTGTTGATGGCGTCGCGGCGCTCTTGCTCGTCGGCGATCTTGACGATGCCTTCGCGGCGGTGCAGGCCCTGCTCGAGGCAGTGGCGGGCCACCTGGCCCATGACGCGCCAGGCCAGGACTTCGTCGTTTGACAAGAAGCGGTAGCCGGCAACGAGGGCGAGGAAGGGCAGGTTGGCGAGGTTGCTGGGCTCGCTCATGAGCTTGCCGTCGGTAATGGACTGCATGCTGTCGTACAGGCGGATGGCCTTGGCGCTGTGTCCGTGCTCTTCGACGGCCAGGCCGCAGCACATGATGACCTTGAGGGTCAGGGTGCGGATGTCGGTCATGGTCTCGTCGTAGTTGAGGGGCGGCATGTAGCCGCTCCTGCGCGCGGACTCCATCCACGACGAGAGGCTCTGGGCGTGCTCGATGACGGTTTCGATCTTGACGACGGGGTACATGATGCCGACCTCGTCTTCGTGCAGGCGACACAGTCGGACCATTTCGTCCTTGTCAAACTCCCACAGCGGATCGTTGGGTACTTGGCTGCGCGACGATAGGGGTAGCATGGAGGACGACGTCTGTATGGATACCGGTGGAAGGAAAGGCGACGTGCGCGGTGTCTCCTCCACGGCAGGTCCGTTGCCGCCCTCCTCTTGCGGCTCGCCGCTGTAGCCCATGTTGTGCAGGGTGTTCTTGGCAACGTCGACGGTAAATGCCATGCTGGTGGGGCCGCCACGGAAGACGTGCGGCTGGCGGATGGGAGCCAACTCGGGCTTGTGGAGAGAGGGCACGGAGGAAGAAGGCGAGGGCGAGACGGTTGAAGAAGGGATGGGTAGGATGCGGTCCTGGTGCGGCGTGACGCGTTGTGTCTCTTGGCGGAGGGCATGAATGCTTTGGACAATGTTCTCGAGCTGGTCTTCCAGATTGTGAATCTTGTCGGTCATGCTCTTGAACTCCTCCGAGTCCTTGAAGCTGCTCGAGCAGCAGTTTGGCGAGTAGAGGCATGCCAAGTTGAGGTTGCCACATCGTAAGCAGGGAGTTTCGCCGTTGCCTGGGGGTGTGCACGTTAGCAAGGGAAGGAGACAGGACGATGGGTACGGCGAAGATGAGGCATACACTTTATCTTTCTGCGCTTGCATTCGTTGCTGTTTTGGTTAGCGCTGTACGTCGTACTAGGACGTCATATTAAGTCGAGGACATGTCGTCAACATACCAGGCTATTGAGATATACTATGGGCAAAACCAAAGTTAGTCGACGGTTGCAACGCAGGGCATGTAGCATGCGGATGCCATGCCAAGAAATCCGGCGCAAGGTACGGTGTAGGGATAAGGCTGAGGCCGAGAGAGAGAGAGATGTGGGGAAGAGAGGGGAGAGAGACAAAGCAGCAATTTCCTACATACCCGGTTGCGCTTGCTGCGCTGTTGTTTTGCAGTCGTTTCCTCGTCATCATGCTTCCGCTTGCCCGACGGCGTCCCGCTGTTACCGCCAGCGACGCTCCCCGGACTGCCGCGGTTGCTGGCATTGTTGACGTTGCTGCTGCTTCCGGGGCCGCCACTGCTGGCACCATTGCTGGCACCGTTGTTGGCAACGCTGCCGTTGCCGGCGGTATTCGAATAGTAGCTGTTCTGTGCACCGGCGTCCGGCGAGAAAGGCGAGGGCAGCGGTGTCGAGGCGCCGCCAAAGGCGGGACCGGAATTGCTGGGGTCGTGCAGGATCTGTGGCGGTGGTGGCCGAGAGTTCGCTCCGGCGGCTGCGAGAGGCGATGCGGAAGACACAGAGCGGTTCAGATGGTGCGGGGACAGGGCGGCGTGGCGCGCGTGGTCGTCAGCAGACGGCATCCGCGGATACGGGCTGTGGTGGGGAAGGCTAGGATGCGAATGCGCAGGAGGGGGGGCAATTGGATGTTGTTGCTGAGGATGCGGTTGCGGATGCGGATGCGGATGGGGATGATGATGCTGTTGATGTGAATGTGCCTGTGCCTGTGCCGGCGCTGGCAGCGGCGGCGGCGGCACAGTTTGCATCAGATAGCGCAGGTCGGTCGCCTGGGTTTCGATCTGCTCCATGTCGACGGCGGGGGAGGAGACATTGGGCGGGAAGAGCGTCCCGAAAACAGAGAGGAGGTCGCGGCGAAGGGAGGACGTTTGCGCCTCAGGGCAGCGTCCAACTGCTGGAGGGCGACAATGCAGGGAGTGTCGCGACTCGCCGTGCCGCGGAATTTAGAGGCGTCTCGTTATATCGTGCTGTCGTTTCGTCGTCAAGGGGAAGGTTGCGGGAGAGGTTGCGATGTGGGCTGTGTAGTGGTCGTGATCGGATGTGATGCAGTGAGACGAGGTGAAGCGAAAGCCAGGGAAATCACTCCGATGGCGGGAAAGCGATCGAAACGAAACAATGGGGGAAGGCACGGGAACGGCAGGCTGGGGAAGGAACGTCAGCAAGTCAGCTCGATTTGGGGGTGAGACGGAAGCCTCGATGGGGCCGGCGCTCTTCTGTTGGCAGCGCAATCCGGAAGGCGCAACCCGGAACCGAGTTACGACTGGGGTTTCGCGGTGGTTGCGCGCCCGCTTCGTCGGGTCGCCGAGATCCGTCGGAGTCAATTCGAAATCGGAGAAGTGCTCGAGAGCCCCTTCGAGCCACGGTGCCAGGGTGCCAAATCAAGTCTCACGATGCAAGGCGTCGCCTCATCCGTCACCGGGTTTCTTTGTGTCGTCCCCTTGACGCTTGATGGCCCCTGGCAGCCTCTTGCTGAAAACAGCAGGAGCTGACGCCTACACGTGATCGAGTCCAATGCCAAAAGTGGAGTTCATCGGATAAAAAGAGTGGGGCACGCCTCAGAAACTGACGAATCATTTCAGCTTCTGCCGGCACCGTCTGTTTCT